GCCGAGTTATTCAATCTAACCCGGACTGGCTGCAAGGCGCCTAGTCATGATTGTAATCGCAGCCCACGAGGACACCATCCTTTCATTGTACCACGAACTGAGAGAGGATAACTGGTCCGATGGTCGCCGATTATACTAACCATGTGTCCTGCAGTGCAGTTTACATTGAATCCGGCCAGTCCCAAGTTAACAATAGATCATCTCCGGAGTGGCGTCTTAAGTTAGTGTTATGATGGACAAAAAGTGAGCTGTATACTCCGACAGAAACGGGCCTTGGATATCGCGTGCAGGAGACCGAGAAACCCCGAACCCACTTCGGCTGTCAGTAAGCCGATTTGTCTTCAGCTCTGTCAGGGGCGAGCAATAAGACAAAGCACTAATCCCATCCTCCCATCCCAATCCATCCCAGTCTCCCAACGCAGGGACCAGCTAGAGCCCCCTATAGCGGGGACCAGTTTCCGATCGCCCCAGATCCCAGATCAGAAATGACAGAGCTGATCTTTAGGGAGGTCTCCATTCCAGCACATGTCCTGCTTTCATTCGGCTCTCCTTTTCTGGGGTTCTGGGTCATCTGCACGCCATAGTAGCGCTAGGGCCAGGGGTTAGAGAGGCAATTTGGTACTTTGTTTTTCTTCATGTTGCGTGCATAATTCATCGTGATCCTTTTAATGCTCAATCCGTGACATCCGATCCTATCTCTGCTTTCTGTTCTCCGCATATCCCTTCGCCACCTATGGAGTTCACCAGATCTACTACTTTAATGACAGATGTCGGCGATTCTCCAGATATGACCTGCGCTGCTGTGCATCTGGAACCTCCAGTCGAATCAGCCAGCCATATCGACCAAGTGGTCTAAAGGTTCGGAGGTGCCCCTGATAGTGATGTGTTTTGGCCACGAATGATATACCGAGGTACTGCAATGCGACGTCGACTCGAAGTTCAGCATGCACAATTCAGGGGGGTCAATGTCCAGGGTTCACCACAGGAACCAGCGAAGAGCTCAGGTTCGTTCTGCTAACGCCGAGCGCACCAACCCGTTTTGCAGTCGCGCACAGTAACCGGTCCCGTCGCCGAGTCAGAGTGGAACTGACGCCATGGCCGGAATATTCGTTTCGATTCTTAGGAGATCACGGTTCAAGAATCCAATCTGTCCGACCTACGGACGCGTCCATACTTGGCAGACAGTATAGCCACAACCCAACCCCCCAATCCACTTGGCGACAATGTCTTCGGTTCCCTTGAATAGGAGGTGAACGATGAACAACGCGCATGACAAGTCTCTGCGCTGCTGCCCAATGAACCAATCGGTCGGATAACCGCACACCGATTCCTGAAACAAAATGATTCAACCGGTCGCTCTTGGTCTTATGGTATTTCAAATCAGTATGCATAGTCGGCTGATCAGAAGCGAGGCACTGCACTTGGTCGGTGTTGAGATGAAGACCCCGCGATCGGATACTGATAAAATCGTGCAGGTACACCTCTGGCTCTGATGGTCGACGCATTGGCCACAGACGAAGAGTATGCAGAAAGCATGGGGTTCGTTCTGACCGCTATCTGTCGTGTCCCACTGGCGCTAGAATGCCATGTCGACCTTGTTCAATGCTTGTTGATTGGGTTATGGAAACACTGAAACTCATAGTGTCAATAGGGACTTCACAACCTCCTAGTCGATGCAATTTACTAACCTGGTAATACTAACAATGTGGTGAAAAACTTGTGTTCAAGATAACGACGGGGAGAGAACTCAGACTGCCGAACTCCAGTACATCCATACACAAATACGTTACGCTCTGAGAGAGTTAACCGATTGGTTCAAAACACAAACGAGCACCATCTCTAAACACCAAACCCGAGTCCCGCACCACCAACGTGACCACCTACCATATCGGGCAATCACGAACACAACCCAGAAAGAGAAACCCAAATGGCATACAAATCACCCTATATCCTCCTACCACCCCTGTAGGCATTCGAGATCCCCGCCACAACGCAAATAAACCGGAGCAAGCAAAACGATCAGACCACAACCACTCCATCCCAACCCACCTCAAACAGTAAACAAAACGTAGATCTCAAGTAAGGCAATGACAATGAGTCAACAATGACACCCAAACGCGGGGTATCAATGATAGGGAAACAACGGCCGACAATAGCCATCCGATTATCATTCCTGGTTGCGGGAGATGCCCGTTGCGGAGTCCGCCGATGCCATCGGGTTTGGCCTATCCTCCCGTTTTAGCTTCCCGGCTTGGCGTTTAGGGGATTATGGCTTTTACTGTGTATGTACAGTATTAAAGTATTTAATAATTCGAAATGGGTTTGATTGTTGTTATGGTTTGATGTGGCTTGATGTGTTCCAAGGTTGGCTGGGTGGTCTGTGTCTGTGTGGGGTTGAGGATCTATGGTAGGTTTGATCCATGTGGATCGTGAAGAATGGGATCTAGATCTATGGATATGGAGTCTGGCTTGCGATCTAGCAGGTACAGTACCTATGTGGGTAAGGCAGACCGACGGGTGCCCAGATGGTTGATATAAGACTGTTGTGATTTTAGGTCTGGTGACGTGATGATGCGACGCAGGTGCACTTGCTGGGATTGTTTTATGCAGGGACTGTTATTTAGAATAGTGTATTGTCTGATAATTGACACGTGAGGGGGACTTGTAGTTACTTATCTCTGTTTACACTTGTTTCTATGGACTTATTTGTGAGCTGATACTGGGTTGGTTAGTGCTTCAAGGTGGAAACTGTTTGTGCGTGACTACCTCTTTCAAGAAGGTAAGTTCTGGAAAGTATATTCAGATTCACCAAGCTATCCGGCGTGGGGGACAGCTTTCACATTGCTTAGTTTTGAGATGGGTTCGAAGTCTTGGTATATAGTATAGGCTTTCGTTGATCACATCAAACCCAAACGCGATGACGATGGCGCTAGAAAAAAGCTTATTCTTTATTCAAAAAGAACTACATAGCATGGCTAGCAACAACATCAGCATATCTTCATACATAACCGGCTCAGCCCTATGATGCGCATCGGAAAGTTAGTTCACGAAGAACTAAACCCCAACACAAGCAGGAAGATCAAGTCTATTTAATATTGCATATATACAATCCCAGCTGCAACTACGTGGTAGTGCAAATTCAAATTAAAAACCCCCGCAAACCCCCGAGATTGATAAGAACAATGCACATGCAGTTCCTTGCCGGGGGGGGAACCAGGGATCGGGACTAACTCAAACCAGAACCCTAGAAGCCCTAGAAACAAAATAAGCTTCCAGATCTGCGAAAGGAATCCCACCTGTGCTAGGGTACTACGGGGTCCTCATCCTCTCTCCGTTTCACGTGTCACATGTTTCTAAATCTCATATGCAAACACAAGCACACCGAAGACCAATTTCATCCGGCAAAACGAGTAAGACGGAGGTTGGTCCGTGTGATAAAAGACCCGTCTCCATATGGCCTTCCGGTGAGCAACTCACACCCGCAACGGTACGTGTAAACTCTCAAAAACTAGCGGTGGGGAAATCCCCGCCCATTTTTTGGTCCCTTTGCAGGAGTGATGGAGCGGGCATTCCCCGGATTGGTTGGAGTGCTGCAGGAGCCGGGCGATCAATTACTTTACATATGTACAGTACAGGCATGCACGCAGGATGCACAGTGGCGAAGTTGCACTTGGGTACGGGGATGTGCAGTGCATTGGATGATCCTCATTCCATATACGGAGCATGTATACGAATAGCTTGGACGCGGCAGCCGCCAATTAACTTACTGATTTGCTTATTTCCCAGTCATTGGATCAGGGATCATGAGGGCGCCACGTTGATGCTACTGTACATGGATTGCTTCCGGCCGAGTATCGGGGCCCCTCTGAAAGTCAAATGCGGGCCCTCGGGCCCTTGTGTGCCTGACCTTAGCACCCCCACGCCTGTGAGCTTACCCTGGAGTCGGGACCCAGGGCTCAGGGACGGTGATGACCTTTAGGTGAGCACTTACTGGATCCTTCTTTAATACATGTATGCTGTCCAACGGTAGACAGACATAGAATTGTAGCACGAGAGCACAGATCAGATTTGAGTTACCCCTCAATTGGTTTCCGTTATTCCGGTGGGGTGAGCATATGGGGGAAGGGTTTGGAGTATGCAGTCATCTATAGAGATAAAGCATTGACCAGTGGTATATAGATCTATTAAAGTGTGAGTCAAATGTGTTTGCACATAAAAAGGTCGATCAGATAAGTTCGGCGGGCCACTTGACCGTTTGCGGTATAGTACATGGCACGTGACCATTGCCGAGCTACACTGCCGAAGTGGGCAGCTGGTGGCGGGATGTTACTGGTACATTGGGAGATCTGTCCTCGACGCATCATGCATTTCAATTCGACTAACTTTTTCATTATGTAGGATGTGCTTGAATGTGCCATTGGTAAAACTACGTCTCTAAGATGTCTACTCCGTAGAAATTTTTGGCGCATGTCGGAGACGACCGATGCCGTACGAAGTGAACACGGAAGAGGCAAATCGAGTAAGGAAGAAATAGGAAGCCAGATACCACTGTGATTGGACATACAAAATAGAGTGGTAATGGCAGTCGAGTAATAAGAATTGACTTATTAGTGGCCGGGATGTGGATTTGCCCCCATAGATAAGCCCAATTCTGTGACCTTAAACCATAAGCTAATTGTCCCCCGACCATCGGACCATCTCTTCCACGGAAATCAATGGACTCTCTATACTGTTCTTCCGTACCACTCTACTCCGTCCTCTGTCTACTATACACTCTGCCATAGTGACTCCTCATCTCCCGTTCCTGTTTCCCCGTGTCCGGAATCTCTCGTCCGACTCCGGTAGCCCTTCTCCACCCTCCAGCTCCGGTATATAATTGTAGATTCCTCCTTCTCTTCTCTTGTTTCTTCACTCACTCTGCTTTGGGACTCAGCCTTGCCATCTCTCTCCATCCTCCTATATTTAATTATAAAAAGAGTCGTATTATTCCAAACGCAATGATGTCGAACCTTCCCTTCGAGCCCGAATTCGAGCAGGCCTACAAGGGTATGTGCCTTTCACAATTTTATCACCCCTCCCAATGCCCCTCTACCCTCTGCCCCTCTATCGGCTTTTAATCGCTTTTCCATCGGCAACTTCGGGTTGTGGTCCCATATTTCGGGGTGACTCAGCTAACAATCCCGACAGAGCTTGCCTCCACTCTTGAGAACTCCACTCTCTTCCAGAAGAAGCCCGAGTACCGCAAGGCCCTCCAGGTTGTCTCCGTCCCCGAGCGTGTCATCCAGTTCCGTGTTGTCTGGGAGGATGACAAGGGTCAGGTAAGACCAAATCATTGAGTTGTCTATGACCCTTCTAACCTCATCAGGTCCAAATCAACCGCGGTTACCGTGTCCAGTTCAACTCTGCCCTTGGTCCCTACAAGGGTGGCCTCCGGTTCCACCCTTCGGTGAACCTGTCCATCCTGAAGTTCCTCGGCTTCGAGCAGATTTTCAAGAATGCCCTGACCGGCCTCAACATGGGTGGTGGTAAGGGTGGTTCCGACTTTGACCCCAAGGGCAAGTCCGACAATGAGATCCGCCGCTTCTGTGTCTCCTTCATGTCCGAGCTCTGCAAGCACATCGGCGCCGACACTGACGTCCCCGCCGGTGACATCGGTGTCACCGGCCGCGAGGTCGGCTTCATGTTCGGCCAGTACAAGAAGATCCGCAACCAGTGGGAAGGTGTCCTCACCGGTAAGGGCGGCAGCTGGGGTGGTTCTCTCATCCGCCCCGAGGCCACCGGCTACGGTGTCGTCTACTACACCGAGCACATGATCAAGCACGCCAGCGGCGGCAAGGAGTCCTTCGCCGGCAAGCGCGTCGCCATCTCCGGATCCGGCAACGTCGCCCAGTACGCTGCCCTGAAGGTCATCGAGCTCGGCGGTTCCGTCGTCTCCCTCTCCGATTCCCAGGGTGCCCTCGTCCTCAAGGGTGAGGAGGGTTCTTTCACTCCCGAGGAGATCGACACCATCGCCGCCATCAAGGTCGAGCGCAAGCAGATCTCCGAGCTCGCCACCCAGGCCGCCTTCGCCTCCAAGTTCAAGTACATCCCTGGTGCCCGTCCCTGGACCAACATCGCCGGCCGCATCGATGTCGCCCTCCCCTCTGCCACCCAGAACGAGGTCTCCGGCGACGAGGCCAAGGCCCTGATCGCCGCCGGCTGCAAGTTCATCGCCGAGGGCTCCAACATGGGTTCCACCCAGGAGGCCATCGACATCTTCGAGGCTCACCGTGACGCCAACCCCGGCGCCGCTGCCATCTGGTACGCCCCCGGTAAGGCCGCCAACGCCGGTGGTGTCGCCGTCTCCGGACTCGAGATGGCCCAGAACTCCGCCCGTGTCAACTGGACCCGCGAGGAGGTCGACTCCCGTCTCAAGAACATCATGGAGGACTGCTTCAACAACGGTCTCGCTACCGCCAAGGAGTACGTCACCCCCGCCGAGGGTGTTCTTCCTTCCCTGGTTGCTGGCTCCAACATTGCTGGCTTCACCAAGGTCGCTGAGGCCATGAAGGACCACGGTGACTGGTGGTAAATCAGTTCACCACCTGGTGTGATGATTTCTGTCTTCTCTTGATGAGAGGCGGCTTTGATGCATTTTCTTTGTTTATAGTTTTTCTTTACCTTCGAGCGGGTTACGGATAGAGGCGCTGGTTTTTCCCCTTCTGCTGCATTTGATTGATATCCCCACTTGAGCATCGCCGTTTTTTTGGGTCTGCAGTTGGGATCGTCATGACAATAATGAAATTGAACGATCATTTCAAAATACTTGCATAGTAAATCGTAGACATCAGTAAAGCCTTGCATTTTGAGATTGAATTTGAATGTCTATATAAAGCAATCACTCCATTAGTGGAATGCCTTAAAACCTGACATTTATGCCTGACAGATTGTACTCACAATCATCCTCATGCGCCTATGAAACGCAACAGCGGAATTCCTCCGATCTCACCGCCTCAGCCCACCAACCAAATGCACCGATCACGTGCGGTATATTATGTAACTATCTCCACGTGACCTTTAACAATCATCTCTTTAGCTCCCCAAGCTATCCCCAGACCAAACCAAATACCAGACCAAACCACATTTTTTATAAAATGCCCCAAAAATAACACCCATCTGCGCCTACACCGTACTAAACTGGAGAAAATCGCTTGTCCAAGAGACAACAATGCTACAAGAAAAGGCGCAGACCCCGCCCGAACAATGGCAAACATTCCTACACCAATGTCTATCAACCCGAATAGATATAGACGAGTTCACAACCCTCTCCAAGCTGATGCTAGCGCGCATCCCCATAAAAGAAAATATCCTCCTCGATCTTTTGCTCCAGTCTCGCGCTGATGCGCGCATCGCCTGGGACCCTCTTCTGCCGTTATATGTCGATGGATTGTGCAGGGTTGGGCTGGTAAAGGTTTCCTCTGCGTTGAGGGGGTTGTTGAGACATTCTTCTATTTTGGATGGTAGTTCCAACTCCAACTCCAACTCCAACCAGAAGGAAGGGGAAGGGGATGTGTCGGCTAAGAGTGTTGGTGGTGATCGATCGACTCTTATGACCGATATCAAGGTCGTGCAGGATGTCATGATGTTTATATCGACGGCTTCAATCCCGAAGACTAGTTCCGAAGCAGCGGATATCTACAATGCGACAATTGAGTGGATTGTCGCCTTAGTCGCATGGCACCAGCGTAGCCTGGATGTGTCAACGCAGAACGGGGGACTGATGGGTGAACCCGATGCTGTTTCATTGTTCGAATCGCTGGGCATTTTGCTAGCTGCGCTTTCGGGGACTGGGAAGGGTCTTGAGGTTCTTTCTAGTGATTTCGATCGCCGGTTGAAGAATAAGCTGGGCCAGGCGCTTGCGGCTTATTTGCCGCTTTGTGTTGATGTTTCTTTGCCGCTGAGGCATCGGCTTGAGGAGTTGCAGAAGGGGTTTGGTCTGTTTCCGGATCAGCCTGGTAATAATGCCAATGCCAATGCTAAGGCTTTGGATCATTCTGGTATTGAGGGGATGAATGTTCGGGCGCTTCAGTTTGAGGCCGGGGTTATGGATGGGCCTGTTGTTAATACTAGAGCTGGTCTCTATGTTTATATTAACTCTATGGTGGGTGCTTCTGTGTTTTGCTTTTGGGTTTTGCTTTTGGGTTTGGGGTGGTGGCTAACTTGACTGGTTGCAGGTTGTTGGGCGTCCTTTGGTGGATGATACTATCTTGATCAATTACCTTACCAACAGATATCAGGTGAGTTTTGGGAGATATCGGAGTACATGTTGAGCATTGACTAACTACTTACAGGGCCACAATGAAGTCCTCATCGAGGAGATCATCACGGCTGCCTTCGACGTCCTATCCAATGGCGTATACCGAAACGAATCCAGCCGAACAATGTTCCTCTTCCGATCTTTCCTGGTGAACAAGCTACCAGTGTTCTTCGCAGCCATCTCGGCAGCATCAATGGTTCCAATCTCCATGGAAATGTGCATCAGTCAAGCGCTGAGCCGCCTCAACCCCAACGCTTTCCCTTCTTTCTCCCAAATGTTCTCCATGCAAGGTAGCAGTGTTTTATCAGATGCCCGCCAGGAGTTCCTCTTTGCCTGTGCATCACACAAGCTCATTCAAGAATCGAGCATTGAGCAGCTTCTCGGAGAGAACCCCATGCAGACTTTACCTGGTGGTGGTCCTTATGTGAAGGATGACCTCATTTCGCAGATCAGCAGCAATCATGAACGTGCCGAGCAGCTTATTGGCGAGATTGAATCGATGGAGGGTAATGCGGGTGCTATTGTTGGTGCAGTGGTCGAGGTATGTCGTCCCACATATTAATTTAGGATCATCCATGTTGATACTCCCAAGGTCATGCATAGTTTATGCCATCAGAAAGAGACAGTGACTCTAAAAAACATCTGCAACTCGCTCTCACGTCGCCCACAGACCTTGGACGCCATCTTGCTTTTCCGAACCACAAAGCAGGTCTTACAACCTCTCTGTTCTATCCTTGATTCTTGGAAATGGGACGAAGACCAAGGCGAAAATCAGCCTGTGTATGACGAATTCGGCAGTATCTTGCTGCTAGTTCTAGCCTTCAAGTACCGCTATGACTTGAGCCCATCCGATATGGGAATCTCCAGCAATGACTCCTTTTTGTTGAAGCTTATGGACCGGGGTGCATGTACCCAGAAGCTGAACGAGCTGAGCGAGAAACAGAACAAAGACCTCGGCGCATGGATCGGAGCTCTGTTCATCGCCGAAGGCATTAGTGAAGAGACCATGTCTACTTGCAGTCCCCAGGAATTCTACATGCTTGTCACGACACTCTTCGATCAAAGTCTCGGGGCATGCGAGTCCGGAAAGCTGGACTTCGACACCTTGAAAGGCGGATTCGAATGTAAGGATTTCTCACCGGTCGCATACATCAAACTAACAACAACATAGATCTCCTCGAACCCTTCCTCCTCCCATCCCTGGTAGTCGCCTTGACATGGCTGGGCAACCACATCTGGGAATCAGAAACCGACCCAACAATCCCTCTGAAAACCCTCCACTCCCTAGTGAAACCAAACTCAATCTCCGGCGAAGCCCAAGCAATCCACCAAACAGTCCTAAACATAACCGCCCGCTCCCTCGAAGAACAACTTAAAAACGTGCGCACCCGCAACCAATCACGCACAGATATAAAACCAATCCTGGACGCCCTAGAACCCTACCTCTCCTTCCGCCGTGTCGGCAGCAGCCACCGCACCGAACTCGACACCTGGACCTCACACACAGCCGGCGGCCTAGTAGGCAGCATCCGCAGCACTCTGCAAGCCCTAATCCTCTGGAGCTCCAACCCAGAAATAAGCGCAGCACCACACGCCTACACGCACCGCCAGATCCTAGCCGGAATTCGCATCCTAGGCGCAACACGCGTGCTGGCCTCCATAATCGACGAAGTAAAACACCAATCAGAAACAACAGGCAGCGGACACGTCGCGCTGGATATCGCAACGACTATCATCTGCGCACCAATGACCGAATCCTTCGCCGTCGACCAGAACAATTACCACCCCATCGATCCCATGAAAGAATCACCGCCTCGCTGCCCGATCCTTACGCTCCGCGACGCTCTAACCCTCGCCCACGAAAACGTTCCCAAACTCTCCGAGAAAGACCCGCTCCGCGCGGAAGTCGTCGTGCGCCTCTGGCGCCGGGTCAATCTGCTCATGGCGCCTCCGTCGCAGGTTTCGAATATTGATGTTAGCAATATTATCCAGAATATGCATCTTGGTGTTGAGGGGCATGATCGCATGGATCTGGAGCCGTCTGCTGCGGATGTTACCGGGAATGCGGTTGGCGAGGATGATCCTGATAATATTAATCAGATGCTCGATAAGGCGGCGGCGGCTGCTGCTGCGGCTGGCATGGATGGGGGTATTGGTGTTGCGCAGGATATGGAGCTTGATGCTGGTGGTGCTGGATTGGATGCTATTGATGATGTGCTTAATGCTGCTGATATGGCTGTTGGGAATCCTGAGTTTTTGGATTTGGATATGGAGGGGATGTTTTAGTTTCAATTTCAATCGTTATTCTTTCTATGGCCTTGTATTGGGATGGATTGGGGGATTATTGTGGGTTTGATTTGTGGACGCTTGCGTTGGTCCTTTTCTTAGCTTTTATATTTTGCATGTCATCAGTTTCGCAGACGGAGTATCTTTTTGTGGCAACTTCTTTGATTGAATTATGATTGGTATCTTGTGGGAACTTGATTAAACTTGAATTTCGCAGTCTCGCTGCGTAAGTTCTCCCCGCCAGAGAGAATGAGAAGAAATACGACTCGTTCGTACCCAGTTCTATAAGATCTCGTTAGAAACGCACTCCAAACCTCACGGTAATACCGAGCAGATGTACATACAGAGATTGAGAGTCTTTTCCAGCTTGCTCGCGAGCTTCGGGACACCGGAGCCAGGGTATAGGGCTTCGACGGCTTCCATGGGTCTTGGGAGTCCCGGGATGAGGTTACGTGGCTCGATGATGGGGGCTGCTGCTACCATTGAAGAGATAGATAGAACGGTGACGATTGATGCGAACTTCATATTGGCGGGAAAGTGATCTACATTTTGTCAGCTGGAGATCGTACAACTTCTACTTGGTGATGATAATCATCCTCTGGTAGATTTGGATCTATATCGATATCGGTATCTATACTTGGGGTACCACTTACGTCTTGTATCAGGTTAACTGCCCGAGCTTGTGGCTTGATATTTTCCGTGACTGAAACGTAAACTCAACAGAAGGAATGAATGCAACGGTGCGGGCTTCGCGCTTCTTATCATGGCCTCACCCTGGTCTAGGGTGCCCTGGGCTAAGGCCTTGTGATAGGGAGCTTGAAAAGCATGGAACTAGTTCATTCCAATGAATTGAAGCCTTCCTTTCACGGGATGGTCGTGCCTCGACGTGAGGAATTTAGATACGCGACGCGTCTGGGACTTCTCGGTTGGGTATAAGTTAGGGTTCGGATATCACGATGTCGACATTTCGCGGTCATTCACACAATTGTATGATTAGCGATATGATTACACTTAGTCAAAACTCTAGACACAAATTGTAACACGCTTTGATTGTTTTCTCGGTTGTAAATATGATATGTTTACAAGGTTCTTCGAGCATGGTGGAACGCCATTCAAGCAAGGGATATCAGGTCAGTGCAACCCTTGAATACCTGAATACCTTCGGACACAACAAAAGCTACACATTTTTTGTGAGTTACATTTGTCATTGCTTTGAACCTACACAGTTGCTTTTGGTTTGAGAAACGTGTAAACGTCATTGCATGTGTTATCACTGTTTGCTTAGTAGCTTGCATGATGTTCTCCAGGGCTGGTTTGGCACAATGTCTGTAGTATTATGGATATACCATTACTGACTATCATTAAATGATATTCGGTGATTATCTCCCGCATTTCTGATGTTAGGAATGTGTACGAATCTTGAATTAAGGTTATTTATTTTGTGAGGTTTTGTCATGTTACTAACGGTCCAAGATATATATGCGTTGAGATCATTCTCTTTTTTGCCTACAATATAGTCTTCCTCAATATTTAAGCATATCTTCAATATTCTATGGAATCTTGCAGTTTCCTGCCACCTCATTGACATTATCTTGAATCAAACATAACTACAGTTTACTTGGAAAGAATCAGACCGGTATACACGATAATCGTGTCTCTCCTTGAGTGGCCCACAGATCCACAATAAAAGAGCATGCAAGACGAAAATAACATTTGAAAAGACATCACGTTCTATTGATAACCTTACCGCCGGTCAATTGTTTCAAATTGAACTTGGATGGCGGGTTGGCACACCACAACTAGCAGCCGTGGACTGATATCACGTACAGTCGCCATCCAAATCTGACAGTTCACCGCCAACCTGAAATACTGTATTAGTATCCACAGTATGCAGCGTGATGAATAAGTACACAAAACTTGGGCCAAGTGCTCGGCCACAGCAAACCTATGCGCCATTTCAGGTTCGCGGTAATGGAGAAGGTATCCGGAAGCGGGTCGTAACAATGACATCTCTCACCTTCCTGATGGGGTATTCAGTCTACAGCCGCCCCAAGCTTGAAAAAGGGGGAAACAATCTCCCAAAGATTGTCATTGATTATAACCCCCTTTGACAAAAGGAACCGACCCGGATCGTCAAGCGTGAAGGACGGCGTGACCCAGTGCCCTTGCCATGGGTCCAAAGACGGGCCCGAGCATCGATAATTCAGATTTCTGTCCGTCCCGAGCATCATTGTCTCTGCAGGTTGGCTTGACGACACGGAACCTGCCGTGGTCAATTTCACTCGGTGAGTAGCTGAACCCAATATTTGAGTAGCTGAACCCAATATTTCCCGCCCTGGGGGCAGAGGGGAGGAGGTGTCGATCCACATGAGCACACTAAGGGGCCTGCCTCGTGCAGGGTGGAAACTTGTCTCCGGCTAAAGTTTGATCTGACATTCACAGAACCACTTTCGGCACGGTGAAGAGCTTAGAAATCGTACGAGCGCATAGCTGCATCTGCAGGAATAAAGGTGGTGTGCACATTTTGTCGGATGTTCCTTATTTCTGGTTTCTATTCCTCGGCTGGAGATTGGCTGTCACAGGTTGAGTTGGGAGATTCTGATCACATCTCTTGCAGACTGAAGTGCTGATCGCCCGGGGAGATACCCTTTCGAGGACATTGACCTGCTCGTGGCGAGTGGGATTGGGTGAAGGATGGATCGCGGGTCAGATCCCGGGTCAGATCCCGAGCTTGAGACTCGGACATCCTAACCTCTCAGAGACTGTCCGGGGAATTCTGCAGATGCATGTTCCTGTTCCTGATCACAAATACTCAAAATGGGGGATCCTTCTCGCTTCCTTCTGATCTGTCATGACTCAATGTGACCCGACATCTCCCGTCGAGAAGGGATCAACAGTGAAAGCGGAGTGCAATCAATTCATGGCAAAAGCAAAGCCATTTTACTCGTGTAGATAGCGATTTTTATCCGCGGCATTCGATCTCCGACGCAGTACTCCACTGAAGCGAACTCTTCGTTTATGAACGAGTCTCTTTTCGGTTAAGCGGAAGTATTGCTAGAACAACCTAGAAACCAGATTGTTCTGTGAATAATTCGCTCAGCCAGATGGGGTCAAAGGTGAAAGGACAGAAGCCGATCGACCTGGAGGCTCGAGCTCTATGCCCACATTCAAAAATAACATTGTACTCCGTAAAGCAATTGCCACTGGTTACGTCGAGCTGAGTATAGAGTGGACTTGCATCCTGGGGACTGTGGAGTTGATCTGATCGCGCCTGTAGTGGAGGTTGTTGCGCCTGGCTCAAAAAGAAGACACTCCATTCAATATGCATAATATATTAATTGAGGACCAATGGCCAGCAAATGTTAAGAAATACACAGTACATCTCTCCAATACGTGCGAAATCCACGTGACTGTATAACCCCCTGAACCAGGCACATGTTTCCCCCTTCACCGAGGCGTCGGTAGTCAATAGCGTCTTACTCAATATTGGGACCAAGCATGAGGGTCAATAATCTACAGCAACCTCTCCTCAAAGAGACTACATGGATAGGCCGAACCATTAAAAACGCGAAACACGCCTCTATCACCTCGCCAAACGGTGACGCGAGGATCCCTCTACCGTGCCGTCCCGAAAGTGATGATAGACACACTTTCACACCTATCATACCCCTGTTCTGTCCCGTTCCCAAGGAACGCTCCGCGGGAAGTGTGTGGGGAAAGGGGTGGCCACCATTGCAATATACAGTGTAGTTAAGCATGCTGGATGTTGGAACTATTGAATGTCGCAACGGCCGAAAAACAATACGCGATGCGCTTCGATACCGCTAGTCTACCGTCTATCATCGTGGGAAACGATAGATCAACACTGCGACTATCAATACCAGTATAAACACTATACGTATCACTATACTCTCTCTTACCAGGCGCATTCCTCCACCCCAAAGGCTACAGTTCTGGTCCGCTTGCCCAGACTCTTCGATGATTGTTTTTGCCACCAGTGCTTTTCCGATAGGCCAGACTAACTCTGTTAGCCTCCCCACTACCAAACCCCTGTTCATTGCCCAAGATCTGGTATGCACATGGGTGTCGACATGGAATACTCTTAGTCCCGCATACAAGTTTAGGCACGTGTTTCAAACAAAGAGACCGGACAAGCCGCGGAGTTTACAGATTCCTTTCGCGATATCGGGCCAGGATCTTCAAAATAGTCTACTAGTAAGCTCTGGACTCGAACCTTGCGGAAACTTAGCAACCGCGGCAAATTAGCCCCCCTCTATCGGCAGTTGCAGACGTTGAGCCATTGATTTTAGAGTGAGGACCCGGTAATATGGATATCGTTTCTGCCTGCAAGCATGGACCCTGTAATAATGAATCAACGCAGAATTTTCTCCAATTCGAAATCTCAAAATCTCAATACTTCAAAAGTGGATAGATGACCGTAAGATGCATCAAGCTCCACGAAAAGATACGCATTGTAAATCCTAAAACCCCTTGACAGGAGCCAAAACCCACCAGCGCAATCCGAGGCTTTGTCCCTGGAACCGGGAGGCCTCTTCCGCTAGCCCACTTTAAGTACCAAGCCGCCCCAAAAAGGAAATGCTGATCCAATTTTGGGACTTTGGTGTACATGTACAGCTCTCGAGTATCATCTAGACCCGAATCGCCCCTCCAGAATGAAGATCTCAGATCCCGCACAAAGCAGATAAAGAAATATCTCACGCGTGGCGCGGCACCCCGGTCGCGTTGCAACGCGGACACGGCATCTTCCATGAACACGGAATATACAGCCGGTGTAATCTCTTTCGTCGATCACCGGCCTCCGAGCCCTAGACAGGTCTAATACCTACATAGTAACGGTGGCGCTGGGGGATAAGGAATAGGGGAAGCGTCGAGACTTCGGATTCCTTAGCCCCTCAAGTACCGGCTGAACCGTTGTGCGGGAACATGTCAGCCAATCCACAGCTCTGCGCGTCCCACATGTCTTCTGGTGGCTTTCTAGGCATCTCGCGGATGTCGACCCGGACTGCGCTTATGGATAAGGAGGTACACTGTACTTTACGACCCAAATGAACTGTGGAGTATGACGTGTGGAGAGGAGTGCAAAATTCAATCTTTTCTTTGTTGGTTCTCCATCGGAGGGGATTGCTGCGCCGTTCTCTTTCAGAGGAATTGCACTAAGTGGGCTTCGGTATTGAACCGGCAAATTGAAACTGTAGTCTGTATGTATCTTTTACCGTTACAATGGTGAATTACTATACGTATCTAGGTACTTGATACTCCATACGCGCTCTATATGTACTTTATCTTTGGAACCCTGCTACTAGTTCGATTTAGAGGCAATCTAAATGTCGGACTGAGATCTAGATGTCCATGTTGTTATGCGTGTGTTTGATTGTTTGCCGTGATCCAAGTTTATCGACCTATGAATGGTTGTCCCCTGTCTTCCGTCTATGCGCTTGTGGGTTCCATGGGTCAACCTGCGTTAAATTCAATGTCACAATTTTCAGGGCACATATGTTTACTTTCTGTCACTATACGACTGCAAGGCAAATAGCTCGTATTGCCTTCGCGAGACCTTTGGGTTTAGGTTACGACTATAGTGGAAATGATGCCATTTCGTTATTAACTTCAGTGGCTGTATAGATTGAACACGACGGATAATATATGATGAAATGTGGAATTTCGCATACTATGTGGCGGCCTGAGGAAACCCAACAAACTCAAACTATGAAGGTTGTGTAACAGCGTAGTTACACGATCGGCTTCGCGGGGTAAGCCACGGCACTCACTGCTCTATGCAACATCCGATTTCAACAAACATAATTTCAAGGCAAATCGTCCCGAGGTCTGCATGTTGAATCACACGCGACACCAGACCGCTCTTATTCCGATGAAAACCGGATATCCAATTTTTGAGGTACGATCTTGCAGCCAAACGCAGGTACCTGTCCTGCTACCGGGTCTGATATGCAGCTAAGCCTGTGGTGCTCTATCTCAGCCTCAGCCACTCACCGCATCTGAAATAACTTTTACGCCCACGAGGTTGCACAACATGTACTCGTCTCGGCTAAAAGAAAAATTGTGTTTTGAGTATGCTAGAGTTTATCCTGGTCTGATTTAGCCGGCCTTGGATCATTGAGGACTCGTGTTGCAGCCGTTGTCCAAGTTGAGCGTGAAGATCTTCGTGAATATATCGATCACATTGGCAATTACATACGATGATCATCTTCATACTTTAATTGAATTCACATCTGATACACAATTCTTCCGCCGACATGTCTGTAAGGCATGAGAAGTCAGACGAACAGGCCACCACTTGATTCCATCTACACCCAATAGACAGTACATTCCAACGAGAGAGCTCCTCCGTGGACCCCTCTTCGCACGGCATAGCCATGTTACTTGCCAGGTTTTGTTGATTATCGGCTACCAGCCTTGATCTCATTCTCAAGGTGAAATTCAAGACATCGACTCAGATCTTCAGTCCGCTTCTCCGTCTTGTTTCGGTAACTGAGGCCCACGAGGCTGAATGCGGTATTAAACGAGCAGTCCCCAAATTGGTATTTTCATCAGTCTACCCCGCGAATCACCTGTTGATCTCTACCCCCTAGACACATCGGACTAGATTACACCGGACGAAAGCCGATGGCATCATTCAGTTGAAGAACTAGACCGAAGGAAGATACACAGACTAAACAAAACAACGGCGGCATTAAACAGAGACAAGGCCTACGGAGTACTGTCAAGGATACCGTTAGTGATCCAGACTGCCCCGGGGCCTCTCTTGATTGCTCCTACCGGAATAGGACAACTGTATGGGGCCAAGGTCTCAACCTCGGCGAAGCAAATGTGACAATTCCGCTCTTCCCTGACGATTGCTTATCAAAACCGACGGGGCCTGCAGCACAATGGCTATAATACTACATTGTAAGTCCTTTGGGAGAATGGCCGTGCATGCCCCACTGCTTGGGCACAAGTCTGTCTTCTAGTGATGTACAATTTACGCGTCTGCGATGCAGCTTACAAGGCAAGCCAAGAAAATAGTGAGACTGGAGTCGAACTGAAGTACAAATGCAAACAGACAATATGGCGCAAACAGCGCGAGATGAGACAACCAAAAAAATCCCGAGACAGCACCCGATAGATGCGGGCTGGCCCGTCCATGTATCACCCTATGAGTTGCATTGTGCGACGTTTTCCAGAGAGAAAAGAAAGAAAAAGCGAAGTACAAGCAAATTCGTATACAAACAACAAGCTATGTCTGGAAATTCGAGTAACTCGACTATTGCATAGACGCGACCGTGGAAAGCCTCACAAACCTGTATCAGATAGAGTACCCAGCTCTCTACCATGGTTCGAACCCGACTTCGGCGCGGACATCCTCCCAATCCAAGGTTCGGTCTGCAGATCGCACTTTGCCCTCCTCCCCTGATGTGATAATGTGGAGGAGGCTTGCATTGGAGATTAACGGAATCGGCCATTGGACCCTACGAGGCGAGGCGTGTCGGAGTGTTTTCTTTCAGATTCCTACTACTATAGGCTGACAGGGCTGTTCCTATGCTGTCGTTGGCTATAAGCTGGCTGACCTACATTAGTGCTTCATTAGTTACGGGTTTGTCACCAACTATAGCAGTCTTATCTTGCTAGTCTCTTCTTCCCCAACGAGTCACAGTTTCCAGAAGCATGTGACGGCTAAGTGATGTACGCGTAGGAGAATTCAGTACGCATTTTCGAATTGCGAACGAGCCTGGCAACTGCAGAATCACCGAGTCCATGCAGCTCTGTGAGACTGTTGGTCGCTGCGGGAGGAGGGGCGAGTGATGGAGCTTGGAGAACTGGCATATTGTAATTGTCATTGTCATTAATGCTGAATGTACTGTGTATTACGGGCTTTTCCCGAATACATTTGCCTAGCTCTCCAGTCAGTCTAGACCCAGTTGTGGGCGAAACTGCCCTATAGTACGTTCCGTATATTCTCGTTATTCATTTTTGGCGACTCAGATTTCAGCTTCTCTTCCCCGGTCGTTCTCAAAGCACGAGAACACATTGATCAAGTAAGTTATGTGTGTTACACATGTTTACGGGTCCTTGGTTCTCAAATAATTGGTACTTTCTCGGGGTGTTCAAAAGTACAGAAAATTTTTCCTCCGAGCCCTCGCTATTATTACATGTATCCCGCAGGGTCTTAGACAGGGGCGGGTCTGAGCTTGCATCCGGCTAGACATTAACTATGCCTCACTATGCAAGCCTCTGGTGGCCCTGCGACGTGTTTGTTCGCACTTTACCCTCAACCTTGGAAGCTCCCCTTCCCGTTTGTGGATCCTGTTTGCCAACGTGAATCTGTTCTTTGGTTCCTGCCCCACGCGGGAGGGGAAAGGAAGGGGAAGATGGAGGGGGAGATCTTGCTAGCTTGGTCTGGTTGTCAATAATGGAGTATCGGGGGAAGACAAGGGGGCGCAAGTGTCAACGGGTTAGATATATGACTTGGATGTACACTCCATACTCCATACTCCGTACCGAGGGAGACTACCGTATTCGCAATCACATTGAAAACGCCAATCCCACACGGGACTAAACAAAAGAAAAAGAGTTTATGGCTGCTGTCACTTTTGGGGCCGGTCGCTGCGGCGTCGATCCCCGGAGGATACTTGACAGGCAACGTGAGCCCTTTTCTTTCGCTAGAAATTATGATTGATCGCGTCCCCCTACTGCAGGCTCTAGCACACACGGTCAATGCATTAAGGCATGGCCTGATTTAACCCCACAGGATTTATTTCGGGGTGGCAATATGATTGGTCACGGAGTGGCGGTTTTCATTTTTTGAACAAATTGGAATAGAGGATCCGTTGCGTTTGGGACAGGTTTTAGTGAATTTTTTTAGTGAAAGGTCTGGAATTGTGTTCCGCAGAGGACGTGCACAAATGGGGGTACTTTGGGGCCAGGTATCTCTGTGCGCGCCGAATGGTGGATGAGGAACCTTCTTTGTTGGTACTAGTGGGTGTTTATTGGCATTATTGGCATTACCAGTATTTGTACAAGCCATTTAGAAGGAGATCAGTATTCCTAAGAGTAGGAGTACAGAGTATTCTGTTCTTGTTACCTCAAATACAAAATTGGGTTGAGTAAAGTAGAGTACTGTAAGTAGAGTACTAGAACTATTGGCAGATAAAGTATAAGGCCCGAAGTAAACCATGAAAAATAAAAAAATTAATCGCACTGCGTACCGTCTGTACGATACCCGTCACATTATATCATAAGTACCCATACAGCCCCATTACCAGTGGAGTATGGATCGTCCCGATCGAGTCCCAGAAGATTCACTCCAGAGAGCTATTATTCCACTGATTTCCCTCCTTCTCTTTCTCTTCATAGTTCCTCTTTTCTGCTTCACTGTCTTTTTTTGCCCCTTCCCTGTTTTTGCTTAATTATCATCATTATCATTGCTGCCGGTGGCAATTGCAAAGCTATACTTAGCATTTATCCCTTTGGCCCTTGCTTAATTGGGACCTCTCCCCACTACTTCCACTTCGGCCTTTTTTCCTTGCAGTGATCTTCGATAGAAGGGTGCACTTAACTACTCAAATCTCCCTTCATAGGCTGTCTGGCATTACCCCAACCACTCTCATCCCTTGGTATAGGGTTGACCCTCGCTATTGCGACTCGTCATCCCTCCGGCAGGTGGTTGTACCGGACTCCTGATAGGAAGTCTGTTTACTGTTTATAGTTTTATTACTTTATTATCGAGGGTATGTGTCGTGCAGTTCAAAGCTCCTAAATCCTAACCCCCCTCCCTGGCATTCCAAGCCTCCCCTCCTTTCCTTGGAATTGCGCATTCCAAACATTCACTCCCTATACTCCTCTATACTGTCTTTTCAGCCCTTGTCCTCAGTCAATTGACCTAGATTGTATAGGATCTTCCCCAGCCTTCGGCGATCTGATTCCTCCCCTCAATCCTTGATTCTATTGTCTTCGAGTACCTGTTCGTCTTTTGGTTTTACCAAACAATGTCAATTGCATCTCTCGAATAAACGCCGTCGGTCAGTGACCTCCGCGGAACGAATTATCAGTTACGGATCGGACGAGAGATGGAATCAATGAAGCCACACATCCCCCCGTTAAAGATTTCGAAATCCAATTCGAATTTATCCGAACCAAGCGACAGACATACGCCGAGTCGTTTCTATTCCGCCTGGGGCCAGTCTGAGATGACTCCCCCGTTAACACCACAAGGAACACAAACAAACATGGATCAATCGGAGCCCCCGAGGCCTGTCTTTCACAACTACCTGCGCGCCTTTTACCCTTTTCACCCGGCCGGAAATGTCTCCCCTTCGACCGTTACTCTTCCGCTGGATCAAGGAGACATCGTCTTGGTTCACTCTGTTCACACCAATGGCTGGGCCGATGGTACCCTATTAGATTCCGGGAATCGAGGCTGGCTACCCACGAATTATTGCGAAGCATACGACCAATTGCCCATGCGCCCTTTGCTCAAGGCCTTGACTGATTTCTGGGACATCATTCGAGGAGGATGCGGGTCATCATTGAAGGATTTTGGAAACCAAGATTTGATGAGAGGCCCTATCGCTGGCGTTCGGTTTCTTTTGGTAAGTACTATTGTGATGGAAGGTATCCATACCACAGGGCTTATAATTCCACAGGAAAAGTCAGAATGTCTCACGAGAGAATCGCCCCTGGTAAGGAGATTCGATGGACTGCGAAGGATCCGGAAGGCATTGCTCTCTGATTTGTCTTCGCTGGTGAAAACTGCGAAGAAGTTTCAGGAAATTGCCAACGGGACACCGTCGGATGATGAGGTCGAGGGAATTTTGGATGAAATGCTTCTGAAGGCTTTCAAGATCGTCACCCGCGGGGTTCGATTCCTCGACGTCTGGAATGAAGAGGTTGGCTTGAGCAGGACTATTGCTGAGTTGGAATCAAACGAGCCCCGAGGCCAATACGACATGCCACCCACGCCGGCTTCCGAGAGCTTCTCTTGCGAAACAGAAGGCCCTGAACGCAACGAGTCACGAATGATGGAATCACGAATGGAATCACGCATGGAGTCGCGTATGATGGAGTCGCCACGCATGAGCCGCAGCCGTATGGACATGAGCCGGGCATCAATTCGAACCGAATCATTTGATCACCCACCTCGACCAGTGTCCGTTGCCACGAAGCGAGTTTCTGTCTCTCATCGCATGTCATTCTCCAATCCTTCTGCATCTATCCGCGCTCAGAACCTGGCATCAGAGCGTCTCGGAACCACATATGATGCGTTCCTTGGAGTGCTTGGGTCGTTCATTGGACTTCACATGCAGTCTCGTTCATCAACGGAGCTGGTTGTCACCACTCAGCAGGCTGTGCAATCCTGCCGGGCTTTGCTTAACGTAGTTGAGTCAGTCTGCGAGCATGATACCCAGCGTAGTGTGCTCCTAGACCAGGCCCGCGAGGAAATGTGCGAGAAGTTGTCTGAGCTTGTCCACGCTGCGCGCGACGTGTTTCGTCCAGCTCATTCCTCTGACGACGATCTGGTCTTCATGCCAGATGAAGGCAAACGCCTTGTTGACGCTGCCACAGACTGTGTCCGAGCTGCTGGTAACTGTTTGGCGAAGGCTCGCCTGGTGCTTGAGCAAATTGGGGACATTGAACTTGACCCTGAGAACACAGAGATTCAGTCTTTAGAACAAAAACCAGAAGAACGACAGGAAATCTCCCTTCGTCTTCCCCCTCCTCCTCTTCAGATCCCCAGCACCACCTACTCTCCCCCTACCCCTGCTCTTACCGACGCCACTACTCCGTCTTCCTTCCAATCTCATATCACCAACAGTCCCGCCAACCTCTCCGCCTTGTCTTCTCTACCTAACTCTGCCATCCTTCCCACTCATCCCGAGAATATGGCTTCCTTCTCATCCGCCGACAGTGGATATCCTGAAAGCCATGGCAAGTCTGAGATGACCGAATCATTTGGCCGCGGTGTGACAAGCAATGGCAGCAGCTTCACATACAACAGCCATGCACGTGACTCAGAGATGAGTGGTGTTTCTCAGACGTCCACCCGGGCTACCTCGCCTGATATCGGTGGTAGCTTCCCAGGAAGCTTCCATGGCCCCTCGCTAAAGGAAAGTGTCAGCCGTTCGACTCTCGCCGAGGAGAATGAGGAGACGGAGGCTCATCTCCTGGAGAAGACCTACGCCCACGAGCTAATCTACAAGGAGGGATCGGTGATGGGTGGTAGCCTTCGCGCTCTCATTGAGAAGCTCACTGCTCACCAGTCCACCCCCGATGCCATGTTCGTCTCAACATTCTACCTCACCTTCCGTCTCTTCGCCACGCCCATTGAATTCGCTGAGGCTCTCGCTGAACGATTCGAGTACATCGGTGATACTCCCCACGCTGCTGGACCCGTCCGCCTGCGTGTTTACAACATCTTCAAGGGCTGGCTGGAGTCGCACTGGCGCCACGACCGTGACAACATCGCCCTGGATTTCATTCTCCACTTTGCCAAGACGAGACTGGTTGCTGATCTGCCCACTGCTGGCAAGCGACTGATTGACTTGGGAGAGAAGGTGTCCGCAGTTCACGGCCCTGTTGTGCCTCGCCTGGTTTCATCCATCGGCAAGACCAACACTTCAATTGCATCATACATCCACCCCGATACTCCTCTGCCTCCTCCTATCCTCAGCAAGAAGGAGACCAACCTTCTCAAGCAGTGGAAGAACAACGAAGCCTCGATTAGCATCCTTGACTTTGACCCTCTCGAGCTCGCTCGGCAGTTGACTATTAAGGAGTCCCGCATCTTCTGTTCAATTCTCCCAGAGGAACTCCTCGACACGGAATGGACCCGGAAGTCCGGCTCACTGGCTGTCAATGTTCGCGCCATGTCCACTTTGTCGACCGATCTCGCCCACCTGGTTGCTGACTCCATCTTGAATCTTGAGGAGCCCAAGAAGCGTGCTGCCACCATCAAGCACTGGGTTAAGACTGCCAACAAGTGTCTCGAGTTGAACAACTACGACTCACTCATGGCCATCATCTGCTCATTGAACTTGTCAATGATCTCCCGGCTCAAGAAGACATGGGACATTGTTTCCCAGAAGACCAAGACGACTCTCGAGAACCTTCGCAGCATCGTCGACGTCTCTCGCAACTACGCCGTGCTTCGTCAACGCCTCCAGAACCACGTGCCTCCCTGTCTGCCCTTCGTCGGTACTTACCTGACCGACCTCACCTTCGTCGACCACGGCAACCAGTCGCTTCGCACCCTGTCTACCGATGATAGCGAGATGGCAGTGATCAACTTCGACAAGCATATGAAGACCGCCCGCATCATCAGCGAGCTCCAACGCTTCCAGATTCCCTACCGCCTGACCGAAGTCCCCGAACTCCAGGCTTGGTTGCAGAACGAGCTTGTGCGCGTACGCTCCAACGGCGAAATCACCGCCCAAACCTTCTACCGCCGCTCCCTGGTCCTCGAGCCCAGAGAAGCATCTCGCAGCGGAAACACCCTCCAGTCGCAGACATCCGACTACAATCCCTCACTTCTCGACAATGCCAAAGACAAGTTCGACTTCCTCTCCTGGACCAACCAGTCCAAGGCAAAGTCCGTCCCAACGCATGGTTAATCTCCGTGAACCTACCTCTTACCACTTCACAAACTTATGACTGATGACCTATTACTTATCTCATTCCTCATATCCGGTTCACCTCGTGTTTCATTTCATATCCTTCCGACCACTGTTCTACTATGCTCGCTTGCATCATCTCATTACCTTTCCACATCATTTCTGCGATTTGTGAATATCCCACTATCTTCTCCAGCTTACTCTTTTTTATTTCTGGGCGGCACTTTTTGATATCTTTTTTTTTCGCTATTCTCTACGAGAATATAGCATTTGAAAAGCGGCTATGGAACAGGTCTGGGATTCGACCACATGGAGTTTTACCAACGGCCTTTGTTTTTTTGCTTTTGTTTTTTTGTGCTGCTTTTTTGCGTGATATCTTAATTTCTGTTGTATCTGTTCTTTTCGGTCGGGGAACTGGGAAAAGGGGACAAGGCGGACTTGGGGGTTGGGAAAAGGGTCTTTCTCTCCCGGGTTCGGATTTCCTCTAGACAGGACTTTATTAGCCTCGCGGCTTCTGTACAGGAGCTCTGTTTCAAGCTGCCTGCAATGCAATACGCTTATTATATTATCTGTCTCAGTATTTTTGTAGATTCTTTCATTTAACAAGTCGTAGTCGTAGTCTTCGTCTCCATTGTCTTGACACTATGAACTGGCACTCAAATATGATACCCTCTAGAATGTAATATTACGTCCAAGAATACAACAGCCTTATTGAATTCTTGCTATACTCTGTTCACCGGAGACAAGCCTAGAAACTGCATATGCGGAAGGCTTGATTGACCTCAAGCCGCACTGAAGACCTTATTCCAAATCATGGCATGACATTCTGATAGTCAATTCGCGACACATCAAATCGAAGCAATGCTAAGTTCACTAACGTTATAGCCTGCATTGCATGCCTCCATGATCCATCAATTGAGATCCAGAACCCCAAAACCCTAACCCACGAAAGACAATCCCCCATTTAACAGGAACCAACTGCCCCGTAATCCAATGCGAAGCATCAGAAACAAGAAAGCGACCAAATCCTCTCAACATCTCCAAACCTCTCCCCCAAACAAGCCCGATCACTCATGAAAATTTCATGCCCACCACCCTCTCCTCCCCAAGCTCACGCAGATAATCCTCAATCATAGGACTTCAAACAGCAGGCAGCACAGCATCAATCCGAATCCCATACTTCCCCCAGTCCCTCGCAATAGCCCGCGCGAGCACCAGGCACAGAATAAACATGTCTACAGACTTTTGGGAAGAAAACGATATTCTCTATCTTCGAGATGAACTCTCAGAGAAGCGAATCAACATAATCCTCGCCCGACTCCCGCCATCCCCCTGACTATGAGCCGATTTGGTACCAACTCTCCCGGTCCGCTTTGATGGCGGCTATGCCATGGCTTGCTTTATTGATAGCGGAGCCAGTCAATTGGTCGCTCTATATGTTTATTTGATTGTTTAATCTCGTTCCTGCCCCCGCCTTTCCATATCGGGCGGATTATCGCAATGGGTGGTCTCGTAATAATGTTATGGAGTTTGTGGACCCATGCTTGGGCTTATCTATTTTTTGGGATGCTGCTCTTGTCATAATTGGCGTGATCATCGAGCGAGGCGTATATACACTCCTTGGCTCGGATGGACTATAGCTAATCATAGACACTTATTTGAAGGTCTTCGTCTAGAGGCAGAGTGCAGGACTGTTGGTAGCCAGCCAAATTGAGAGCCTTTTGATTTCAACTTTAAAGCGATTTCAAAATACCTAGATCGGGTTGAGTCTATTTGGCTCGCGTTGCTTCTATGAATTCATACAGCCCCACCCTCCATTGGAAATGGTACAAAAGATCTTCAAAAGAACAGAGTGGAATCCTACCTGAATGTGATCATCGAAATTCTTAGAACCTTTGTTACTTGTATGTGATATCATTTGTAAACTGACAAGAAAGTCTCGAGCCTCAAAATTACCACAGTGCGTTAGTTAGCCATAACTTACCATATCACATAAACCCAACAAGCTTTATGTTGTGTACGATCTGATTAAAGTTCAGATTCTATTATGACACGTTGTTATTATTGAAGATCAAAAAACTAGTCCAAGTGTCACTCCATTCCATCAGTTTCTATTTTCATTAGTGGCCGATCCTTGCATAAACCCTACGCCACATTTCCGACACCGCGGTACATGTACTGTGTACTGTACAGCAGACAGGTAAGTGGTACAGTAAGTACAGTATTGTAAGCCCCAGATCCGCATGCAAGGGATACATTCAACTTACCCCAAGTTCGAACCAAAGTAGGATTCTTACTGTAACACTAGATGCAAGTGGACGGTCTGCTGTCAGTTATGTGATGTATTGGAGTAATGCAGCCACCCATGTTCGTCAAAGACCTGCAAGCCCAGGACGAATCGAAAATTTCTTGATGTCATGCATGATTTATGCACGATGTATCTATCTTGTTCATGCTGGTCCATACAGTCATACAAGTCCCAGCGGATGGAAGCTGGGAAACTAGAATGCACCTCGCTTCAGGGTATCCAATTGTTTTTAGTTGAAGTTACTGATCTCGCAGGTTTCAATGTATGGTGCTTTTCATCGATTTCGATGTTTTAAAGTCTATTAGAAACGGAGGTTGTATTTTCACTTTCTTGGCTGTGACCCGAGGCAAAGGAAGGTGATCGGTCATATGTGGTAAGAAAATCGAACCCAGGGTTCGATGAGGGATTTTCGAACTGCGTGGAAGGCACCTGGGCAACGACTCACTTGAAGCTGCAGGCCTAGGTGGGGGAAAGCGATAGATCAACCAGGATAGACCGGGTCTGCATACGGCTACTCTAGGAAGAAGATGTCAAAGTAGAATCCACAAAACTCACTTTAGTGGCGAAGTATGCAAATAGTGCGAGTTTCAAAACTTTCCAAAATTGATGCTCTTCAGCAGTTTGTATACAATAATATCCTGTTGCGGGTTCCAAATACCAAAATGCCCGATGTTTTCTGTATAACCAATCCAAAACATCTATGTTACATACTGGGACCGAAACGCCTCCACAAAATCCAAATCTGTTTTGTCATCGTTAAAACTCGTTTCCCTGGTATCCAAATGCAGAGGCAGGGGTGCGGTGGTGTTGGGGAGGGAACGGAGGTCAAGTATTGGGACCATTGAAGGGCGCCCATGGGCACACTGGAATGGAAAGGCGCAGCGAGCCAGCCTCGCGACTAAAGCTTGGCACTCCTCAATGCTAAGGTGATCATTGAACATGATAGCGGTGCGACATGCGCGAGAATTCAGAAGTTCAACAATGCCGTCGGGACATCCATTCATCTGCTGAACCCATGAATGAGAAGTGAAGGGCCTTTTTTCTGGCTTGAGCACCGTGTCTTCACAGTCTGACAGATCCGAGTCCTGTTCAAGCTCCTCAGTTGGAAATGTGCTCTTAGACCGTAATGGCTTCTTGCCATTCTCCTCACTTGACCAGATCTCACGTCTCATCAAGTCGACTAGTACATGAGGTTCAAGGCGACAGCGCTCAGCTATAAGCGCAGGAAGAGTGTGCACGGTGACTGCGGCAGTAGATTTGGTCTTCAATTCTGTCGTATACAGAATACCCCAGGCCGAGAAGAAACCCTTGTACTTTTGAAAAAGATCACCCTCTGTCGATGAGACTTCAAATGCCAAAGAAGCGATTTGGACAGTTCGCACATGGGCATCTTGATCCAGAGTCCCGGTTGTGTCGGGAGAGACAAACATGTCGCCAAACAACTGTTCAACTCGGCATCGCTCATCGGCCGCGTGCTGGTCAATTAAAAGCAGAACATCGTTTGAACGCTGATCCCCACCGAGTTTCTCGCCAGCAGTATGTAAATTGGCGAGAATGAACTTCTTGTCTACCTGGGCGATAACCTCAGCGGTTTGGAGGCCGCGACGTCGGAGCTTCCCTCGGTATTTTGCAACCTGTGTCGTCTCCAGAGACTCAATACCGTTGAAGCAGTCATGTGGAATGGTTTTGTTCTGTGGCCCAGTGGAATCTAGACCCAAATTTGGTATAGGCATTTCCGTTCGGTTGAAAGCAGGGTTCTCCCATGCGCCCAACATGCTTTCTACCCAAAAGCTCTGTGTTGGAAGTTTCGACGAGGCACCAAGAGAGCCCGTTGAACAAGAATGCTGAAGAGGTATCGATTGTCGAGGGTTTGTTGTTTGGCCCGTGTGAGGATTTATTAGATAGGCCAACTTTGTATGCGGATCAATCCAAGTGATCATCTTGTCTGAAGGTGGGCACTCAGAATTATCCTGCGTTCTGGCCATATCTTGTTCCGTCGACTTTGGCTTGGGCAATCCGGATGACTCGGTGAAGGCTATGCAACCCCTGTCCCGATCTGACTTTGACCCAGTTAATGTAGACAAGGACCTACCCTCCTCACTCGTTTCGAGATGAACATGCGAATGTCGAGTTCGTGGAGTAGCAGAGTGTATTTTTTGGTCTTTCGCTGCTTTGACTCTAGACCAATTACTAAAGCTCTGACCAGAATTGATGGATTGAGGTCTTGGAAACGATGGTAGCTTCACGCGACCACTCAACGCCTCTTCGGTGGTTGACACAGACTGGCCTTGACTGATGGAATCATGAGACATTTCGGAACCCTTGGACTCCGTGGGGCGAAGGCTCCGAGTCCGATCCGATGAAAGTGTTGGCCGCTTAGTTTTACGGGGACGCATATTGTGCTGCCTCAAAAACTCGTAAACCATAGCCCCAAGTACATCGACAATCCGTTGAATTGACTTGTCTGATTCCGGAAAAGTCTCACGTCCATCATTGTCCCGCTGGAGAGCGATGCTCGTGTCAACACGTATGTAGAACATGGGCCATTTGTTAATGGGCTTTGCCCAGCTTCTGGTGCTTGAATTACTAGGAGCATCTTGCCGACTCACTGAGACTGCTGGGCTGGCGGCCGACATCGCGTCGGATATGGCTCCAGCATTCCCAAAGTCGGAAAACGAGAACAGTCGGTTGACCTCATCGTACAGAACGTTTGAACTATTGCGTGACAGCAAAGGTTCTTTTCCTACCGAGATAAATTGAACCTTTCGAGTCGGGCTAGGTAAAAGAGATATTGCTCCTCGAACGGCAAGATCAGGAACCGAGGCAGACAGTTCATGCCAATGTTCCACGTGTCGGGAAGAGATCAGCCCAGATTGTGTGAGAATCGAACCAATGCGCTTGAGGTTAAAATCATTATCGCCGCGTGAGACGGGTAAATCGGACACAGAAAGGGCGCCAAGACGAATGGAGACCCGTTTACTTTTCTCTGCATCAGACAGGACCAATTTCGAGAGCTGGGGATTGCTCAACATGAGAGACACCAAGGAGTATCTCAAGTTGTCCCACTCTCGTTCCATCTCATCGGACTTCTGAAGAGCGAGTGCTCGACTCTTAACACGGACTGGCATATTTCCAAAAAGGTCATTGACCGTAACAGACGTGCCATGATTGCCAAAACGGAGCACTTGATGCGGTGGTGCAGGGATTAGCCGTGCAACAGGTGTCGAATGATGCAATATAATGGAGTTAGTGCTCTCATATTGCATATGATGAGAGGTCAGGGTCAACAAAGACAGAGAGGCCAGGGAGGCCAAGAACAACCCCCGGTGGCCAAAGGAGCCGCTCAGATTGAATTTAGATGTATCTACCACAGGCATTAGCAGACATGAAAGGGCGCTAGGACTTGCATACATACGGTGAGCTTTGCCGAGTCCTCCAGTCGCTGTGAATTCAGCTGGAGGGATTCCATCGCCATCGTCTTCGACTAGACAACCACCACGTTTGAAGTCGACAGTCACGAAGATTGTACGTGCATTGGCATCCAAAGAATTTTTGACCAACTCCACAATGACACCATTCAAATGAGAGATAGAAGTTGAGGATTTGATCTTTGCTATCACATCAGGGGGCAGCGCTTGTATTGGCTGAGAAGGAGGCATCGACGCAGTTGTTTGATAGCTTGGCATTTACTGTGGCATTTCCCCGCAGGCAATGGAGTTGGGAGCACGACTAGATGAGCGCGCGTGAATCATGGTGTCACATGCCTTTCTCTTTCTAACTCTTCAATTGCGAATTGTGAACACTGTGAATGGAGCAAAATTGAAGATGCTGCGAGTATGTGAGAGGCAAGGGCACATGACGTCCACGGATAAACAGTCCTCCCGCCTCCACTTGCCTCGGCGTTCAATCCTCTCCCTGATCCCTTGTCTGCCCACAAGGGTTGTGAAGCCTGTACAGCCCATCATGGCTACTACTGAAGGTCCTGCAAGGGTGCACGGTAATTACAAGCCTTCTTGCTTGGTTGAAGCCTTGCTAACCCCTGGATGCCCGACAGACCGAAATGCACGTCGTCGCCCGTTCTCAAGCTGGATGAAGCGCCTGGCGAACCTCAAAAGCTCCTCCGATTCGACATCAAACCGCTGGTCCAACAAGCGCCATATAAACAATAAGGGCAAGAAGGGCGACCAAGGCAACAATCCATATCCTCTCTCTGGAACGATCAATCGTCACACAGGAAACCAAACACCCACCGACTCGTACACAGATCAAAACTATGGCTCAGAGTGTCGCTCGCGAAGTGGATCTTCTATGGTCCTATCGAATTATGATAACCCGGCTCCTATGACCAGTGCGAAATCGAATGCGCCGACTATTTCGACGAACGGTGACACCACTTTCTCCGAAGCCGCCTATTCAAAGGCTGGTACCTTGACAACTGGCACTGAAGGTTTCAGTACTCATGGAGGGGGGGAGGGTAGCACGTTTTCATCGCCGGCGCCCTCGGTTCGATCGTTGACAACTACCCTGACGACCGTGCACTCGGCTGCGCCCTCGACTCAGTTGTACAACACACACAACAATCACCATGGACACCACAATGGCAGCTCGACAAGTGGGTCTACGAACCAGCAGGTTCAATTCTCTCATCAGTTTCCCTCAACCTCATCGCCGGCCACCGCAGTCCCTTCACACTTGGTTCCCCATCATTCTATGACCTACAGCACCGCAACCGCCAACAATGTTTTGACTGATAATGCTTCTCTCCTCACCCTCGCGAGCTCTTCTAAGCGACGCCGCCGCAACTCTCTCGATACCAATGCATCTGTCCGTGCATTGGCTCCGTCCTCAGTATTCGGTGGTAGCCGCGAAAGCCTGCCACTGAGTGTTTTGAGTGGAAACACAAATGAAGCATCCAACACATCTGTTTTCAATGCTTCCGGTGTCCTTAGTCGACCAAGCATTGTTGGACTTGCTAGCGCAGAGCGCATCAGTGTTTATTCGTCCTCCGGGGCTGCCCCACTAGCTACTAGCGCCGAGCGAACTGGCTTCTACACTACCAAACAAACGGCCAGTGGTGACGGAGCCAGCATTCGCAGTGGTGTGCAATCGCACAGTCGAAATGACAGTACTGCTGCCAGCATCGTAGGTGGTGTTAGCTCTCCACTAGCCCTTACTGGTCGCGTGAGCCGCAGAAGCTCCGGCTGGGGAGAAATTACTGGTGAAGAGGAAAACAACGAGGATAAGCGGACTGAAATGAAGGAGGAAGATGAACTGGCGACCGAAGATGGGAATGGCTCTGATGAGCCACCGAAGGAATGATTCCACATGGCACGATCGCCATGTATCAGCTGGTCCCAATTGGCTGGCGATGCTTGAAGCTTGAATGACGTTACGCAAGGACATTTCGGAATCTGAGCGAATAGCGATTCTTTACTACATAATGACTTGATGCATTGAGCTTGCGGATTCGGTTATTTTTAATGGCTTGTTGGCGTTTTCTAGGCTGGGACTTTGATACCCTATGCGGTATGGACAAATTGATCTTTACTCCTCCATTCATACTGCATGCAAATCCATCTCATATATTCAGTATAACCTGATCGGATTGCTTTCTGGATAGTTGCATTCTTAGATGCATGTCTCTCGGGCCATTGACGCCAATCCCGGTCTTTGACGAGTACCATTTCATCGGCGCCGGATGAACATGGGCATATCGTACTGATACACAAACCAGGCATTCCGATACTTCCACTCATGCTTGGGGTTTACTAGTTGAATCTGTTCACAAGTCAGCACTAACAACACCAGTCTTAAGGAAGACCATAGACCACTCACGTCGAACGAGCTATAAAGCGTCGCAATTAACTTCTTGATTTCCAGCATAGCCAGGTAGCGACCCATACAGACACGACCACCACCACCGAAAACAAAGTCGACAGTATCCTTCATGCGCCGCTGGCGATCCTCAAAGTGCCTAGGGCACTCATCCTCACCCTGCAGCCAACGATCAGGATTGAAGGTATCAGCATCCTCGCCGAAAACCCCATAGTCGCGGTTCGTGACGAAAGGATTAATTCCTGCTTTCGTGCCTGCAGGGAGATACCGTCCATCAGGAAGCGTGAATCCACCCTCTGGGACGATACGTTCGAATATCATGGCAATGCCGGGATTCATGCGCATAGTCTCGCGAATGACGGCGTCTAGATAGGATAAATCGCGGATCCTCGTCCAGGATGCAGGGGCAGAGATACCAGCGGCATTGAGTTCGGCCGCGAGCTTTGTTGTTGCTGATGGTGTTTTGGCCAGGTAGTATACTGCGGCTCGCATGGTGGCGGAGCTTGTGTCGCCTCCGGCGAGAATGCTTAGCATTAGCCAGTTTACGATTTGGTTATCGTCTACCACGTCTGGATATGTTTCCTTTAGCTGAACGTATTTGTCAAGTGTGTGGTCAACGGCGCCTGTGGAAATATTCTTCTCGGCTAGTTGGGCTTGATACTCGGCTACGACCTTGAAGGCGTATAGCACACCAGTCAAAGTAGGCTTTGGGCCGATGCGCTTGATCGGGTTTTTGTCGAGCAAATAGTCAATCCATGGGATTTGAGAGACCTATTGGATCATAAGTTTCATTTTGACTTCAATTTGGCGATGATAACACTGTCTTACCGGTGCGAAATATATCAGACCGGCAGTTGAGTCGGTGATAAGATTATCAACATCCTTCTCCTGGTCAAGGAAGCCGTAATGGTGGCCGAAACTGAAATTGGCGGTGACATCCCATGCAACTTTACAAGGTGTTAGCCTCTACATGACCCCTGTTCCAGGGTGCGTCCCACGATATACTTACAGAAACCAATCCATTCATCTGCATGGCAGACCTTCCCTGCGTTATTGCCATCCACAAATTTCGAAGCGAGCTTGTCCACAAATTTGTTCAGAGTCTCATCGATAAGAGGCTCATATTCCAAAACCTTGGTCATAGTCCACAGACTCCGAATCGGGCGAATGTTCTGGTTATGCCAATCTTCATCCTGTGTATTAAAGAGGTTTGAAAGTCGGTGGCCTTGAAGCAGAACATCGTTCGGGCGATACATGTCACTCTATCGTCGTAGCAGGTTAGCAACGCCATATTAAGCCATTACAATAAGCTATACGCAAGGAGTCCTAGTATCGAACCTTCTTCCACGGATTGCGCGTCGAGTAAATCGTCCGAATGAGACTAGGGTCCGAAATGCTCACGCAATTCGGACCAATCTGCACGGCTGTCCCATACTTGCGATGTAGCTCGACATGCTTCAGATCGACACGTCCATGGTAGGTATGAAATGCACGCCAAAAGTCCGTGACCTTGGCCAGTGCTGGACCGGGGAAGGATCTCAATCGTGAAAAGAATAGATTCCAAATGAGACTTGTCGTAAAAAGCAACCCTAAAACGGTAAGGCATTGGGCCCACAGGCTGGCGGGAATTGTGATCAGTTCCGACATGATCGGTTGGACACGAATTGCATACAAAGTACGTGCAGGAGGCGTTCCAATTTCAATTCAGGCAGCAAACCCAAAGATGTGGCAGACGTGAAACGTGGTTGACAGTCGTAGCTTTTACAACTTCCCCCAGAGCCCCGAGCACTAGGGCTTCTAACGGAAGTCATGGTTTACGCATTTTACCACGAGGTGCGAGCGGGGTATAGAGGAAAGGAGAACCGCGCATAGACCAGCGTTCTAGACAATGTTTTGCCTTGTCATCGCCGGTGCTTTGGGTACTATATCCTAGCCGCGTTAGTGTCCTGCAGACGGGGCGAACGGGATGTGGAACCCTTTGTTTTGCGACGGCGATGAATGGCCCATTCAAACTGCCGGTGCCCCAATACAGGCCAGAACAACCTTCAATCTGACAGCGGCGCAGCTCTAGTGTCCGAACAAGCCTCAAAGTGCCAATTTTGCTTCGAATCCGCAAAATGTGGCTTGTGACCGTGCGTTTACTAGCCGGGTTGAAATTTCACAAACAACGATCATTTAGCAAGCCACCGGACCACTACCCGTAACAAGGACTAGCAAGAATATTATGCCGACACATCCACCCCCGTGATAAGCGAGTCCATGCACGGTTTGAGCTTGTCCGGATGAATATTTTGAGACCCATAAGTTCATTTCTACTAAATTTGATTATGTGTTCTGTTAATGTTTAAATCCCTTCCAATTCTCATAGCATTGTTAATGACCTGATTCTACGGCGTGTTTGCGGTGGGGGTTGTTGAATCCTTTGAGTTCAAAAGTATACGCCCGATTTTGATTCCGATCAATTTGAAGGACGTTCAACATGGATTCTACTGGGAATGTCGATAAGACAATGTGTCGTTAGGAATCAAGTGCCAATTACTACTATAACAAAAATAAAAAAATAAAAAAAAAGGAGAAAAAGAAAATGTGACAAAGGTTGCAAACCAAGAGAAATCGAACAAGCCTTCGCCTTCCCCCAACGGGATACGAATAGCACGTTCTTTTCACCTCCCTATAGCCCGGAATGGATGGAATGCGATACCAGGCCGTATAAGTCGTTGTAGAAATCTACGGCTGGGTCTTCCCCCCAAACGGCGAATTCTACGCCAGCCGCGTGCGGTTATTGGGTTCTGAAACGATTGGGGCCGAGCATGGGTAAGGACCGCACACATTTTGCGCGCTGCCAACTGACGAAGGTATTGCATGGCGGGTGTGTAATTGGCCAAGGTACCCGGGGTCAGTGGTAAACTATTTAAGGCTTCTTCAAGGACTGCAAACCATGAAAAAACCAGCCGAGCGATCGCCATGATTGCATTATCAGGACCGCCAAAAGTGCTCGCCAGCCAGGGCAGCAATGAAGGCATAGACATTATATGGTTGAGACATTCGGGAGAGTTCGGTTCTCGAGAGCGAATGATATAATCCACATCGGTCACATCACCAGGGTTATATATGATATATCCGGGGGGTGGATGGAAGTTACAAAACCTCTCAACCAGATCTGGGCGGTTCATTCAAACGGCTACGCGCAGCGGTGTCTCAAATGAGAGCTGGGATGGAGATGATGGCAGACGAGCAGCGGCATGCGGGCCATTCGCAAGACTTTTGAAATAATCAAATAGTATATCCCCATTCCTGTTATAACAGATGGCATGCCAGCAAGTATCATATTGTTTGACAGCGGGTCTTCCTCAGCTTGGCTAAGGGATGCATTGTGTAGCGTAGCCCAAACGGCGATGTTGAGGGACACCCGTGGGATAATTTCCCACCGTGTCCATAGGTCCAACATAGCCGCTACCTTCGGGTCCGGGACTGGAGAAGAACCCATATGCCATACAATCAAGTCCTCAGTCACACCCAAGGGCATCCATGCTTGTTCCAGAGCGTGCTGGAGGATACTTGTCGGAGGGTCCAGAGGGAGATTTGGTATGCCGACAGCACCGTGAAAAGGCCCGGGGAGGACATATATGTCATCCCAAACGCCGACAGATGAACCGGAGGCTTTGATTAGCCATTTCATAATACTCTCGAAATCGTCTTCTTCGAGGTTGCCGGCGCGGCACAGCTGGATGGCAAGGTGGAAAAGCGTACTCCCAGCAGTATTGTAGCATACGCGAACCGATTGCGCGTCATCAATGGGAAAGAAATTATAATCGCGGATGGTGGACAAACATTCGAGGCAGCCGTCAACAATCGTTTGTGAAATCAAGTCACAGTTTGGGAACAAAGGCGCTCCATAGACATCGCCAGGGCAGAAAACAGTTGGCGATATCATCTCTCCTCGAGTAGCTGCAATAATTGGCATGCCACGGGCTGTACGGTCGGCTGAATCATTGTTTGGATATAGTCGCAAGGCTTTGTATATTTGTTCATTCCTAAACACGGTATGACCCAAAAATTGAGGTATTGCGGCGCGGATCCTTGGATAGCGCCGACCGATAGCCCTAAGATTCACAAGAAAGTTTCTCCTAAAATCGCAGAGGGCGACATGTGAGACATTTCCATGGTTAAATAGTCTTGCATGGAGGCCACGTAAAATCAGGAGATTGGACTGGTTGTTCAGGGTTTGTAGTTCTCCAGGACTGTAGCCTGGTGGCATGATGCAGAAATATATCAATATGTAAAAATAAATTGCAGCAGTGTAGAACGCGCTGGTTGGAAACAAAAGGGCTGAATACTTATTAAATGAGAAATTCCAGGAAAATTCCCCATTAAAGAAACCCTACTAAAACAGTAAGATGAAAGAAACTTGACCTCGGAAAGAGTCTTCGATCCATAAAGCAGGGGGACGAAATACAAAAGAGTGGTGAAATGAAAGAAATTCCATATTAGTGAAAGGGGACTCAACTAAAATCAAACTAAATGAATCGCACTAAATGGATAAGGTGAAATCAATGCGAGTCCGACAACGGCAAAGACAAAGAAATGTACCAGACAAGAGCCTAATAATAGATCAGATAGACATTTGGACGCGAGTCTACTCCTCATCCTCGTTACTCTCATCCTCATCATCCTCAACCTCCAAAGCTATCATGTCACGGCAAACAGACATGTCGCCTATGCTGTACAAAAGACGGATTCCATCCTGACCAAGGCCAGAGGATGTAGCACAGCGGCAATTGGCCCAGGTCGACTCCATAGACTCGTGATCTGAGTTGGCGAAGTTTACCTCGAGAGCCACCGCGCGGTAGACTTGGAGCACTCCCTGTCCACAATGGAAGACACTATAACCCAATTCAGGTGCACGTGAATTAGCTGCGGTCTCGATTTGCCCTAGTACCGCAGGAGAAAGCAAGATAGTTGTTCTTCTGTTTTCGTAGATAAACTCAGGCTCGCCCCTTCCCACCAGCTGGTTCAGGAAGAAAAGGCCGGGATTATTGCTCCCCGCCGGTGCGGTGAGCTCAGAGGGATCTATGGGGATAGATGTCCCGAAAGTTATTGGGACGTGCCTTTCTGCAGCACCTGGTACCCGAAACACGAGATTGAGCTACTCAAGTGGTTAGCATGGTCACATATAGCCAGAGAGTATTCCTGAACACACAGCGAGTGTAAATGTGGTCCCGACAGCAGGTGGCGGACTTGTGTAGAAAGAACGGAGAGGAATCGGGCCAGCACAGTCAGCCTAGAATACGGTGAGCTGGGGGCTTTTGTAAAGTATGTAAACGTACACCTTCTATCCACATGGATTGTTCGAGCGCATTCGCCTTCCCTTCACGCTCGATGCAGTCATCCCAGTGGAAGTGTTTCTCGTTGCCTTTAGCACCCCGAATCCAGTATGACACAGCCCAGGACTTCCAAGTCAGTTTACCCTGCCCTTGGGGTGCCATGTATCCTGCCATAATTGCCTTAACGTTGAGCAACTGTCCAGGATTCTCATGAGTTTGCTCAAGGTATCTTTCAACAACTTTGAGACATTCAAGACGTCGAAACACGTTCCAGCTGTAAGGTGAGCTCGATTGAAGTTGTCCTTTTTCTGCTCTAGCGGCTTGAACCGCCTGCGCAGTCTCTGGACTAACCCGGGGCCGCCTATTCATGTTGGATTCTTCGCGATTTGCTGATATCCAGTTTCTGGATGTGGTCACTTGCAAAAATAGTGCCGTGGGTGAGATGTGTGACTTAGAGCTCAAGCTTTAAAGTGCTGGACAGAATCAATTTTACAGCAAGCAAAACGGAATTGAGCTTGTTTTCTTTGTTTCTCAAACATGATGTTTTCTTTGCCTAGTATCCGCACTGGAAAACACGACACAAGTATTGAAATATAGACTTTGGGTCTACCAGGCCTGTGATTTTGTGATTTTGTGATTTTGTTTCATTCATTCATAATATTTTCGCAGAATGCCTGTTTCTTAGGTGAGGTGTAGGCAGCTAATGAGCCACAATCTCGTCCGCTGTGGCCTCTGATATTACAACCGTTATTCTTTAACCCTCAAATTTCTCAGCCCATCTCTTTTAATCTACTTATTCTAGAGTGTGACACATATTGAGAGGTATTTAATCCTTTAAGTGTCTATACACTCAAGTGTCTACCGATGTCATACTCGGCGTCGGTTCGGGTCTTGAGCTTACTGGTGCATCTTGCACACTTATCATACTTCAATGGCCCCTAGCTTCAGGAACATAGAAGGCTCTAAATTGACCACAAAGTTAAAGCATATGGGGAGGTAAAATTAAGAGACAAGCGTAAAATAGCATAAATAGTATAAAATGTGCACGTGGATTGAGGGCCGAGGTAGCTGACAAAGAAGTGGAGCCCAATTCCCAGATCTCCAATCCTTCCAATCCTTCCCGAGGCCAAGGTTGAAGCTGCAGAAACCTGGTCTCTGGATCTTCACTTGACCCTCCGATCCCACGGACCCCCAGATTTTCGACCTGAAATGACTATTTATCTACCATTTTTTTCTTGATCGTGAAACTGCCTGACATGGAAAATAACCCACCCCGCAAAAAGGTCGCCGTCGTTGGCACGGGAATGGCAGGGCTGGTGATCGCCTATATCCTCAAAAATGATCCTTGTCAGAGATTTGAGGTGGAGCTGTTTGAGAAGGTGAAACCCCCTTTGTGTGACATGCGCAGCGCCCAGCGCGAACACTAGCTAACTTCAACGCATCAACAGCAAGACAAACTTTCCCTCGACTCCGCTTCACACACAATCTTACCCCAAGGTGGCGAAGGCGATAAGCAGGAACGTCTTGATCTTCCCATGCGCGCGCTCGCCGACGGTTACTACGAAAATTTAAAACGAATGTATGATTATTTCGGTATCACATACGGTTCGCGCCGGTTCGTTTACTCCCTATCAACTTTATCGGATAGCTCGCACGAACAAGTCTCCCCGTACTACGTTCATTCCTCGAACAACCACCAAATACCTCCCCTGCGTCCGGAGGGCCTATCATGGGCTCGGTGGCTAATTGAGACATGCTATTTGGCTCTATGCTATTACTGGTTCACTGCTTGCTGTTTCTTCGTCGCACCTAGGACAGTCGAGTCGTTTGGTGCGGAGGAATCCCTGCGTCAGTATGTTGGGAGGATATGCTTGCCACGGTATTATGTGAAGCGCTACTTGCTGCCGATGATGTCAAGCGTTACAACCTGCTCACACGATGCGTTATTGGATTTCCCTGCTATTGATGTGGTCGATTACGAGAGGAAGACGTTCCGCAAACCACACTATACCGTCCTCGGGGGAGTTCAGCGCGTGGAGAAGGAGCTTTCTAAGGGACTGAAGAATTGGCTCGCTACGAAAGTCACGTCTGTCGAGAATGTAGGGACAGAAGTGAAAGTCACCTGGGCCAACACTCTCGATGGCCAGAACCATTCAAAGCTATTTGACCATGTGATTCTTGCTGTGACACCAGATGTCATCGGTGCGATCTTCGAGCCTCTCCGGAGTGCGGTGGCAGCTGTACCTACAACTACCGTTCAGATTGTTATCCACCGCGACTTTTCCAAGATCATCGATTGCAGCAAGTCTCTCTGGAGGCAGATTGCCTCCAACCGATCAGACTTGGCCCCTCAACCATTCCATATCTGTTCGAATGCTGAAGCAACCGAGTCAACGCACGAACACCCGTCGGCCTACCTTATCACCAACCACCCCATTGCCCCTATCGACCCTGAGAAGGTTGTACACACTGCCACCCTCACCCGAGTTTTGCGATCACCCACCAGCAGACAGATTGTCAACAGCATCTTCGAGAAGAAAGTCTCGGGCCAAGAAAAGAGCCAGCTTTGGCAAAACGGCGATGGAAATGTTTGGCTGGTTGGCAGCTGGTGCTGGGATGGTATGGTCCTCCTCGAGGGCTGTGTTGGCTCCGCAATGAGGGTGGCGAATGGCCTTGGCGTTCAAGTGCCCTGGATGCAATAGTTCTCTTGAGAACAAATTATACTTTTACGAGATTTAATGTCTATATGTTTCGGGTGCACATAATTTTTGATATGCATTGTTTATAATGAGAACAAATACACTCAACAATGATTTGATTCTCAATCCCATAGATCATATGCTATGGAATTATTTCACGGCATGCTCAGCTTACCTCCTCAAGCTGTTCCTCTCCACTACTTTTCGTTCCCCTTGTCAAATGCCACACCTTCAGACCTAGAATCCCAGGCAGACGAGGTGGATAATTATGAGACTGCATGGCAACGGGCACTATATGATCAAGTCAGAAAGTTGAAGTTGTATCGTCTGATGGACTACTTACGCAAATCGGATCACCAAGATGATTAGATACCGGTGGACAGGTATTAAGCGGCCCACAGCAGCCCGGCAGAGGGCCGCTGGTAATACAGTTGAATCCGGCGGGACACTTGAATCCAACAATCAGTCTGTGCCTGCCCTATGAACGCCGGGGATAAGAACTCACGCATGTATTCGACTGAGGGCAGTACGGTTGACTCGGAGGGCAACTGGTACAACTACCCGCGACACAACGTCCACCTCCAGGAGCAGAGCTGCACTAAAAGAGAAAGTCAAGTCAGTATCCCCATACCACGAAAGGCAGGATAGAACATCAAAACAGTGGGAGAACACAGATTACACTCTTGGAACACGATCCACAATGATTGGGATCAGATAGTAGATCAGTACACTTGCCATCACAGCAAGCAGACAACAACCCAGTACATGGAGGAGCATCACAAGAACCACAATGCTGCGTACTAGTAGCCAAATCCGTACAGCGCCCATCACAGCAGCCAGGTGTGGTACCCCCACAAGGAAGAGCCAAACAAGAACCACAATGGCTAGCATCCGAATTAAGATCAACGCATGTACCCGAGCAACAAGACGGATTAACACCAATACATGGACTGGCCGAGCACGAGCCACAGTGATTGATGCTGGTCGCTAAATCCGTGCAGGATCCACCACAACATGCCGGTCTGAGTCCCAGACATGGCAGAGTTAGACAGGAACCGCAATGCGCTATATCGGTGCTGAGATCTCTGCAGGTTCCTCCGCAGCAGGCGGGTTGCGTTCCATTGCACTAGGGCTCATTGTCAGCAAGCCAGTCCCATCGAGTGTTAAATCCACTTACTGGATTGTTGCATGATCCGCAGTTAATAGTCGACACCGCCAAATCAGTACATGTCCCCGAGCAGCAAACCGGTTGTTGGCCAACACATCGCGGACTATTACAGGCCCCACAGTTGGTAGGGTCACTCATAAGATCCGAGCAAGCCCCGGAACAGCAAGCTGTGCTTTGGCCAGTGCACTATGAGATTGAAATGTTGTACTTCAGCAACCTGATCCAAAACTGGGCTTGACGGGAGCAGTTGACTTACCATCCTGTTGCATGCACCGCAGCTGGAAGGATCGACATTGAGATCCGTACACTTCCCAGCACAGCAGGCGGGTTGAGTTCCGGTGCACTGATTGGGTATTTTGTCAGCGAATGTCCCAGAATCCGAACAATAAGCATGCAAAGAGAGTCAAAGCTTGTGAGTGAGGCCGAGCAGGATCCACAAGCATTGACATCCGAGCTCAGAGCTGCACAGACTCCGTTACAGCAAGCTGGTGCTGAACCAAAGAGACACCAATGTAGCCTGATAACTTTTGAGAGTTCGATCCGATTTTTATAAGATGATGAATACTCACAGCCGCACCGCATGATCCACAGTTACCTGTGTTTGAAGTTGTGTTCGTGCACTGGAAGAAGCAACATGCTAATCCAGTTGCGCACTATGTGAGGAGTATGAGCAAGTTGGTCTCCCTCAATCCTGGTAAATCGGTGTCTCCAGCTTACCTGAAATATCCAAGGAACACAGATTGTGGCACTGTGCTGTGGGTTAGGGACTTCAATAGAAGTGATATTGGTTGCATTCACGGGGTTAGCATTAGCAGGATTGTGGGAAGTGATTAGCGTCCCTAATAGGAAATCAGATAACAACTTTTGTACAACGGATATCAGTACCAATTCTGACCTAAGAGCAGAAGGGCGAATGATGGTGGGAAGGCTGGAAACATCGTTACAGATGGCGACATCCAGCGATGAAAGCTCTCCTGAAGACTAATCAAGATAGCGAGATTTTGGATCTTGGTAGACAGGATAATGGAAAGTATGTATTCCATAAAAGCAATAGCCCTTATATCGCGCAATTGACATGAGATCGTATATTATAACGAGCTTGAAGTGGTGTGTGCGGGAGCAAAGACTGTATATCTGGGCCGCTTTTCCTGCGGGCGTGTTACGCAATTTAACATTGAGGTTCATAAGTGCCAGGTATACCTCGCATCTTTGCTAGTCCAAAGTGCTCTTTTTCTCACTGTAACAGGGCGATGTGTACAAGCGCCCAGGATCGAACAGGGCAGTATTGACCCTGCATATGTTCTCCAAGAACCTACGACATACACATCGCATTGCATATCGCTTCAAGGAGATGTATTCGGGAACAGTCGGACCCTGGTATCTGTAAGCACTTTGTTCTACATTATACCACGGCAAATGCAACAGTAGCAGCTCTCAACTAACAATGTGTAACCCTATTTAAAGACCGAAGCCCCAGTTCCGAGACCATTGTGCTACCTGCCAAAACCTTTTTGAGACTAAAGTTCGTGTTAGACTTTATAAAAGACAGGGATTGGCAACTTTAGATTTTAGGTCAAGTAAACTGCCGCTCTTTTTCTGTGTGTTGGTTTTGGGTCTTTTGCCATGATCAACAAGGAAGAATATACTTTCTCTTCATTTATTGTGAGTCGAACGCACATACTAAAATCACCACTTGATTGACTCTACAAAAAGCACTACATGAGAACCCGGAGCGCTGTTTCTTTGGAAATTATAGAACGATCATTTCTTGCCATTGGGCCAACGATGATAAAGCCAATAAACCTATTCGCTAGCAGTATTACGAATGTTTACACTGCACAAAGCAACCTCATAATGGGCTATCCAATACTTTCCTTGAGGATGGTCTCTGTACGTAGATTGATACGATGGCAGATATCGAGACAGTGTTAAACCTGTCGCATCGGAGAGGAGGTTTGGCAGTAATGTAGGGCTGAACATGGCACCGGTGAGCAGCATGTTCTACTACTGCATTTTAGTTGGTCGGGTACGCTGCTAGTATCATATAACAGGGTTCGAGCAGCTTCACAGCTCGCCCTCAAAGGCCCAACAGACATCGACTTGATTCCCAGCTGTGTTCGAGATCAGACGAGGCCGAAAGATGAATTCCACTGCCTCTTTTTACTTTTTGTGGCAAAAATGATCAGCATCCGCAAACATCACCGAGCAACACTTGAATGCAGATCGAGCACCACGGAGAAACAGCACGCTCTGGTAACAAAGTGACTGCTCATAACCTACTCACTGAAGAGGAATGAACTATACATAGATGGGGATACCAACGTGAATCTACACGTCATTGCGTAAGGTGAAGTTGGATGGCTCTACTTGAGCCAGCTAAGTTTGGAAATGGCTAAATGCGGGGTGTGATGAGGTGCTTGCGTATTTTACTCGACAAGGATGTCGGCTAATCTCCGGCTTATGGGTGGGGCTGATATCGTTATACGAGAGATACAGAATCTCCCAGTTTCATTAACGCCGTCACCGGAATAACATCACTCTCTCACAGAGAGACAAGGTTATAAAGAGCGTCTGATCTTCTTTATCGCCTACCACCACCTCGCAATATCGTTGCACAGAAACGTACTATCAACACCATGGCTATCCTACCGGCTCAGTCGGCGTTGTTGGAAAGGTTTGCAACTGTTGAGACAACCCGCCGTTAAAGCCTATGTACTTATATCTTGAAGCCTCCCACAGCGAAAAACGAACGACTGGCGTGACGAATTCCATACAAACGGCTACGTCGTGATCAAGAGCGCGATTCCAGAAGACCGCGCAAGAGCGTATCAACAAGAAGCCTTCAAATGGCTTAAATCCTTCGGCACGGAGCTCGACATCGAAAGTCCCGATACGTGGACGAAGCAGAACCTGCCAATCCAATCTAAGATAAACACATTTCATAACTATGCAGTGATGCATGAGAAATTCTTCTGGGAAGCCCGACAAGAGCCGGGGGTTCTTGAGGCATTCTCCAAGCTTTGGGGAACCGATGAACTATTGGTCAGCTTTGACAGTTTGAATGTCACATTTCCCAACCGCAAGGATGTGCCGCGGAAGGCTACCTGGCAGCATGTTGACCAGAGCCCCTTCCGCAAGGGCTTGCACTGTGTCCAGGGCATTATCAATCTGTCTCATGCTGGACCGGAAGATGGAGGCCTGATGGTATATCCTGGATCTCACAAATTGTTTGAAAGGTTCTTCGAAACTCAAACTGACAAATCCACTTGGAGTAAGAAAGATCTGTACTTGTTCAGTGACGCACAGCTGGAATGGTACGGGATTCAGCCTCACAAGGTCTGCGCTGAGCCCGGTGATCTCATCTTGTGGGATAGCCGCCTTATTCACTATGGAGCTGAGCCTACGGAGAAAAGTGATGTGATTCGCACCGTTATTTATGCTTCTTATACACCGGCTAGCCTTGCTTCTAAGGAGGCTCTGGAGACTAAGGCTGAGATTTTCAAGCAGTGGGGTGGAACTACTCACTGGCCGCATGACAACATTGTGCCTAGAGAGAAAAGGGCATTTAGAGAAGATGGCACTCCCGATCCTAAAAATCGCGAGGAACCGTTGAACAAGCCTGAGATAACTGACCAATTGCTGAAACTGGCGGGAGTGCTGGCATATTGATTTTGTCAAATATACTATACTCTTCACGAATGATGGATATTGTCTTATTAAACCACCGCAGTTACTATTTTCAATGGATTAAAGTACTCAGTCCCCTTTGGTTTCTTTCCTCGCTTTTAATTCAATGATGAATTCGGTGTCACCCTAGCCACCCGTAGTCTCGTTCAGATTATACTATCCATGAAAGCCAAGGTAAATTGGAAGGGGTAAGAAAACATGACCATCAACGACACAATCTAGAATCAAATGAAAGAAGTATGAAAAGCAAAAAATAAATCGTGGTTCCAGAGGAACCCTCGACTTTGGCGTTATTAGCACCACGCTCTAACCAACTGAGTTATGGAACCCGGCTATGAAATGACGTCATGGTAAATGGCATCAAGTAGCCAATTTTAGATATCCGCAAGTTAAGCAATGAAGCGATCTCTCTTTGGTAACCCGTCCAGGCAAGCATGCAAGGGTCCAAATTTGGCCGCTCATGGTCTGGCTCGAAAGTATCTCGCACAATGCCCACTCCCTTATTGCATGATTCGGCGGACAGGAAAACAAGAGTCAGAGGTTCCTCTAGATCATCTGTGAGATCTTAGGGCTCGGGTTTTGGCTTGATATAACCAAAAGAGTTATTGATATGGATTGAAACAAGATCAGAGTCGCTAAAAAATTCACTTTTAACATTATAATTACGTCTCCCTAGTGGGAATGCAAGTATGTACATGTGCAAAAGATATGTTCAACGCTGAACAGTTTCTTCAGCGATAGCGTCGCTCTCATCCTCAGCGGCATGTGATTCCTGCACAGCCTCATAAAACGGCGCGAACTTGCTCTTCATTCTCAGCCTCTTGCCGAAGAAGTAGAAGCCGACAGGGATAGGAACGAGAACGGCTGCAACACATCCAAGGAGGGTAGATGCGTACTGGATGCCCATGCCTTCAAACATTTGGCGAGAGAAGAGCGGGAAAGCGGCTGCTACCATGGAACGGCAGAAGGTGTTTGCTGCGATGGCAGATGCGGCACTTTTTATACGTTAGATGCAACTTCGAAATCGACCTGGCAGGGACGGAAGGAGTAACTTACAACATGAGATATGTATCAATCAGATAATTGAATAATTGAATGAAAATGATCAAGAGACCAAATCCAGTGAATAGACCACTCAAAGTAGGAACGATCCAGTGGATAGTACCACTGAAACCGGTCCAGCCGAACCAGAAGAGTCCAGCAGCGAAGAGAGCTCCGCCGATGATTACAGGCGGAAGACGCCATTCGGGGATTGGGACACCCCCATTCGCGTCGAGTCTCCTATTGTACCCTCTGCTGGCCCAAATAACGTAGGAGGCAGCGATGAACAAGCCTACCACCATTCCGAATAGGGGCAGACCTGCAACACCAGGGTTCATACCGTATACACCCTGGAAAACGAGGGTGTAGGCTGTCAAGAAACAGTAGAGCAGGCCATAAATGAAACTGAGGTAGATGGTAACGGCAAGAATCAATGGCTCGTTGAATAGCAGTCGAAGCGGGCGGGAGAAGTTGTTCACAATCAGCTCTCGAAGGTCAACTTCGATTTCTTCTTGCTTTGCGTGAATTCCCCAGTTCTTGGTTCGGCGACGCAATTCTGAAGCCTTCTCCACGAGAACAACAGGTGGGTATGATTCTTCCAAGAAAAAGAGGTTCATAACGAAGGCGGCGTACCCCATGAACGCGGGGATATAGGCGGTCCAGCGCCAGCCGAGGTAGGACATATTGATAAATCCTCCAATGAAGTTCGCGACCAGGGGTCCGAGGAAGACAGTACTGGAGAACATAGCAATAGCAACACCACGCTGACGGTTATTCCAGATATCCGAGAAAACGGCGGCGACAACGGCCAAAGGACTACTACCAAAGACGCCGGCGAAGAAGCGACAGATCATAATGGTTTGAACATCCTTTGCGACTGCGACTGCGGTGTTGAAGATGCCAAAGCCAAGCATACCGATAATGATAGGAAGGCGACGGCCTTTGAGCTCGGATAGAGGAGCCCACATCAACGGCCCCGAGGCATAACCCACGATATATAGGGAGCTGGAGAGAGTGGCAACTACGATGCCGACATCAAATTGTTTGGAGACGTTTTTGGTAGAAGAGCTGAAAATAGCGGAGTCAAATGTGGAGCAGATACTGGTGAAGGCGAGCATAGCACTGATGTAGGACCTAATGGGAACAAACTGTCAGCACCGTCCTTATGCAATAACATATGCGCATGAAATATGTTTGAATGATTGACTTACTTTCTCATCACTGGCCAGTTCAAGGGATATAAAGGGTCATCGGGCCCATCGAATTCCACCACATACTCTTCCCGCGCAGGAAGAGGTGGCGGGTACGGCTTACCCGCACCAAAAGCAGGGAGTGGAGTCGTTGACTGTCGCGATTTAAGACTCTCACCAACAGTGAGCGCATGCTGAGTGCGCTGAGTCTCAGTCCTGCTCAGCGCGCGCGAAACTCCAGTCCGGTGGCGTTCCAAATCGAGCTCTGTATTGCGCGATTGCAGCCTGTGCACCTGCGGGTCATATTCGAAAGAGCTGCTCGAGCCCGAGGAGGTCGAGCCTGATGTTGTAGCCCTCTCTAACTCTGCCGATGATCGCTTCTCGCTCGAGTGAGGCAATTGATCGGCCATACTGCCCGTTGTGACCGCTTTGCCGATCCGGTGGCACGTTGTGGTCTTGCCGATCTTCTGTAGGTGTTGCTTGACGTCTGTACGGAGTACGTCTGCACAGTGAGCAGGAACAAGGTACCAGGTGCTTTTAGTGAAAATACATTTTTTCCACAGAGCGCGGACCAATCTATTTATTAAAGGCCAAAAGCAACAGTTCCGAATACCCGTTTTGGACCCACTTATGACCGGCTTCAGTACTGGATGCCGACTGCCGATTATTTGAAAGTAACGTGGCTTAGCAATGGCTTGGATTGCAGTCTCTGATGGGCCAAGTGAAGCGCTCTAGCCTGTTAGACTCGATTCTATTGGCTATATTGCAAAATTTTGCAAGCCATGCTCGCATAGTGGCAAATTGATATTTAAATTTTTCGCCCTCAGGCAACAAAAGCTTGGCATAAGCTCTCGAAGGATGGTTACGTCACCATGACTCAGGCGGTCCCAGGTCCGGCCCGGGGAGGAGGAGCCACTGGTTGACATGTGCTTGTCTGCGGAGTTTAGCATAAAATGAACAAAATGAACATCTGTTGATATCATGTCGGAATCTTGAGCCGGGATCTTGACGGGATCTTGGAATAAGAGGAATTCTTCCATGGCCCACTTAGACCGCCTGATGTATCAAATAGTGCCCAAATAATAGGCAGCCATTGAAAGTGGACCAACAGGTTTTGTAACGAGAGACTTCCAAGTAGCGTGGGATGGATGCACATCCAAGAATACCTCCAGGACTGCTTGCTGAGTAGGGTAGCCTGTTACTTGATTGAGCTGTGATTGCGTGTATGTATGTACAAGACTGTAGAGAAGAGTATAGCCTCTAGTGCAAGAGGGTTGGCGCCCAATTGTGGGGAACTGCCCCAAGAGACCTACTAATGTTTCTGAAACGGCCATCCTTGCTCCAGTTTTTCAAGATCATCCTCCGGGCCGCCTCCGGCGAACTCCAGCCTCAATGACTTGTTCCTTTCAACAGCCGTCTCATATAGTTCGTTGGAGATCCACCCATCCTCTATGAGGACCCCGAGTTCCTTGCTCCAATAATAGATGAGTGCGTGGACATTCGCCCAATTCTCCTTGCTCTTTTCATAATCCTGGATCTCTTGCTTCAAGAACTGAAGAGGACAACCAACATTTGGGTCTCTTTGAGGTAAACATTATGCCAAGCACCGCGTAAGGTCATCAAATTCTCGCGTATTGGTATAGGATCTGCTCACCATACACATCAAGACTAAGTCACAAGCTGTTGGCATAAGAAGACGGGGTGATCACGTAGAGCTTCTAGATGTAGTTTGTTTATGCCACTGTTTTCGACATGGTATCGATAAGAAATGTATTATTGTCGAGAGTAGGAGCCAGCCACCGCTCGCTCTTCGGCGCTCATGTCGGCATAACCATGTGGTTTCTCTCCGGCTTTATGCCATTGAAGCTAGCTGGCGGTGAATAGTCAAATGTATTTAAATTTCCAGCAACAGGAGTCGGTGTTATGCTGACCGGATGTTGCCAGCCGATGATGAATGTGAATCCTGAACGTTTCTAGGTCAATGGAAATATTGTTGAGTGTGAAATGTGTGCCTGCGGTTAGTTTTAACAAGGCAGCAAGTATCTAGAATGGTAAGGTTTAAATACCTGGGTGTCGTAGTGTTGGTCGGTTGATAATACTTTGGGGCTCCTGGGTAGAAGATAAGAAGCAATTGCTAGATCTTGTCTAGAACTCGTAAATACTCCTGGGGCGAGGCAGTATCAGGGGAGACAAGGTTGTAAGAGAAACATTCAAGCGATTTTCCAAACTTCTCAGTCCATTGTAACTCCTTGCTAACGACTGCGAGAAGATATTTTTTGCGTGCTCCCCTAAGCAAAAAGGATGTTAGGTGAAGACGGGTAAGTTAATAGCTAATTTCAGTTAGGCAGCTATACATGGTCCCCTATCCAGTCCAGACCAATCCCGTCAACCCAGCCAGAACCTATCATCCGCAATAGGCCCGATGCAATAGACATCTGAGTTAGCTAATCCAGAGCAAATAGAGCCTCACTCGTAACTCACAAGGAACACCCTCTTGAAATAGAGACTGCCGTAACCCGCAAAAGAAATATCAAACATCATCTCCTCGATATTGACAAGATCTGCCACAAATTTCCCTGCTTGGTATTATAAGACTTCGAGCGCAGACCTTGGCAGCCGGAACACCTGGTGCATATTCCATTATAATGTTCTCGAGGCCGACTGCGTTGTCCCCTGTCGAAGACCAGCCACAAACCTCTAGCGCCGGCGTGCCCTTCAAAAGCAGAAATCCCAGTGTACCAACTTCACTAGCAGTTTCATAGGTCTTTGGAAGAGTGCTCCAGTACGGAATCTCGGCGATGCTTTGAACCCATCTTCCATGGTCGACAGGAGTACGTGATTGATTGAATGCCTATTTTGGCGAGTGTATCTACCCTGCCATGGCCAACATAGTATGAAACCACATATGGAAAAGTTGAATGGAACATATGTTCGTTGTATAATACTTGTCGTCTGGAGGTATACGAAAATAGTGGGTTATCGGGCATTGATTCTAGGAGGAATGGGTTGAGGTACATAAAGTTCTTTTGGTCTCATAGAGGGAACAGACCCATCTTCTGATGATCGACATGGAGTGCTGAACCTTCTTGATCCTTGCTTGGCGTGGGCAAGCCATGCCATACACAAATGTAAGGCGACTTGCGCGTGGACAGTTTGTAGATTCTGCCAGGACCCTACCCGAGCCGCTCAGCCTTTGATCGTATTCCTTCATCAAGTGATACTTGGGTGCACATAAGTGGTGTGCGTCGTGGGATCTGATTTTGAAGGTGGCCAGTCAGTATGTTTGCGGTACTGAAGTTATTAATGCTATAATCATCATGAAAAACCTTCGAAGCTAGAAATTTACACTAAAACCTGATATATCATGACGTTGTATCTGGAGACTCCTGCTGGAGTATCACGACAGCGTTTGGGATCACCCAGTCAGACTTCGAGACATGGAATCCTGCTGTGGGATCTAGCTGTGTTGTTGAACTGAGAGTCTCTTATTGTGTTGGTGTTGGTGCTGCGGTGTCGACCTCGACAAGCTCAGGTGAGATGTCTACCAGTTCACCTTCAACTGCGCTCACTACGCCTGCTACGTCGAATTCGAGCATCTCTGCTACCAATACCACAACTACACTGTATTCAACGTTGTCCTATAACACGACCTCGGATCCTGTCACAATTACCGACTCAGAGTGGCCTCCAATCCAGACCCAGACCGGGCAGCCAAGCTATTGTAAGTTTACATGGGCGAAGTGAGAATACACGTTAATTTAATCCACAGGTAATAACTGGTACCAAGCCAACCAGGTTGATGACTGCAGCAGTATTGTCTTTAATAACAATACGTGGATGGACGCGGAGGACTTGTGAGCACGTTCCACACCATGCGACAAAAGCTTTCATTAACCATCTGATAGCCTTGAATTGAACCCTGCCGTGGGTGAGAACTGCACTAGCAGTTATTACGGATACTGGTACTGTGTCGGGATCCAGCCACAGACCTCAATGAGCTCCAATACAACTGCGACTTCCTTATCGTATCCCTCATGGACATCAGTGCTCCCGCTGCAATGAAGGCCACTTTTGTCGCTAGTGCCACCCTGGCTGGGATTGCCACCGATTGTCAAGAATATTATATCACCGAAGATGTCCGTGCTCTACCTACTCACTTATGATATACCTTCTAATTTGAGATCAGGGCGACACCTGCGAAAGCATCGTATCCTCCCTTGGCTACTTAACCGACGCGCAATTTATAGAATTGAATCCTGCCGTTGGGACTGACTGTTCTGGAATTAAATTAGGGTATTATTACTGTGTGATAAACGGCACAAGCTTGCCTATTGCAATCCACAACCACCGTTCTTCCGTCTGCTGTACAGACTGGAATTGTTTCCACCTGCACGGCCCGGTATCAAGCCGATGACGGCGATGACTGCGACCTGATTGTCGAGAAGTTGGCACATTTTCCCAATCAGTCTTACTCAGCTGGAATCCAGCTCTACAGTCTGATTGCTCAGGCCTGGCTATAGGCGAATATCTGTGCCGGGTACTCCTACCACACGGACCGTGACAGCTCCCGCATTGGCTACCCCTACAACGCCGGCTAATACCGTTTCTACTTGTGAGAACTATTGGCTTGTTGGAACGTGAGTTATAATTGTTTTCCGACTATGCTGGGCACTCCACTGACTGTTAGCAGTAATGATAACTGAACGACAATAGCCCTGGCAAATGATGTCTCTGTGTCTGATCTAGACTGGAATCCCTCCCTGGAGTCTGACTGTAGTAGATTACTGCGAATACTTACATATGTGTCGGTGTGAATAGCGATGATACCACTACTACGACAGCAACTACCGGCTTGTCTTCTTCAACTGCTACTACCACATCCGCACCTACAACTGCCACGTCTACTTCAGCCACCGGTGCAACACCCTCTCCAATTCAAGTAAGTGATTCAAAAACCACGCAGCCTTTTTCAACCACTAATGAAACTCAACAGACGGGGATGGCGAGTGGCTGCATCCTATGTTGGAGCCAATAATGACTGCTACGACATCGCCTTGGATGCGGGAGTTGCACTTGATGACTTTCTACACATGGAATCCCGCCGTGAAGTCATACTGTTCAGGGCTACACTCTGGTGTCTTTGTATGCATAGGCAAGACAGGCTACGCAACGACCATCACTAGTGGTGATCCAACTCCTGCAACTCCAACGCCAACACAGGTAAGCCTATAAATTTCACAATCGAGGTTGCATTACACTCACACTCACATGATATAGACTGGTATGGCCACTGTATGTCTTCGATTTTACGATGTCAACAGCGGTGATAGCTGCTATAACATTGCTTCCGACGCCGGAGTTGCACTCACGTAAGTTCTCTCTACACTCGTCTCCGCGACCTCTTGTTGACAATCAGATAGCGACTTTTATAGCTGGAACCCTGCGCTTGGTACGAGCTGCGCTGGCCTACAGTCTTCTACCTTTGTGTGTATCGGAACATTTGGACCGATTACTACAACTACCAGTGGACCTCCTGTGGCTGCATCGGTGACAAGTACATAGTCGTCTCTGGGCAAATGTATGTTTTGGTCTCTTGAACAATCTTTGTGACATTCATCCCTGCCAATTAACAGAGATAGGTAATTTGAATTTCTATGCAACGAGCGCCTATTCATAATGAAGCAAACCACCAAAACAGAGACCTGACATCCCAGACATACATCAGGCATCTCAAAAAATGCCAATGCCCCCTCTAGGATCACCATAGATCTCATTATAATCCGTAATCCGCATCTCCCACACGTTCTGTTGGGCAGCGCGCGTCTCTAAAATCTCATACCAATCCGGACAAACCACCAAAACCAACTCAGTCCACTTTCTGCTCTTCGCAAGTTTGTAAAATGGAGCCATAAAGGAATCAATTCTTTCATCCGTCACTGGTCCCTTGGCACACTTCAAAGGTGTCATAGCTATTGTTAACCGCAATCTGCACACGTTGACATAGGAATGCTTAAACAAGTCAAAAAAGGCAGGCCATGTTACCCACCAATAGTCTGTTATTGGCTTTGACGGATCAAACCGAGGAGTGCGAAAGAATATATCCATTGATGCGATCAGAGGGAGATAATTCGGCTCGAGGATTCGTGGTATAATGAATGGGGTGTCAAGTCTCTCTCCCGTGACAAAGGTGGTGGTGCTGTAGAGTGTGACGACAGCCTCTTCGTAGCTGCCTTCTGTCAGTCACTGATATCTGGGAGTGTAACAGCAGTATATTGAAAACGAACATCCTTTGACATGTCCTGAGCAGTTCGACACCCTTCAACTTCGTCCCTGGAGGGTGCTCGGTCCAGCCATTATCTCTTGCCAAGCCGGCCTCATGAGCCCAGTTGCCGCATGTGTCGTAAACTCGATCCTTGTCTTCCTCCCAGTCGTTGCTCTTCTGACAAACGATATGCTTCCACTGCCAGTGGAACGGCGGTATGTTCTTCTCCTCCTTTTTTCCTATCTTGTCGTCTGCAGGGTAGAGGAAGATGTTTGGTGGCTGATAGTCATACTCGATGTGTACACGGCGACCGCCGAACAACTCCAAGTAAACAAGATCCCTCAGCTCACGAGGAAGCTTGGTGAAAAAGAGACTCTTCCTTTGTGGAGAGCAGTGTTGAGTATAGCCCGGAGGCCTGCTGCGTTGACGTTGGCGCTCTTTGGGGGATTTGACAGGGAGCATGTATTTGTTGGTCAATTTATCTGTTACTTCGCAGGAGCTCTCGTAAATGCCAATAGCATGAGGGTCTGTGTTGCGGGGATGAATAACAGGCCATTTGCTGCGTCGATCGAAGAATTTGGAGAAAATGCCAGGGGCCATGATGTGGAAGATGTCGAGAGGATGAGAGAGAAAGGGAGTGAGGGCTGTATATCTATCTACACATGCTGGCTCCGCCTTGGCTTTAGATGGTTAGAACGGCAGCCCCACCACGCACCAGATCATCCAATCAGACAAAGTAATAGCCGTGGCATTAGCTGTTATTATGCCTCAGGCACTACACCCACATTAAATGATATTGTCGATCTGTAGACGTCTGTGCATGTGTACGTGTAGAAGTGTGTAGTAAAAGTATAATATCCGAACTAATAAGCTGACCATGAAAAGAATCGAAACTCGATCTAGGTAAATCCGGAAGACTGAATGAAAGTGCCTCTTTGGGAAGGAAGTCGTGTTATCAAGTTAAACTGGAGTTAGAAGCTCAACCGAAGTCCCCTATGGCCGTCTTACTCGCTTCCATCCGAGTGAGTCAGCTGTGATAAGGTCCGAACCCCTCCTCCACCGTACCGGATCGCCGTGCTGGTAGTGCCCCCTGTGGGGGACCACGGCTATCGTCTGGGATAACGATAGTCGAGGGGAGAGGCAAGTAGTGAAAGACCCTGACCCGTCGGTTGCGCCACTCCTCGGGGTAGTTTTAGGGATTTGCTACATACTTATCCTTTTTCACATGCTGAACCCTTAGAAAACAGTATTTGTACATGTCTTCCTGGTGTACCGAAACCCATTATGATTTTTGCCTCATACCCAGGAGCACATACTGTACTGACCTTGAAATCATATATGAACGTACTAATCGAATCCAAAGACCCAAGACACCATGCTGATGGAACTTATACCACACCCAACCCAAAATACAAAAAACACTTATTCCTCCTTCTTCCCCCTAGCAACAACAATAAGCCCCCGAACAATATCCCCCCTAGCCCACCAAGCAAACATCTTCCTAGCAACCCGAAACTTCCCCATCTTCAACCCATATGGCACGCCCTCCTCAGCCTGCCTCTCAATGAAATCAGCCAACCCCCGAAAACAAAACTTCGTCACATCCCGAATCTCAATCTGCGCACGGTCATATCCAGCCGAAACTAGCATATTTACATACTCACTCCTCGAAACGAGATTTGCAAACGGCGCATTCGTCAGCCAGCACATAACCCGTAACAGCAGTTTCTGATGCCAGGGGATATCATCGGCCATGACTAGGTCGAAGGCCATAAGGTTTGCTTGTAGATTCTTTTGGGCATAGCTTAGAAGGGGGAGGCGTGTTGGTCGGAAGTGGTACATTGTGTCTAGGGCTAGGAGCCATGTTGAGGGGCTGAGTTCTTCCTTTGCGCCTGTTTCGAGGGTTGTGATTGATTCTTTCAATTCACCCGTCCAGCTGCTTGGATTTCCTGCGTCGGCGCAGAAGATCTCTGCTGGGACCTGAGGATCTGGGCTTCCGAGCTGCATTTCTTTGAGACGGCGGGAGCCGAATGCTGCTTGAATTGGTTCCAGTGTGATTCCGATATAGGATTCCAGTTTCAGCAGAGACGATGATTCAACCTCGGTTACTGAATGCCGAAAACGCAGCCTTTGCTTTGAAACCTGTGGATCTGAGGTGTTTCCAGGGTCTCTTGAGGTAGGAGACGAAGCTCTTAGGATTTTGTGCAGGTATAATGATTGATCGCCGCAGCCACATCCGACATCTAGGATTCGGACAGAGGGCGCTTTCTCCGTTGATAGAGCTGTTGTCACAACTTGCTCTAGGAGCGCTTCACATGCTTCTGGGAAGTTGTTTGTGTGCTATTGTACATGTTAATGATCGATTCCAATCTCTTTGGTTTCCTCATGGGAGTTGGGTACAGTACCTCCCAATATCCAACGTTCATCCACATTGACTGTGGCGGGAGCTGGATGTTGAGGACGGCATGGTCGAGTCCGTATAGCTTTGCCGGGGTCTTACGGAAGGCCTGTTTGATGAAGTTTAGCATATTAGCTATTCCGATATTGTGGGCCCCTTTGCTAGCACCAAGAGATAGATGCACGACTTGCTTCCGAGTGATGCTAGGACGTCAATGAAGGTTGACGTTGACAAGTGGAGCTGTGTGGCGGGCCAATGCCAAGCCTTCTGGGCTGCTGCATTTAGTCACACTGCCAATATTGTGGGTAAATCAACGTTAGTCCCTGATCTACAAGAGCTGATGTGGGGATTCAGTTTGGCATTACGAGATATTTACTCTAGAAACCCAGTGGGCCGGTCGAGATGTAGAGATAATAGAAAGTAGGTTAAAGGTGCAGATAGCCGGATCTATTCAGGTGAACTGCTTGTAAATATCATCACTCATCCACCCCCTCGACCTGTAGATGATATCTGAAGTAGCTCTCTGGCTGCTTGAAGAAATAAAAGAACTGAGAGCGCTGTAACACTATGAACAAGAAAGCAAAGGCAGTGGTCTGGGTGAACAATATCAAGAGTCACCACCTGGAGCAGCAGAGTAGGCAGGGCAATCAATCAAGACAGGGGATTCTTTTTTTTTATGTTTTGACCTTTTTTTCTTGTTTTAGCATTTGAAGAATGCTTTAAGCAATGGTGCCCACGCCATGCTTCAGGTCGGAAGTACTTGAAGCATCGGGCTTCTGTGACGCGAGGAACTTCTTGAACATGTCGGAGATATCCTGCTCGGTCTGCTCATCCGCGCCGTTCTTCTCCATGATCAGACCACGGAGCCAGTGGTTCTCCAGCTCGAGCTGGGATACACGGGACTGAAGGATTTCGTTCTTGTCGTTGGTTTCCTTGACGGTCTGCTCAAGGGCAGCCTCACGTTGCTTCTTCTTGACACGGAAACGGGCACTAGCAGCGGTGTTACGGCGGCGCTTGTCCTCCTCGGCCATGTTGCGGGAGGCCTCCTCGGCGCTCTCCTGGGTGGACTTCTGCGTGTTCTTACGCTTAGGGCCAGCCGGAGTAGGAGGAGACATCACACTGGATGGTGGAGCGGGTGCAACCTTTTGAGGGGCGCTGATTGGCGCGGGCTGAATGGAGGCTTGGTTCGCAGACCCGTTATGGACGGAGGGAACCGCCGAGAAAGGCACATTGTGCATAGGCTGCGCATTGGGGCCATTCAGCTCGGGTTGGTACTCGGGAATACCCAGACCTTCTGTAAAATACCATTAGCATTCGTTCAATCCGCAAACATTCACATCGCGGCTTCGGTGTCCCGAAATGGTTGGAGTCAAGTGCTTCCCGATCACGTGAAATGGCGTAATAGCGGGGACCATTCACGCCAGCCACAGATCTCTCACTGGACGAGAAATCCCTGCGAGAACGCGAGAACATGCAAGGCAACCTCGGGGTCCAAGCTGAAGAAGTATGGGATGATCGTGAACTTCGGAGCGCATGAAGCGCGCAAAAATCCAGCCAACTCAATAAATCAGAATCACAAGAATGACGAGATCACGGCAACCAATGACAGCAACCAATGAAATAGGGAAAATGTAGGCATAGATCTCGTGAACTTGGCCGTACAGAGCTCGTGGTAATGGTGTGATCAGGGGAAGATATGCAGCTCGGCCTCCAACCATCCAACCAGGAACACGAACACAGGTAGCAAATTCAGCCACACTTACCATTCAGGAAATCCAAGAACTTCATATCCGCAGTTCGCGCGGTTTGGTCAGGGACCGCCTCCTGTGTCTTGACATCGTCCACGGATTCGAAGTTGGGCAAGCCGAAGTCGGTAAACTTGTCGAAGTCGAAGAACTCGGTGTTGGTGAACAGAGCGAGCTCCTCATCGAGGCTGAAGGAGTTCTGCTGGCGCTGTTGCTGCTGCAGGGCCTGGTCGTAGGGCGAGGGAATCGCGTTCAAATCGTCGATGTACTGCGAGAAATTGGGCGCGCGACGCCCGTTGTAGCCGGCCATTTTGATTGTAGTGTCCTATCAGTTATGGCAACTGCCAGGGACTGATCTTCTGGTGTCGTGGGACAATGTGGGAATGCGCTTTGCGCAGGCGGCGAGTCGTGACTCGATTCCGAATGCGGCTCGGTGGCGGGCTCGCGAGGGAAGTTGTGACCGTCGCGATGGCGAGTTGAAAATGCGATTCGAGATATGAATCGCACGATGGAATGGATGGAATGGAGATAGAGTATGGAGAGAAGGAGAGTATTAGCAGTTGGGGCCGCAAGTGGGTTTTTTCTTTGAAATCGGTGGGGGGCCCGGAGGGGTGTGGGTGATGATTAATCCCCGATTTGCCTCATCCGAACAATGTCCTTCACTCTTTTTACTTGTTACTTCTGACAGTTGAAAGTCGTATATATTCTACTAATATCCTTCGCTAGTTTTTTCTTACTTCATTCTTTCTCCCTATCCCTTCAGTGAAAGTGCACTACTCCGTACTCTTGTGCGAGTCTCATCGGATGCCGGTGGCCGAGGATCGGAGCCCACTTTAAAATCAGGGTTCCACGTTTGCACGTTAATGTCCAAATCAGGGCAATTGCAGGGCCAAGCACCATTCATGCATGGGATGATGAGCTGAGTTGCTGCAATAATCACGCAGTCTCTAAATGCTTCTCCTCTCCTCGCGAAGGCATCGAATATACAGCGACAAGCGCGGCCACCGAAAACGAACGCCGGCAGAACGGGGCTACAACGGGCGCACAGGACCCCGCATTATTAAGCACGGCTTTTTGTAAGCATCCTAATTATTCCGAGCTTGCCCCGAACAGCATGTTACGCCCTCTCCATGTATTATTTAGCTAGTGTAGGACTATTATTTAGCTAGTGTAGGACATTGAAATATATCTGGCTTTCTATCTTTATACATCTATGTTAACCATGCTATAGAACTTGGACTCTTCAGAAGCACGGACTCCGATCGGCGTTCGTTTTATAGATGCCTAAACAAGTTTAGCGTTATCTTGTTTGGGAAGGGCGATCGATCCCGATCTCGCCTTCTGACTATAACTTCATTCTCAAGTACATGGTTTTATTTCTAATTGTCCAGCAAATCCTCGGGTATTTCTCCCTATTCAGAGTTTCTTGACGATGCTTCAACTGTGGAAAGAATGCGGAATGATCTATTAGCGCACCCTCACATTACACTATCATCGGCCTAAATTGCCAGCCATCTATTGCACATGTAGTTATCACATCTGTTTCGTCATGTTATGATGTATGAATAGTTCTTAAGAGGAGCTATTGCTCGGCATGCTGGTCTCTCATGACCTAAAGATGACTACGTCAATTTGATATTTTACGCGGCGGAAAAACAGGTTTTCGGTGTGACCTTATCATAAATCATTTGCGATGTCTTCATCATCCCATTCAAAAGTCTATTATCCTGTCGTGCTATGTAGCTATCTTATAGCAGGCTCTTTTCTTTTACACATATCCGGTTGGTGTACCGCGTAGAAGCATCCCAAATTCCGAATCCAGTGCTTATAGCAGAGTATACCTGGTGAGTTAACCCTAATCTTAAGAATCCCCGAGGCTCCAAGTATGACAAGTAAATATCTAACATTGAAATCACCAATGTTCCGGGCCAATCCCAACTTCGTTAACATCCACCCCATCCACAAACCATCGTCCCGTTCCATCTCCATCCGGCCCCAGGATCAGGTCATTTCCTGACATCATTCTCTTTTCCATTTTGCCATCCTTATCAAAGGTCCAATCCTCCAATCCGTAGCATCGCGTCCACTTGTCTCCGTTCTCCGTATCCTGGTATTCATACCAGAATTGCACAGCGATACGGTTATCGGTAAACGAGAAAAGTTCCTTTCGGAGACGGTATGATTTCTCTTTCTTCCATTTTGCTGTGAGAAATTTCACAATGTCATCGGTACCTCGGAGAAATGAGGTACGGTTACGCCAAATGCTATCCGCAGTATAGGCTTTGGCAATTGCCTCGGGGTTTCTATCATTGTTTAGTATAACAACGGGATTTGACCTGGGTGAGGATACTGACTGAGTGTTCCACATGTTTTGGGCAGCTTTAACTTTGCTTGTTGCTGTTTCGAACGTGAAGGGTGGCGTAATTGATGCCATATTGCTGTAGGTGAAGCTGGTCGGAACTGGCTTCAGTATATTTTAAGAGAAGAATGGACAAAGGTAAGATATCTAACTTGTAATGTTGCAGTTGAGTGAATACGTAACTCTCAATAAGCCTTGCAGGGTTGTCGAACATACCCGTCGGTTCCGAAAGCCGAGCTAATAGCCCCGACTGTTTCACTTTCCACTACCATAATATTATTCAAAAGTGATTATATTAAGTAAGCTGCCTTTTTAGGTTGATATTCGGTAGAAGGGAATAATCGACGGATCCCTTTTACATCCCAAATCACTGCTTTACCTCATTGTGCCTTCAGTTGATGTGCGCTGCGCTCAGCCCATATTTGCTCCTGTACAGATAAGTTCTTTGTATCACCCTTGGTGTCACACTGCAACATGTCTGAAGCGTATATTCACCCTGTCAATCTCACAAGATGCGAATCAACGAAGAAGGCAATAGTACATTTTTTAGTTTCCCTGATAAACTTACCTAGATATACATACAGCGGTTTAATTAAACTAAGCTAGTGGTCCGTGTGTTAGATGCAAACTGTTCCTCTGGGCCGTTTCATATACGGCAAATGATCCTAAGGCAACCTGCAACATAGAGCATAGGATGTAAGACATACAAAGGGCAAGCTCTGGGGTCTTCTGTTTTGCTCAACTACCGTGTCAGGAATATATTCGATGTGAGTGCAACTTCAATATCCTATTCAGAACAGGCACCCTGTCGGGTATACAACAAGCTGACAGTGACGAACGAGCTCTAAGAGGTTCGTCGGGGCAATCTCATTCTCCGGGATATTATTGACCGGGATTTGATTTTGCTTCCACACGAACTGTCAAACCCGAAATCCCACCTGGGCAGATAGAAGTGATTGGGGGCCATAGCCCCTACATAGTCCGCAGATCAAACTACCCACTTCCCAATATCTCTTTTTACTGCCCACCCCGACGACAAGAACACTACTGTGAATACGAGCTTCCATTCCACATCAATAATGACCCAAAGAAGCTCATACTCCGTATCCAACCCCTCATCTCGATCTTTAACAGAGAAGTCAGCAAGTAGAGGTGACACAAGCTATCAGAATGCGGAAACCGTCCATGGTGACCGCAACGAACTCTTGTCCAGCCTCTCTAGAAAAGAATGGGTTCAACTGGGAATGCGATTTTGTCTTGTCGTAAGTATTTCACTCTGGTATGTGTGATCTCATAGCTCACAGATACGGTTCAGATTAGAACGGCCATGCTTATACCGCAACCGAAACAACCAGCCAACTAGTAATCCCTCATCAGTAGAAAGCAAACCACGACAAAATGCACCCGCCACATTAAATAATAACTCTCGATGGGAAGCAACGGTGGAGGTTTTTCAGAGGCTCCTTGAAATGGCTGGCGGATTGGACTTGGATGGATACATTACGCCCGTGCAAGCTTGGAATCGAATAAAGAACCATGAGAAGTTTACGCGAATGACGCGTGGCAAGCTGCATCGGTTAGAAGCGTCTATGAGGCCTCATATCAAGTGTCAAGGGTAACTATATGGTTCTTTTTTTCTTGTTTGTTGCTATATTCTAATGACTTGCAGATTTGCCGCAATCCTGGAAGAGCCCATCTTCGAGATTTTGTTAACCCAAGTTCTCAACCAATGAAGATAATATCTTCACACCAAGACACTGTTCAGACAACTGTTGTTTCCATGTATACTCTACATGAAATCAATGATGTTGAAATTTTGAATGGAGAATACGATGAATGATGCTAGGAAACTCTTGCCAAGAACCAACGAGGTGGTTTAAGTCTGATCTCTCCTTCATGAAGGAGAGATCCTATTTAATGTGAAGCATTTCCCCTGAACTATCCTATACATGGTAGGTTGAATGCTGATCATGAGCTTCATGCTTTGGCGAAGCGGGCATTTAATGCCTGGAGATGCCTGAGCAAGCCATGAATCTCAACAAATGAGCCTGGCACAAACGAAAGATATATATTTGAGATCTTTATACGGAGTTCCCAACACTAATCATGATTAATTTCCCCATTTAAGATGTTAGTGGGATATATGACTTTACACAAAGGAATATGAGATTAAGACTTGGTACAGCCGCAGATTCCTGTGCTGAGTGAAATGGTATGAAATATGCAGAGGTCTGAAATAGTTGGGGGGTGATATATACATAAGACGGGAATGCAGATTTCTTCGTTGGGCTAAATTGACAGGGGAATTAAATATTCATGCTTCGATTATTTTACCAATTCAATTGCGAAGCACGTACAAAAATAGACTGTTAAAGTCGCAAGGTAACGAGGTTAACTAACTACAAGTTATGGCATTAGTAAACATAAAGGTCAGGCGTCATAATATTATCTAATACGATCGTAAATTCTTATCAGCACGTGCTTGTTTGTTGACAGCCATTTTGGACGCGAAAGAGCTCGAGACACAAGAACACCACAAGCACTGAGCTGGAGGATATGCGGCTGCTGTTTATCTGAGAGACCACACCCTGCCAGGCTGCTCATACGACCCTTTTCGCAATTCTGGCCATGGCGCGTCCAAAAACAGTTCGCGCCCCGACAACGGCCAGTCTTTCAAATAATCTCCGCATCCCCTCATCAACCCCCTCGCTTTCAAAAAATCTCGGAAAGCTATCCAGACAAGCCTTATTGGACCTGGCATTCCTATGGCTTGATGACCGCAATACTACCTCGTTCCCCCCGTACCTACAACACGACGATGAAGCCGGACCCGACGATGACGAAGCCCTCCCCTACCCCGTCGCCGAGACAATCGAGGAAGTGCGCCAGGCATACAAAGACCTCCAAGATCGAAAGGGTGGCAAGCGCGAGGTCCTCGAACGGATACTAGAAGGCGATTGGCGACATGGAATCACATTGCGACAGCTAGCAATGGCCGACCTACGCTACATGGACGACCACCCAGCCAGTCTTCGATGGACAGCATTGGAGCTCAGTCGCATCGGTACCAAGCAGAAAAAGTCCGAAGAATCACCCTCAGCTGACTGGTCCGGCTCGGTTCCGCGCATGCAAGCTGCAACATTCGTTCAAACCCTCCAACGGGAAATCTCCCCGCTGGTCAAAGCACATTATCATCTCGCCCGCTCCAGAACACTTCCCCTGACAATCCTGCGGATATTTGTCGTTGACTCGCCGTATCAATCTCCACGACAGGCGGCTGAGATCTTCACAGACTCCTCGCGTGTCATCTACGTCGCTTTCCCGGACAGTTGTCCTTTCGTGTATACATCCATTACGGCATCCACAGGATCGAAAGCAACTCCCTCAGCAAGCTCTGTGGCAACTGATACTCGTACTCTGCAGCGCCTGGTGCGCGATTCTATCCCTAAGGCTCTTTCCCGACCACAGGAACGATTCAACCTGAAGCCTACATCGCTGGCAGCAAAGAACCTGCCAACACTCCTTGCACTCCGAGGTCCTGGCCGCTCATCATCTGCAAATGGAGCATTTAGCATCTTTGCCGATGCAGTCATTGAAGGGAGTCCCTTGGACCCACGGCCTTCAAACACAGTCACACCAGAAGAGCATCTCCAAGCAAGTCACGAGTCTATCACAGAAGAAGGAAACGAAAAAGAAAACGGCAGTGTTGGAGAAGTCTCCGCTTCGAAGCGCAAACCCACAGGAAATGAGACAGCTCCCCTGTCTCCAACCTCAAAGAAACGCCGCCTGGCTATCCACTCCAGATTTGGAACGTCCGGTTCATCACTAGCCTCCGCGCCACTAGATCGTCTTGATATTCGTCTCCTCGACAAACCAGGCGCTGACAATGGTCATGAAGGCGACAATTCCTCCGCGTCCACTTTACCCGCCGTGTCACTCAACTTCGCTGGATCAGATGTTATCACTGGTATCCGCAAGCTCGCCGAGCTGGGTATCATCGATCCGGAACGTATGCCATCATGGATGACAGGCGAAGAGGGCATCAGTGTTGCAACGGTTCGACAGGGTCGACGGCTTCAAAAAGGTGAATAAAAGGGTTTCTGCTTGGTGTTCTAGGGCTTTGTGGCGTAGACATTTATGGTCTCTTTTCTTGTATTGGAATTTTGGTGGTTTGCTGTGATACCCCTATTGGAATGAGTAGATCATTTCTGTGAGCTTTTTGATATTGTCTGTAGAGAGGAGTATGTTGTCGAAGTGGTCTCCTGTATGGCTTGGTTTGGCTTTTGTAAGCTTGCCTTGCCTAACACCCTAGCTATATCACGATATCCTTATCTTTACGATGAATGCTTGTCTGTTATTTTATAGAGCTGGTGATTATTGATTATTAGAAAGAAATGTATTGGGAGATAAAGCCATGTAAAGAATGATATCATCTTGACCGTGGGAATCCTCAAAGAAATGATTCGTAAAGTTCGTATTTCAAATCGGGAATCGAGCAAAAAAAGAACACCCGTAACACCGGCGAAATAACCCGTAACCCAGCTCGACGGAAAACTCCTCTGAATAGCTCCATGTTCGAACCCTAGATCTCGAAATAAGCCCACGCATATCGTCAGCTTTGTTGGCAATGACAGACTATCCTTTCATGATAGCGAATTTGCGTATCGAAGTTCCAGTAATGGCCTCTAGGCTTGGAGATTGGCAAAAAATCGTCTCCGATGGGAAGGACGAAGGACCTACAGTCATGCCAGCTATGCACTGGGACTGGGCGGTTTCTTAACACGTGTGGGAGAAATCCCAAATTGTTCCGCGACGTTGACGTAGCCGAGCTTGTTTCGCTGGCCGCTCTCCCGAAGGTTCTGAATGTTCTGTCTCGAATCGCTGAACTGCCAGGGGGTACGGCTGTGGTAACATTGTAAGAAACCTTAAATGATCCATTTGTGGGAACAAAAACAAGGATATAATCACGTACCAATAAACGCAGCGGACAGCCGCGCCAGAGGCTTTGTTGGTGGATATCCACTTGTCAAAGCAGAGCTTGTGAACATTATTACCGCAGCCAGTCTTGCACCATGTTACTTCCTCGCTGGGGTCGAAGTCCATGAAGCAAATTGGACAGGCGCCTTCAACTGGCTTCCGGACATTGTCAACATCCTCTGGGGAGGCAAGCTCGATCTGATGCAGCGGCGAGGCAGCGAGGATTCCAGACAGTTCCTGTATCATGCCAAGACGGGTTAGAGACATATATCAGGGAATCGCACGACAATATGCTGGGGGTTCTTAGCATACCGAAGGCAGGAAAGACATCTGGAATTGTAGTTCCTCTGGAGCTTTCAGGACATTCACAAGGACTTGATAATTTATCTGTTTAGTACAACATGCATAGAGATATATCAATAAAAATGGACGTACCGTAGATAATATGCTTGCATTGACTTGATCCCTTCCGAAATCTCGAATCTGGGCAGTCGCACCTCGGGACTTTCCCAATGGAGGTTTTGTAAAGATTTCCGGTGGTTCCCACAATATCAAAGGAGACCACTGGTACATTGCCCACCTGGTCAAGCTTGTGGTTGACCACGAACATCCTAAAACAAGAGTTAATATCCTGATCACCAGATCAGATTGCCAAGCTACTTACTTTTCTTTCTTCGCACGCGTCGCACGCTCCAAGAAAGCCTTTGGTGGCTCCTCAAGCCAGTCGCGAGGACGCTTCGAAGGCGGGGCCGGGAAATATTTCCTGGGCGTTGTTGTGGCCGTGGACTTTTTGGCTTTTCCAGCTTTGACGACATCTGCCGTGGTCATGGGTGCAGGCTCAGTGGCCTTGGACAGCATGACAGCCAAGTCGCCTTTGGCGGGCCCATCAGCTCCATCGCCTTCGCTGGTCACTGTGGCTTTCGACTCGGCTTTTTCTTGAACAGCCTGTTTGGCCCTCTTGGCCCTGGGCTTGTTCTTGCCCGCGGGTGTATTGGCGACCAAATCGGGCTCGGATGTCGGAGCAGACGCTTTTTCACCTGCCTTTCGCTTGCGCGTAGTGGTTGATTTGGCTGAGCTTTCAGGAGCAGGACTTTCTTCCTGGGCATCAGCTGCATCCATCAAGGCCTGCTGCCTCCGCGTGGTGGGCATGATGAGCGACGTGCCTGTTAGGAATAGGGCAAGGGAGAAAGAGGAAACTCAGGCTATTCTCCATTTTAAATTGCTCACTGACAACTGACACCTGAGCGAACAAACAGGAAGGAGCGATGTCTACATATGTTTGCATTGTTTGCTGGGCTTATCGTTATCGAACTGGTCTGCCTCTCTACACTCTACACTCTGCGCCTTCAACGCTGCAACATGCTAAGCTCAGAGTCATAGCTAATCTACAGACTATTTGATCTCTCTGGATCGTCCCCTATTTTCTATGTCGCGTCCTCGGGCCCTGTCGGGCGCTGACGCCCCGAAAGAACCACATGCAGTCTCTCTGAAAGGTACGTCACACCCACAAGTCGCAGTCGAACCAATGTACTAACTACTAGCATAGTCTTACGGTGACTACGCCCATTTCACCTGGCTCTCAGGGTTATTCTAACTCCTTGCAGCTTGTCGCGGCCGTCACTTTCTTATCAGTACCCCCTCCCAGCCTCCAACAACACGATTTCCACGAAAGCCTCTCTAAGTTACCCGTCCCAGGACTTCGATGACCAGTTCACATTAGCGCCCCTTGTGAGGCCACCAAGATTTGCTTGATCCGGGATCAGCGTGCTAACGACAACAGCTCACACTACCCCCCTCCTTCGGATCCGTCTACGTCGGCGAAACCTTTGCATGTACCCTCAGCGCAAATAACGAACTTGAAGGCGATGATGAAAGAGTCCTCAAATCAGTCCGCATTGTCGCCGAAATGCAAACACCCTCTTCAGTAACGGTTCTCGAACTCGAGCCACCCAGCGACTCGGCCCAGTTAGAGGGCCTAAAGATCGGCGAGTCATTACAAAAGATTGTACGATTCGATTTGAAAGAGGAAGGGAACCACATCTTGGCCGTTAGTGTTAGCTACACGGAGACGAGGATTGGGTCCGACTCCCAGGCGGCCAGTGGACGTGTCAGGACCTTCCGCAAGTTATACCAATTTGTGGCACAGCCCTGTCTGAGTGTACGGACCAAGGCCTCTGAGCTACCACCATTGGAAGTGGATAACAAGTCACTCGGACCATATGGGAAGACTAGGTTACTCCGGTTTGCCCTGGAGGCACAGTTGGAGAATGTGGGAGATGGCGCGGTGGTAGTTACGGTAAGACCCCTTTGAACCTCCATGGTGTCCCGACAGCAGGGACGGTACCTGAATATCGGGCTGAAAATGTTTGATTTGAGTTCGACTAACAAGGGGATGGACAGCAAACCAAACTCAACCCCAAGCCACCGTTCCAATCGAAATCCCTGAACTGGGACACGATGAGCCCAAAGATGTCAGCGGCGTCACCACCGACACTTAATCCGCGCGACGTGCTGCAGGTTGCCTTCCTTGTGGAACAAGAAGAAGGCCGAACCGAGGGCCTTGATACCCTCCAGAAAGATTTAAGGCGCGATGGTCGTGCCACGCTGGGCCAGTTGTCGATCGAATGGCGCGGCGCCATGGGGGACAAGGGGTTCCTGACCACGGGCAACCTCATGAGCCGGAAACGCGCCTGAAACGCGGTGTGCACGACACCGAATCCCTTTCCGTGCCACGATATGCCGAGTCTGGCGCAGCCTGCCAGGTTGCATGGACGTGGGTGGTTTGTACATGTTCCGGACCCACTGGTACACAATATGACCATTGGCCTAAATACAGTGTAAATGTAGTCCTTTGGATGATAGAGCCATATAGAGTATATGAGGCTGATGGCCCTAGCGCCCGGAAAGCAGCCATGCAGCCCAAGCTTAAGTTTCGCACAAATCCCTCTCCACTGGCAAAGAAAATCGGCAATTCTCGTCCGGTCCAAGGAGCCACGTATTCGGGACAGGGAATATTCTTTTGGGTATGTATACAGGAGTCTGCTAGAGTCGAGGCCCGTTGGCAAAGGTCTAGACTCGAGTTCAGCTGAAATCTGCCATACGCGGCAGGAAACTATAACTCGATAGTCTTCTATATAGTTCTTTCCACTTCTACTCTGTACAACACAATATAGAAATCATACAGTCCTTACGGCCACGATGTCATTCAACCAATTGAGTTAATTCATCTAATTTAAGCTACGCAAAATTCAATCAGTTCGGCCCCCACCGCTCCTTCTCGTCTCGAAACATGACCATGCATGTATACACGGGCAGATGCGGGTTGGGTTAACCTTGTCTCATACCCCTTGGATGCAACCAGACTAAACGGGCTACTGGTGCATGTGCCCCCCTATCCGCGTAAGGGCCTTATGCAGGTAGCCACGGAATAGACAAGCGAGCTATACAGAAGGTAGAGCCCATAGATACCAGGGAATCGAAATATAGAACAGAGATATACTCAATTACGAAACTAAGGGCTTCTACATAAATGCAAACGAGTAAGTTATTCAATCAGATATTATTATTCATGAAAAATATACCAAATTGATACACTTTGCTTTGATCCACACCCAAGTTGAGTATAGATCGTCTCCCCGGGAACACTCTCTCCACTTGGCAACTCCTGGAACGCAACAGTGTTATATGTGTTGAACTGAGCTGTGAGATATATGACCATTGAGCTGGTGTAAAGTATCCAATCCATGGCGTAACCCTTGCCGAGTCGATATCATTGTATTGTATAGCGAAGCACAAGACCAACATGCACAATATGCAAAGCCCACAATCCTCTCTAAGTTCGGCACTTGCCGACCCTTCCCCCCCTTGAGGGTAACAGTTCCTAAAAATGCGTCAGAACGAGTTCAGTCTACAAAATAATGACTCAATGGCGTCCAACCCTCCGAACTGATCCGCCCAAGATAGAAAACCCCAAACGCCATGTCTCACTCGCAGGTCGAAGAGCTTAAGCGAAGGACCACCAAAATATCATAGCATCTCCGTTTTATAGGGAGCTCGGACACCTCGGGACGTTTGTAGAGGGCTGAGATATTAGCCCGCTTCTCTTTTTCCGAGAACACCACGTTACCATGGAACATGGCCCTGTTGACCCCTGGACTTGGGATCTGGGATTTGCGGAAAGTCCGATAGGATTTCCTCTCCACCGTACCGAAGAATGTGAGGCAGTTGCATGCTTTAGGGGGTGGAGCCGGAGAACTATACGCAAGATAAGGGAAGAGTTCTTCAGCATATAAAGCCGGGAATTGTTATACATAAGCCGTAACCCTGTATCCCCGGGAGTCTGGAACACCCTCAGCCCAAACGCAGGTCAGATTCTTGTGGAATGGAGTAGAGACGCACACTCGTCAAGGCTACGCAACCACCCGGGAGAAGGGGAAAAAAGAAAGTAAAAAAAATCAATATTGGGACAAATAGAAATAGAAATGGAAATGGAAATAGAAATGTAAAATAGCAGAACTGGAAGAGAAACGTACAAAGATACAAATATAAAATACAAAAAAAATAGAAAACAATTCCACTCCTTTTTACGTGGACCTTCAACCCCGAAATTGATCTTCGCTCTCAAACCACCCCGCCCCTCCCTAAATTCTTCCCCCCCGAAACATATGCTCTACTCCCCCCTTTGATGATACCATACCCATGTGGTGACAATACGTCCGACGCGACTCTCCACAATGCCGTCGTCTAGCACCTCCACGGAGGGCGCCCCCCTCGCCGATTATTTCTGGATAGCCGGTGTTGACGGCGCCGAGATCCTGGACACATTTAAGAGATTGGGAGAAGACTACCGTACCAATGGCGCCGCTTCACCAGGCCCAGCGGTCGCAGACACAATTCAAGAGGACGCCGACGCGGAGGAGGAACACAACCCGGACGGGGCCTCGCGGCCCAACTCGATGCTGTTCACCGGCGCCAGTCGCCGCGGTTCATACCAGCGCCTATCCACGTTCTCCAAAAGCTCCGAGGGAACCAATGGTCCCGGCAGTAACAGTAACCGCAGCAGTGTCACTGTTAAGGGTGCGTCGTCGCCCCTGCGCGGCTCGGCTATGTTCATGGAGGACTTCGATTTCGATCAGGCGCTGTTCAAGTTTGCGAATGAGCGGGAGTCGTTCTTGACGGATTTGAGTCTGAGTGCTGGTGCCATTACGCCGAATACGCGCCCGCGGTCCCGGGTTCGTACGCAGAAGATTGTTTCGGAGGATTCGCCGTCGCAGGGTGGGAATCTGTTGAGGTCTGGTATTGGGAGTGTCAGACGACACATGTCTTTCCGCGATATGAATAGTATGAAGCGGCAGCCGTCTATTGCTCGTCAAGGTGAGACTTGCGCGGGGCATTATGTCTCTGGGATTGGAGTGATCAGAGCTAACATGCACATTTTCTCAGCTTCGGTGCGAACCTCCCGACGACTCAGTAACTATAACTCTGTTATTCCAGTTCCGCAGCCTCTTGAGATCTCCCCGACAATGCATCCGTTAAAGCGACGATTCGAACCTGTCCTACTCGACCGATACCCCACACGAGGAATGCCCGACGAATTGAAGCAGCGCGGCAATTTCCCCGATTATGTTCCCATGTTTGCCTTTCCGAATGATATTAATATCGTCTCCTCCGACCAGCGACCACGCTCTACTTGGCACGGGTTTGCCATGACAACGGACAATGGTTCCAGGTTGCACGCTATCTGTGTGCTTATCTGGATCCCGCTCAATCAGAACGCAGCAGAAGAGCTCGAGAAGCGCTGTGAGGAATGGAGGAAGGATAACATGACCGATGAAGAGCGCGAACTGGCCGCGAGCTTGGGCGAGCGATTGGCATCCGAGCGAGCTAAACTTTCCCGCCTACTAGCACAGCTACCGACAGTTCCATCAGGGTCTGAATCCCGCGAACAGCTTGAGGATGATATCAGTGCTGTGGAAGAGAAGATCGGACTGATGACTGATCTCCTACGTCCGGTCCGCCACGCTGCAGCCTCCAAGATTGAGGGTCTGACTGATGGTGATACGGGATTCTGGATTCCCCGCGCATACGGTATTCTGGGCCGGGAGAGCACCATGACCAGTTTCTGGAAGGAGTGGCTCAAGGCTATCGTGGTGCCCATGACGGAGGGAGGTGTACAGCGTGTGCCTCCTCCTTCTCCGCGTATGGGAGTATGGCAGCCGCTGGAGCGATATGTTATGAATCTCTGCACCGAGGCGTTCTGTCCGATCTCTTCGAAGACGCAGGTCGAACTAGCCATTCGGGAGTTAAGGTTGTTTGCCCGCAAAGAGGCACCCAATGAGATCCCAGGGTCCCGAAACGTATGTATCCTTCGACTTCGATACACTCGGATGATTCGCTAACTATTTGCAGACTGATCTCTATGCCTTGTTCCGAACCTTGTCGGTTCCCAATATTATGATTCTCTTCGAGGTAAGATTCCTTCCGGCTGGGTTGACGACAATGCTAACCATTGGTAGTACGCTCTTACCGAATCTCGCATCATCTTCTTGTCCTCCCACACTTCCATGCTTTATCTTGCCACCAGGGCGCTGGTTGACCTTCTGTTCCCTATTCAGTGGGCTGGTGTTCTAATTCCTGTGCTTCCCGCTCGTTTGATTCAGGCCCTGGAGGCCCCTTGCCCGTACATCGTGGGTATCGAGCGTCGATACGAGAAGGTGGAGCTGCCGTCGGACGATTTCGTCCTGGTTGATCTGGATTCAGACATGATCGAGAGCACTATCCAGCCCACCGCCCTCCCACGCCACCAGCGCCGGAAGCTTCTGTCATTGTTGCAATTGGCTGCTCCTCAACACAGCCGATGCCACGTGCCTACTGGACCCCCGGCATATGCAATTGAAACGTATCCCTGGGACTCGTTCCTGTCCGAGAGCAAGGCTACTTTCCAATCCAAGGCTCCGGCCACTCACCTGGCAAAGTATGTCGGTCTCAACTCCAGTGCGTTCGGCCCGGCCGCTGTCGTCCCAGGCACATACTCGCCCCCGATTTTCAACGTGTTCTTGCATGCCCGCAGTGAACAGGGACCTTCTCGTGGCTACTCGTCTCGCGGAAATGAGCGTCCAGGAACTGGGAACACCATCAGAGCCAGTGCCTCCCCGCCATCCCCGAGAGAAAGCTCGCCCACATCTGGCTACTTCCCTCCCCCTCCACCAACCCCATCCTCGCGCAATGATTCCGGCATGGCTCTACAGGCGTCCTTGCGTGAAAAGCGTTCCGGTCACTTCGATGCCTCCTCCCGGCGAAGCTCGTCGTTCGGCATGAGCCGGCGCCCTAGTGCTCCGTTCCTCGGTCACACTTCGAACCTCTCAGTAACAACCCTCAACACTGAACATGGTGGTCCTGGCTCCACCTATGCTCCCTCTGTCTATGCGCAATCCACCATCGCTGCATCGACAATTGTCCCCCAGGCCAACACACAGCAACCCGACAACAAGCAAGGCACATACTGGGCCGAGGGTCACTTCTTCCAAGTCCAGCCATGGGATGATAAGTTGACCTGTGCCATTTGTGACGACCGTGCAGAGGAAGGGATGTACAAGTGCTCTGCTTGCAAGCTGATCGTCCACAACCGCTGTGCTTGCATGGTCTGCCTGCCGTGTGATGCAGCCTTCCATCCTGATCAGATCCGTGCTGCATTTGTCAGATGCTTTGCCAGCTTGTTCTACACTTATAAGAAGTTCCTCGTCCCGGCCACTGGCGAAAAGAAGAAGTCCGGAATGTACTATACGTTCAACATGGAGGCGTTCATGAAGAGTCTTCCAAGTGAACATGCTGAGTACATTGCTATTCTACAGCAGACACAAGGTAAGTCTCAATAACATTTCACATCATAAAATAATACTAACCTATATCAGGCTTCAACGAGTTCATCAGTGATCGAGAGAGAACAAGCCCCAAGTCCAAGGACCCGCGGATGGCACTGTTCGACGAGATCGTCCTTTCAAAGCGTAACCGCGGCCGCACATCCATCTTCTCCGGCCGCTCGACAACCGACTTCTTATCAGACACGTCCAACCACCTATGGCGCACCGCCAACGCCACCTTCTTTCCCCCAAGCAGCCGTAGCCAGCAGAATCTCTCCGCTGATTACAGCAGAGTAGTAACGAGAGGTAAGTCCCAGCACCCAACCCACCCCTCCCGTCCCGTCTCTGACGATCTTCTGCAGCACCGGCGAAACTAGATGAAAGCCTGATGACAGAACCCCGCATGATCCACGGCGCACCAAGAGTTTCCAAGACGGCGAATACTGCCCGGCGAAAGCCCCTGCCTAAACTGATGAATGGCCTGGCGATATCTCCCCCAAGTTAACGTTAATTGGTGCGAATCCAATGGCGAGTGTCCCCGTCATTATCTTGCCCTCGTGGGTCCGGTCTCTTGTGTCCCGTGTGTGTGTATGTGCACGCGTCTCGCAACACCTACGTCTCCCGCCTGAAACGCATCTCCGACTCTGCCTCAGTCTTGGCCTTTCCGATTCATAACATGGTCCCACGGCCATGATTGATCTGATCCATTCCGTCAACGGGTATGGCATGCTTGCATGCTGTGGGTGCCTTGCGAGTCTCCGTTTGTGGTGTGCGTTGAAGTGTCCCCCTGAACTGAAAATGTCGAGTCCGCTGGCTCGGCTGGACTTCTTCCTCCACTTCCACTTCCCCTTCCGCATCCCTCACTCCAACGTACTGTATTTCAAAACTGGCTATCTCCAATGTAACTCGCCGGTTCGAGTATATTGCTTGCAGAGCCGAATACCCACAATCGGAGCACTGCATTGCAGTCCCGCATACACGCCCTTGGCCATATCCCTGAACATCTTCCTCCTACCAAACCCAATCAAACCTGCCATGTCTCCTCTACCCTGGCAGGTAAATGACCTCTCTTGTGAGACATGGGCAGTCCCACGCGCCGATATCCTCGGGGCCGTGGTGCTGTCTTCGTACATAGTGTTGACTTGAACTCCGGCTTGATGTACGGAATACGTGAACAAAACTAAAAAGTGCGGTTCCGAATTGCCATGTGGTGATAAATCCTTTCCCTGATATTGATACTACACATTTTCTTGCCTTTTCTTGCTCTTCTTGCGCCTATTTAGCTTCTTTTTTATTACTGCTGTTGAATGCCTGCTTCTACCCAATACCCTACCGTTGATTTGGCTGGTATTCTCACTCTCGTTATGCTTGTGATTGGTTGTTTTGAATACAATTCTGGGCGGTCTCGTGATTCCGTTGTTGTGTTTTATTTCATATTTCATATTTCTCGTTCTCATTATTGTCTCAAACCCTGGTCCTTGTGCATGCTATGTTTCATGGATATGGATGTCGGAGGATCTCTCTTTCTTTCTACTAATCATTTCCCTGCATTGTCATATATGTCGGCTTATTTCCGGAGGGACATACATAGATCGTTAGTGTTTACATGGTGTATGCTGAACTTGCGAGTCGTGAATATGAATATGAATGAGAGTATGGGAGCATATCATATCACCCCCGATATCATAATATTCATCTATAACTGTAACATTGTCGGTTAGTAGATTCGTTGATTGCCGGGTCTGTCTGCAGACGGGAGCATGCACTATGCCGCAATGCACTAGGTAGCAGTATTCCCGTAGCCGATCATTGGCTGTATCCTAGCCAAGGCTATGTCTCTCTGCCAGACAGGTGGTTTTCCCTCGTATCAGAACCACAGAATTGTAAGGTGGAATCCTTATTCTAAGCAGGGCTGTGTCAGCTCCGAGCGTTGCTTATAGTAATAGATTTTCCTTGATGGATGGTGGTACATATATACATACGTCAATCTGAATACAGGCTATACAGGCTATAATCAAAGCATAAACAACCGACTATCCAACTCAGAAAGCCTGAATAGATCTCGGACCAACGCCGTGCACTACTACATGCGTATACAAACCATGTAGTTCCCCACAATCTGATTGGCGGAGAAATGTATCCCCGCTCCCACTTTCCCCCGCGTCTCCGCCTCGATGTGATCCCAGCGGTGGAAGTTCTCCGGCGAGTTCTTCCATCGCCTCAAATGCCGTCCACTCTGGATGTATTATTAAACTCTACCCAATTGACCTACCCTGATCTAGCCGCCTTCAGTCCTGGCGTTGTGGCTCTCTCTACTGTGTAATTGTCCGCTTCGAATACTACCTACCTCTTTCGATAAGTTAGAGCCTGTAACATTGTCAGTCTCGCGCGCTGGTCTCATTCTGGCCCTTGCGCACTGGCTCTACTCTATTCTATTCGTTTTTACTCTCCTTCTACCTTTCACCTCCCCCAATTGACAGATACACTCGCCGCCGTTTCCCACACGTGCACCGCATACACACACACACACACACATACACACACACACATACCCCCACGAGACCAAGTATGAAAACGAGGACTGTTATGAGATGATTCCGACAGCCCTTCCGCAGCACATGGCGACGCCGCTGCTCGACGATCCCCACGTCTCCGCGCTCAAGGCCCAAGAGCCTCCGCAAAACGACACAAGCGCCATATCGGTCTCGAATGTCACGCCCATATCCCCCACCACCGTTGCCCTAGCCGCCGCGCCGAACGAACAAGTAGCATCAATTGTCGCGCCGGCCGAGAGCGCTACGGGGACAGTCTTGATCGTTTACGGTCTGAACCAGGAACATATCGTGCAGCTGGTCGCGGAGGTGCTAGGCAAACCATGGACAACGGAGACGTCGCTGGAAACACTCGCGCAGGGTGGTGATGTTGGCGTGGTGGGGATTCTGGCGCGTGACCTGGAGCGCAGTCTGGAGGGGTGTGAGAGGTCTTCTTTGATCCTTGTGAACACGTATTGTGTGGAAGATGGATCTGCGCCGGATGACACGCTGACCGAGAGGTGTGATTATGAGTTTTTGTATTCTCGGAGTCCGTTCCTGCGTCGGGATCTGTCGCGGTTTTTGTCTTTGATTTTGGGTCAGACGAGACCGCATGATGATCTGCGTAAGAAGACAAGGACGAATTTTATCTCGACGACTTTTCCTGATGTGCACGCTGCGTTGCCGAATTTGGATATTCTGTCGGTTGGATCGGATGCTGTTGAGATTCGTGTGGATTTGCTCGTTGAGCCTGCGGTTAGCGGTCCTGCTGCTCCTGTCCCGAGCTTGAAATATGTTGGGCAACAGTTGATGTTGCTGCGGCAGCATACTGAGTTGCCCATTATTTTTACTGCCAGGTGTACGAGGGAGAATGGGAAGTTCCCTATGGATGACCCGGCTCTCTTTTATAAATACCTGCGTCGGGCTATTCAGTGGGGTGTTGAGTATATTGATGTGGAACTTTGGCTCCCGGAGGAGATTCGGCGACAGCTGGCTGAGAAGAAGGGGCATAGTATCATCTTGTCTGCATTCCATGACTTCTCCGGGACCTGGAAGTGGACATCGGAAGAGGCACAGCGCATCTTCACGGAAAGCGCCAAGTATGCCGACATCGTGAAGATGATCGCCATGGTGCACTCCATCGAGGAGAATTATGAGCTGGAATACTTCCGCTCGACCATCAAGAGTCGCGGCCCAGGCCCATTATTGTCGGCTGTCAACATGGGCCAAATGGGCCAGCTCTCTCGAGCCCTGAACACAGTCTTTTCCCCAATTACCCACCCACTTCTTCCAATGATCGCAGCCCCGGGTCAATTGACAGCCGCGGAAATTAATGAAGCCCTGCATATAATGGGTCAACTTCCCAAACGTGACCTTTACGCCATCGGTTCCTTCCGCTCAACTCCACACTCAATGTTCATGGAAAAGTGCCTGAATGAGCTGGGTCTCCCACACAACTTCTCATCCATCGACCGCGGTCCGAAGGGCTCTGTAGAGTCTGTCATCATGCAACCGCAATTTGGTGGCGCCTACCTCAACCCCCCGGTGGCAAGCACAACATCTTACATTCCTGCGGTGAGCAACGCAGCCCGGGCAATTGGCTTAGTCGACACAATCGCCATGACCAGCGCCGCAGAACCCCATTCAGCGAAATCCCGCTTTATCGGCGAAAACGCTGCTTGGAAGGGTATCCGCGCAACACTGACGCGCGAGTACGTCCCTTCAGCATATCAAAACCGCGCAGCCATAATACTAGCAGGCAGCGAAGCAGATGCCTCAGCAGCGATCTTCGCACTGCGCAGTCTTGGCGTTGGAGCAATTTATACAGTCGGCTTCAAAGCCTCAGGCCCGTTATCCGCCGGCCTGGAACCATTCACATCCATCCAATCGGTGAAACTAGTTGAGCAGCCTTTCGTCATTGTCTCAGCCTTACCACCAGAGAAATCCCTTCTCGTCCAACCCCTGCTTCGGCATTATGGTGCTAACGGCCGCTCATCACCCCCTTCGACTCGGGGAAAGGTTTACCTGGATCTAACTAGTGGACTTCGAAAGGGTGATCCCCTCGCTGTAGCTACGAGTGCTGGCTGGACAGCATATGGGTTCGAGGATGTTACCGCATGGACGACTGTCGAAACACTTAGGTTACTCGTTGGCCAGAATGTCCCTTTTGACTTTGTGCGCATGGCGTCTGGGCGGCCCTTGTTTTAGTCGGTTCTAGTTCCTCTCTGTTGTGCATCCAATAGACTGTTGTATTGGATCGGCTTCTTCAGTTCTCGGTTTTCTTGGGTGTTTGGGTTGGGATGCATTTGGCTTCTTTTGATATGCTCTAGAAATGCATGGGTATATATTATATGTTTCTAGTGCGTAGCTTAAAGATGTCTTACTCTTGGCTCTCTTCTGTATAGATACATAGTAACTGTAGGATGTTGGTGAATACCGTTACCCCAGATATGTCAGGTACACCTCGGGCCCGATAGGCCCTTATCAAATCCGGGGTTCAGCCCCTCACTCTCGTCTCCCGTCTATCCCCAACTGATTCCAGTTTCCTCCCTTTGCCTCACACTAGTGTGGAAAGAACAATGCAATGCATCTCCGTCCCGACCACGCAGTGCGCGACCTCCCAACCCTCCACGCCTTCATCCAACAACATCCCCTCGGCATAATAACAACCTCCCTCCCCTCAGAAATCCACCCGACCCTCCAATGCAGCCACATCCCTTGGGTCCTGGACAGTGAAGCGACGGTTTCAAATACGCAAACAAACAAAGAATCCAACAATGCCGAGCCCCCACCCCTAGGAGTCCTCCGCGGCCACATCGCACGCCAAAACCCGCAGTCTAAGGCGATGGTCGATGCCGTGTTGGAGAATACAGCAAACAGAAACAGCGGGACTAGTATCCCGGGTGCATTCCCGACATTGGAGCCGGAGCTGGAGTCAGAGTCAGAATCAACAGGGCAGACCCTCCCCGGCGAGGTGTTAATTGTCTTTACCAGTCCAGTAGACCATTATATCACGCCGAACTTTTATACTGAATCCAAGCCTGCGACGGGGAAGGTTGCCCCGACGTGGAATTATGCTGCTGTGCAAGTCTACGGCCGTGCGACGATCTATCATGACGCGAAGGATGCAAATACAGAACAATTCCTGAGGACGCAGTTAGGGGATTTGGCGAGATTGGGCGAAGAAGGCGTAATGGGCTTCCAAGACCAAGACAAAGACCACAGCCAAGAACAAGCGGTCGCGGCATCGGCTACGGGTACGGGTACGGGAGCGGGCCCAACATCTGAAACCAAGACCACGACTAACACCGCGGAAAAAGACCAAGCAAACCAGGGGCTTAGCGCCAACCCTGAAACTAGCACCACCAAGGGAAATGCGGCCTCCCCGACGCCATGGAGAATCGCCGATGCGCCACCGGAATACATAGCCATGTTGCTGAAGAATATCATCGGCATGCGGGTTGAGATCACGCGCATTGAGGGGAGGTTCAAGGTTAGCCAGGAACGACCGGTGAATGATCGCAGTGGGGTTGTTGAGGGGTTGGAGGGGATGGGTTCTGTGAGGGCGAGGGATATGGCGTTGTTTGTGAGGAGGGGGAGGGTGGTTGATTCCCCCTAGACCTGGACTAGGTGGACAGGGGTATATACGTCTATGTATATATGTGACTTACATGCATAACTTGTAGAGTAAAAGTTAGAGAGTAGGATAGAACTTAGAGTTCATAGCGCCATGCACGCAACACCTCGGTTGGATAAATGCATTCGGATGCTGCGATGTGAGAGAGTGGATAACTAGAACCAGCCGCCAACTTTGGTGATGTTAGTAATACATGCAGGAAAGGGGAGTATTCTTCAAGCCAAAAGTCAAAAACCAAAAAGAAACCGGGCAAGCAATGAGCAGAAAACGCCCCCGTTCCGTATCCAAAACAGTAGACTGCGGATGATCAGGCGTCTACGGCCACTTTAGTAGGCCTTTCATAGGGCCCGGTAGTGGCAAGGATGTTTCAGGTGGAATCCTGGGAATCTGGGGAATTAGAAGCGGGGGGCGCTGAAGAATCGGGGGTAGAGGACGGAGTAGGAGGCTTCGGTTAATAGGAAGCTGGAAAGAACAGGGTCCAAGCGGTTGAGTTTGAAAGACAAAATCAAACTGCGGATGTTGGTGTGGAAGCCCTAATGGACCGGAGATGGTGGTGAAAGAAGGAAGTTCCCCGGAGTTCTGGACTGGGGATATTAAGGGGAGGCTAGGTAGTGATCTTGGGTTTTAATATTAGAATAGTTTAGAAGCATAGTAATATGGGAAATGTAGGATATTAAATATGATCAGGATCGTTAGAATTAATTAATTCAAAAATAACAAGAATAACAGTAACTTCATGAGAGTATAAGTAACTTCATGAGACTATACAAAGTACCTGAAAGTCCCGGCGGCACATCTTCTCCGCATTTCGCTATTCTCCGCAACTCATAAAGGCATAGACTCATTCTCGACGCCACGAACTAGTCTATTCCTCTTGGCCGATGCCTCTTTCTTTTCCTTTCTCTTTCTTCCTTTTTCCCCAATTCCTCAATGTACCATGTCTCGCCCTCAGGTCAGCATCGACCGTCTCACGCCCCGCCGTGCGACGGTCGAGCCACGCGAAACTATGAACTGCAAATCCTGTCGCAAGCGCAAGGTCGGTTAAAATCCAGCGCTCTGATCGCATCTCTAACAGCCACTTTAGATCAAATGTAATCGCTTGCGACCAAGCTGCGAGGCCTGCAAGGTGTTCCAGTGCCCGTGTGTTTATGGTGAGCCAAGCCACGTTACACCGAACATATGACCCAATTTAACACAAAACCAACAGACGCAGTTCCCAAAAAGCGCGGTCCGAAGACCGACGTGCTGGAAGCGCTGCTGAAACGTGTGGATGGACTCGAAAAGCGACTGCACGATGAAAAGAATCCCATCTCGCCCACTTCGCCCGACCAGGCCCCGGACGACCCACCAAGCTTTCTGTCCCGCCGGAATACCATCGATACCTCGTTCAGTCTTTACGCTGCAAATGAACCGCGATCAACTTTGTCGAATTCCCTGTCGCAGCATGTGGAACCTTTTCCTCGGATGGCTAGTCAGTCGGGGAATCTTCTTCCGCAGCAGTCTCCGACACAGGGTGTTTTGTCGGATGCGATCCTGGACATTTACTTTTCGCGACTGCATGGGAAGCCTTTCTTTATACTCGATGAGGCGACTACGCGACAGCGACATCAGATGAATCAATTGCCGGCGTTTTTGTCCATGGCTATTTCGGCAATGGCATTGAGGTAGGATTGCCAGTTTGTCGCTTCTATTTGCCGTGTTGACCATCCCAGGTACACCACTTCACCCGGTCAAGTAGAGCAGGCACTACGGTCGGGACTAGATGCGGCGCACCAGGCAAGGCGCATGATCGATGTCGATAACCCAACGGTTGAGGGGTTGCAGACTCTCTTGTTGCTATCGCAAGCTTTCTTCGCCTTTGGACTGGGGAAGAAGGCATATATGACATTTTGTAGGTTTTGCCTCCATGACTTGGTGGAGTCGCTAACAAATGACTAGCGAACTGCGTGGCGATGATTGTTGCGCTGGATATGTACCGCGAGGCACCAGCCAAGATGAACGTTTCGCCCGCCGAGCGGGAAACCAGACGTCGCCTGTTCTGGTCTGTCTATCTAATGGATCGCTTTATTAACTGCGGATCCCGACGGCCGTGTCTCATATCAGACCATTCAATTGTTCTGCGACTCCCATCCTGGTCGCCCCATGCAGCCGGTCTGAACATGGAAGGAGAGCTGTTCCACGTTGGACCTAACATCCAGTATTCAGCAGACTCCCGCCGCAAATCGCCCAGCGCGGCTTCTTTGTTGATTGACATAACACGGATCCTCGGTGTCACCAACAAATATTTGGCAGCGGGCGGAGTCAAGGGCGACTCTCATTTCCCATGGCATGCGCTCTCCACTCTTTCCAAGATCCGACAAGAATTGGATATCTGGGCGGCCGGTACGCAGGACGTCTTTGCATCTATTGATGCATTGTTTGGTCACCCCGAAAGCACAACACTATTACTGAGCAAGTTGATTTATCATCTTGTGCATTGTTTGATCTACCGCCCATTCCTACCAATCGACTTGGTTGAGCTACGCGGTACAGGGCAGCACCAGTCTTGGCAAATCGAGGCCACTAATCTGTGCTTCTCGCATTCCAATGCAATTGCAGAGCTGGTTGAATTAGGCCGGAACTCTCCACTGGTTGAATGGCCTGCCTTTGTCGGTTACTGTGTTTGCACAGCTGGGACTGTTCACGTGCACGGTGTGCACTACAAGGGCCGCGAAGGCGAGGTCTTTTCTTCGAGTGCTGAGTTCTTGACACGGGAGATGCACCAGCTCACTTGGTTGCGCAGTATCTGGACGGGTGTCCAGCACCAGCGTGAGCTGCTGCAGACTATCTATACCTGTCACTCGGAACTGGTGCGCAATCTTGCTAGCAGCCCAATGCGTTTCTCGCCCGTCTTCCATCTTGAAGACTTCCTGGATCGATACCCCGGTCTGTCGTTAGATGGATCTCATGTCCGATTAATAGATACTGGAGATGACCTGTCATCGAGGTACGGTTCTTCACACCCACCATTTTATACAGCAACTGACATGAAAACAGTACATCAAACTTCATTGATCGACAAGACCACTACTACCAACGATCAATGGCGGCACCATCCTACCAAACCCCATCATCCTTCTATTCAAACACCAGAGGCGCACCCTCAACCCCCCTTGCAACCCAAACCCCAGACACAGACCGCAGAAACTCCCATTCTCACTCTCACTCCCACTCCCAATCAATACCCTTCTCCCAAAAAGGCCAACCAAACCCCTCTTCCCTCTCCCCGACCCTCCAATTCCACGCCCCAAACCACAACCAACCAACCCCTTCCCTTCCCTCAATCTTCTCCCTCCCAGGAACAGACCACCCAAACCCAAACCACAACCAACAAGAACAAACCAACCAACTAGCCCTCCCCCCAGGCTTCTCTCCAACAGTCTTCGGCCTCTCCCCACCCCCCTTCCTCTCAGAAACAAACCTAAACATAGCCCCAACACCCCCCTCAAATCCCCAATACGCAACCTTCCCCTTCGACGCCGCTCACACAGGCATGAGCGGCACAGCCGGTGGTACAGTCCTCACTCCGGGCGCCCAGTCACATACTAGCGGGACGCAAACTACGACTGGGAGCGAAGGTGGTTCTCTAGAGAAAGATCCATTCCTTAGTTTACTGGAGCAGCTGGCTGAGAATGAAAATTCCCAGGGTGGGCCTAGTGAGCTTGATTTCTTTTTGACGGGGACTGGGGCTGTTGATGGTGAGTCGGAGATTGTCGATGATAAGAATGGCAATGGGGTCTCATAAGGAAAGGAAGAGGATTGGCAGCGTATATATATATTCGTGTTTTGTTTATAATTCTTTGCATATTTGAGCTAATTCGCCAGCTTGGTTTGGTTTTTATTTAATTGATACCCATTTCTGGTATTGGATTTTACCTCACGTGTCATTGAATCTGTTGATATTGGCAATTGGTAGCATGATATTGTCGATGGTGTTGAATCCGACGCTTCAATTTTGTACTTGACGTTTCCTTCAATTCCACGAAGATATACCTTGCGGTGCAGTAAAACAGTGATAATGTAACTGTGGTATCCAGGTCTATCCCAAGTACATCGGACAGACAATTAGGATACCCCCGCGGGCTGCTCTCAATTTAGCCGTTATCAATAGCCGGATAGTATCGGCTATTGAAAGTCCATAGACCTCCATATGGGAATACATCGACTGTAAACCAATCCAATTGCAACAATTCTGTGTTAATCCAACAGCTCCAAAGCCTCTGGACATGCTCCAGACTAAACCATATATATACACATATAAAAAACACCAAGATATAAGCCCAAATCAAATCCCGACCATACCCCGGAGACGAGTCGGCGGAGCTCCGCCAAAGCCGAGCGGGAACCCCCACGTCGCAATGCCCTGGCCTCACATATAATGCAACAACCCCTCCAACCCAAATGTCCCCAACCGACCGACTTCTCACGATAAAAAACCACCTCCCACAATCCCCCACTACATCCACAACCACCACATCCAAAATGAAACTCCTCTACCCAACCTCCCTAGTCCTGGACACAAAGTCCCTGGAAGGCTTCTCCGTCTCCCTCCACCCCTACGACGTCACAACCCCAATCCCAGACGACCTAATCGACGCCGAAATCCTAGTAACATGGACAAACAAACCCGAAAACCTGCGCGACGCCGCAACCCGCATGAAAAACCTCCGCTGGATCCAGTCCCTAGCCGCAGGCCCGAACGACGTCCTCAGCGCCGGCTTCGACGCTTCCCGTATCGCCATCACGACCGGTTCCGGGTGCCACGATGAGACGGTCGCTGAGCACGCGCTTGGTCTGTTGCTTAACGGTGCCCGGCGGTTCTTTGAAATGCGCGATTATCAGAATAAGGGTGTTTGGCCCGGCCATCTTGGAGGCCCGCAGCCTGATCGTGCTCCTGGTACTTTTTCCACGCTTAAGGGGGCGAATGTTACTATCTGGGGTTTCGGAAATATCGCCAAGTGCCTTGCGCCCGTTTTGACGGCGTTGGGTGCGAAGGTTACTGGTGTTGCGCGGTCTGCTGGTGTGCGGGATGGGTTTGAGGTTGTTGGTGAGGATGCTTTGCCGGCTGTGCTGGCTAAGACTGATGCGCTTGTTATGATTCTGCCTGGGTCTGCTAGTACGAATGGGGCGCTGGGAAAGGAGAGGCTTGCGCTTTTGCCTAAGCATGCTTGGGTTGTTAATGTGGGCCGGGGTACTTCTATTGATGAGGATGCCCTTGTTGAGGCGCTTGAGAAGGGGGAGATTGGGGGTGCCGCCCTTGATGTCTTCTCTGTTGAACCATTGCCTACTTCTTCGCCTCTGTATAAGGCGCCTAATCTTGTGCTCTCGCCTCATGCTGCTGGTGGGCGGCCGCGTGGGGCTGAGGCGTTGATTGCTTATAACTTGCGGAGGCTTTTGGCCGGGCAGGAGCTTAAGAATCTTATTTAGAGGTTGATGGCGAGTTCTTGTTTGATAGATTTATTTTTTACTAGTACATAGATGTATCGATGTTCATACTTAGGTCCTGTCGTGTAAAGTGTGGTGTAGACACGGTGTGACTAACTTGCCCAGTACTCGTGCGTAGCCAAAGAGAAAAATTATTGGTCCAAATTGGTCCTTACATACAGTTAAGCCAGCTTTACCCTAATAAGGACTTTCGATCTTAGTACCATGGCACAACTAAAGGAGAAGCCTGGAATGAAGAAACTGATCGAGAGAAAGAAATTGATAAAAGCTTATATAAACAGAGCATGACTATGTACAAATATCCAAACCACCCATATTTTCAGAAACAATCAACACCAGAATCAATGCCAAAACATCCAACCCTAAAGTCTGGAACTGCTACCCTGACAACAAGAAGCAGAAGCAGCTGAAGGGAAAGCATTCTTCGACTGGGTATCAACACAAACAGCCGAAGGCGGAACCCAAAGACCAGGATTCTTCTCAAAGAAGTTCGAAGCACGCAGCATAATGCTAACCGGCTCAGCAGGCATAATGGGGAAATCCTCCGTGCGCGGGAAATGCGTAAGACCGAACTGGAGGTAGCAGACGATATCGGTGTTTTCGATGTTCTCGTTGCGCTGCGCCCAGTCCGCGATCGTGGGGTTGTGCGGGTGTCCGTCGTCGCCGGTGGATTGGCAGACGTAGTCGCCGGCTGGGAAGAGCTCGTAGTCCTTGTAGGGCAGGACCCAGAGGGGCTTGCGGGCGAAGGCGGCGCGCTTCCAGACTGTGCTGCCTGGTTTGGCGAGCATGGGTGGGCAGTTGTTGTTCAGGATCTTGTAGCCGACGGGCTTTTTGGCGATTGTGTTCATGCGGTTTGGGTTGATGATATCCCACGAGCGGTTCGTCTCGTAGCAGTAGTCTGCGGCGCCTTCGAGGGCTGTGCGGAGGGTTTTCTTCTTGCTGTAGAAGGCGTTGCCGTAGGGGTTCTCTGGGGAGCCGACGGCGGCTTCGGCGGAGACGGCGTCGCTTTGCACGACGGAGTTGTTGTGGCCATCGATTTCGGGGTCGATACGGAGAGAGAAGAGGTGCTGGTGGTTGTGGGCGTTGATTGAGGGGGCAACTTCTGTGCCGTAGGGCGCGGCGGTCTCGGTTGGGTGCATGCAGTAGGTGTTCAGCATGCCGGTGAGCTTCATCTCCAGCTTGTAGGTTCCGTCCAGGGTGAAGGTGTGGTAGAAGCCGTACTCGTAGTTGGCGGCGGTGATGATTTGGGAGACGATGAGCTTGCGGTCACGAGCGGAGATGACAGTGCCGTCGCGGTAGTCGGTGTGCTTGTAGAGGAGGCCGTTGTCCTCTTCGTGGATGCAGATGGCGTTCTTGATCACGGCGGCTTCACCGCTGGAGGTGGACATGACACCGTCCATGTAGTGGATAGCACCCTTGCAATCACAACCCAGCTTCAGAGAATTGGTCATGAGACCAGTGCCGTACTCGCCAACGTCGAAAGCGTGCTTCTTGTGGTGAGGCTTCTCGGGGCAACCGTAGGGGACAACCATCTCGACGACGGAAATACGGTTAAAGAGGGTGCGCTCGCGGTCCTCGTACATGTCGTGGGTGCGCACATCAGAGATGACGATACCCTCACGGTAGTTGAAACCAATGTGCATCTTGAAGTTGGCCCAAGTCAGCTCGTTGCCGCGGACCTTGAAGGAGACACCCTGAGGCTGGGTGATATCGATAGGCTTCAGGCGGTCGTGGTTGTACTTGTCGCCAATGAATTCGGGAAGGTAGTTGTGTTCTTGGAGAGGAACAGCGGTGCGTTCGCCGTTGACATAGCGGACATCAACGCTGAGCACCTCTTCGGTCTCGGTATCCGCAACAACGGTGAAATCCAGAGGGTGGGCGTACTGGTTGTCGAACTCGGAGTTACGGTAGTAAGCCAGACCCTGTTGGAGACGGCGCTCGAAGCCCCATCGTTCATCAATGCCAATGGCCCATGCGTCGAGGAAGACCTTATCCATGTCGGTAATGCCGATCTCCTTGCAGGCACGGATAACACGGGCGTCCTTGCGAGCAATGCGCTCCATCACATCGAGATCCTCGAGAGTGAGAGTTGGCATGACTTCGGAAACTTCTTTCCATTCCTCAACCTTGGTGGTGGCGAGGTTGACGACCACCTCGGCGACCTGGGAAGTTTCGCGCACAATGACGATGGCGAAAGCCCGACGGTCTGGAGTGGGAATTGCACCAGCACGGAATGCTTGATATTCGGCTTTCCGGGGTTCCCGGAGTGTGAGGCAGTTGAACTTGATAGTCTTAGGGCTGGCATATTCCCGGATGATCTTGGCGGCCTCTGGGATTTCCTTGATGGTGAGTTGATCTATGTTCAACGTCAGCTTCTGATCTCTAAAAAATATGATGCGGTTTGCCTACCTAATGGGTGGGGGATTCCCTGTGGCAACATCGCAGCGGCGGCTACACTATCATAATCTCCCTCGCGGAAGATCGTATAGCCGGGAATTGATGTGGTATCTGGGGCAGACGCCATGATGAAGATGTGATGGGGGATGGGAGAAGAGTTTAGAGAGTTGTAGAGAACTGAAAAACTTCATCGCAAAGTTGCCATGGACTTTATATAGCTACCGGACCTTGGATATCAGATCGAATGTCACCGCATGTACCTTCCCAGAAAGGAAATCGGGATCTTATAGAAGCCGGGGCGAATGGTCCCGAAAGTGGACTCTCCCGCCGTTGTTCGGTTTGGGCGAATGTCTGGAGAAGCTATTAAGTGACACTAGAGGTGACGCTTTGCAATTCTATGGCATAATATCTGTTTCGTAAAGACATCGCCATCGAAAATATCAGCCAATCAGCATACAACGGCTCGGTAGATGTGTTGGCCATTGCGTTCTCTGCTGGTCGCCCTAATGAGGCAAGTCTTATAGGCAGGGCTACACACTACACCCACTGTAGGCACCACCTGCCTCTTTTCGACGAATCAGGTGATCTACGAAGAGGTGCCAAGGGCGTTGAATCAAGCTTATTTTCACGTGGACTGGGTTATGTAAGCCGCGGCTCTTTTTCACCACATCTTAATAGTCTTGATAAGTAGCTAGGTATACAGTAACTTGAGTAGACATTCAAGACTACACATATGTTACACATGTGAAAATCCAAGACAGCAAGACAATTACCCACCTATCTCCAGTATTGACACCGAATACCCAAACTGCGCTTGGCTGGACATGCCTAATCAGGACTAGCGCATATACCCGTCAACCGCCGTGATTTGAGTTCCACGTCCGAGTCCACCCCGTCTTTGATAGAATCCGGAGGCGGATCTCGTGGATCTCGCGGATCTGTCTGAAGTCACTATGGAGACTGAAATAGAATGTACAGCCGACTTATCGCTAGCTCTAGCTATCGCATAGTTACGGAGTACTCGCGTTAAGTACTAATATTATTCACGTCTAACTTGACCATTTCTTCACAAGCTTCCACCTCAATCACACACAATGTCCGACGTATCAGTTCAACTCACAGCGCCCAACGGCCACACTTGGACCCAGCCCACGGGCCTGTTCATCAACAACCAATGGGTCAAGTCGTCGAATGGCGAGAAGATTGCAACCATCAACCCCACGTACGTCTTGGAACTTCATATATATATATATATATCAATTTATAGCTGATCGGATTATAACAACAGGACCGCAAAGGAAATCACATCGGTCCATGCAGCCTCATCTCAAGATGTCGACACGGCCGTCAAGGCCGCTCGCGCAGCTCTCAACAACCCCTGCTGGCGCGACCTGCCCGGTTCCGACCGCGGCAAGCTGATGAACCGTCTGGCCCAGCTCATTGAGGATAACCGCAAGACCCTTGCAACCATTGAGACAATTGACAACGGAAAGCCATACTCTGTTTCTTTCAATGATGATCTTACCGAGACCGCCGAGACTATCCGCTACTACGGCGGCTATGCCGATAAGATCTTCGGTCGGGTCATTGATACCACCCCGGATAAGTTTGCCTACACCATTCGGGAACCAGTTGGTGTCTGTGGACAGATCATCCCGTAAGTAATATTATGATATCCGATCAACATTCGCCGCTCATCATAAAACAGATGGAACTTCCCTCTGGCAATGGCAGCCTGGAAACTCGGACCAGCCCTGGCCTGCGGTAACGCCGTGATCCTGAAGCCAGCCGAGCAGACCCCTCTCTCAATCCTCTTCCTTGCAAACCTTATTGTAGAGGCTGGCTTCCCACCCGGTGTCGTGAACATCGTGAATGGCCACGGTGCCGTCGCAGGAGCAGCACTCGCCTCGCACACGGATGTGGACAAGATCGCTTTCACCGGAAGCACCGCTACAGCCAAGCACATCATGAAAATGGCTAGCGTGAACCTGAAGAACATTACTCTCGAGACCGGCGGCAAGAGTCCCCTCGTCGTCTTCAATGACGCCGATCTCGAGCAGGCGGTTGAATGGGCCCATATCGGCATCATGTATAATCAGGGCCAGATCTGCACTGCCACCTCACGGATCCTCGTCCAGGATGAGATCTACGATAAGTTCTTAGAGGCGTTCAAGGCTCAAGTCAAAAATGTGTCCAAGGTCGGCGATCCGTTCGAGGAATCCACTTTCCAGGGTCCCCAGGTGACGCAGGCTCAATATGACCGTATCATGTCCTATGTTGATGTGGGCAAGTCAGAGAAAGCTACCCTTGTTACTGGTGGAAAGCCGTTCAAGGGCGTCGGTGATGGCAAGGGATATTTCGTGGAACCTACCGTGTTCACGGATGTTTCTCCCAAGATGCGGATTTATCAGGAAGAGGTCTTTGGGCCGTTCGTTGTTATTGCTCGGTTCAGCACTGAGGAAGATGCCATTCAAATGGCTAATGACAGTACTTATGGTCTTGGTAGTGCGCTTTTCACTACCAACCTGACTCGTGCTCACCGCGTTGCTAAGAAGATTGAGGCTGGTATGGTCTGGATCAACTCTAGCAATGATAGTGATTGGCGCATTCCGTTCGGTGGCGTTAAGCAGAGTGGTATTGGTCGTGAGCTTGGTGAGGCTGGTCTTGATGCTTATTCCAGTATTAAGGCTATCCATGTGAATATGAAGTCCAAGCTTTAAGGGGGACTTCTGTCATGGGGACTCAGTAGGACAGCTGGGATGCTGTATTGTATATATCAAAATTGAACATGCGCTTTGTGAACATTCAAGATGTTGCTATTCCGGTAATATATACACTAGAATTGGGATATCGTCATCTCAAGCCCTGGAACAACAACGCCTTTTTCCAATTGCAATGTACACAATTAGGTGCAGCTAGAGCTTCCAGCAACGAAAGTACCATCCGAGTTCTCGCAGCCACACTCGCCAGTCTGGGGATCCTTGATGCAAGTAGTGCCGTATCCACTGCTCTTTCCACCATTGCCCCAGTAGAAAATCCAGTAGTCAGAGTCCTCCGTTAACTCACTGGTGGTTGGGGCAGTGCAAGTGTAGGCGCTGCATGTTCCGTAGGGAGCGCCGTTGTTGGAGTCGTATTGGTGGTCGGTCTCGAAGACGGCGAAGGTCTGGGTGGACGAAGTGCGAGTATTGTGAGAGCACTCAGCAGCCTGGATGGCCTTGGAGACCTTGGCAGCTATTTTGAGGGAGTTAGTCCATGCGTTTGGATACACTAGAGATTGTTATTTATGCTTACCAGAGCAGTTGAGGCTGCTGGGCTTGTAGCCCTTGCTGTTGGAAGAAGCAGGGTCGAGGGTGGCAGCGACAAGGGCCGGGGCAGCCAGCATGGAGAGGAAAGTGACGAAGTGCATTTTGAAGGTTAAGTGTTCAGGTGTGGTGATTTATGCTGTCTAGAACCAAGGTATTGTCGATATATATATGCTATACACAGCCGTAGCATCGATCCGGAGACGTATGATCATGGAGTCAATTTTCTCTACCTGACACAGGAGTACTCATCAGCTATGGAGAAACATAGGCCTGGAGCGGATTGCTTGAAATAATGCCTGGGATGTTTCAATGAATTTGTACTCGGGGGGCTCCACTTCAGCTTTATGGAAACTGAGACTCATACAAAATGCGTTTCAGATAGAGGCCCGAAACAGCCAAGATGATCCTCACATCCCACACAATGATCCACTCGGAGGCCTAGTTTCACAAGTAGGACAGGTTTGTGAAGCATAAAGGGGTAATTCCGAGCCATAAAACTGTACATCGTGTTATTGCTGTATACCTCCAGATTTAAAGACACATATCATAACAGTGCTATCATTTACTAGCGACAGACAGCTTACTAAAGAGCCGTCAGCCAAGTTTCATACAGAATGTGATGTTTGAGAACGTCCGTTCCAGATTTTTAACCCCCTGCATTAAAACGGTAATCAGCCTAAGATGAGCCTAGGTCCTAGGCAACGTCAGACACCATACGTCAACCTATTAACGTACTAAATTAAAGTTGTGGCAGCTAAAACGCTTGTAGCCTAGTTGAACACAATTTTAGTTAGACGGAATGGTTTCCAGATATGAAATGACTGGCAGCAATCAGGATATTCAGGCAAACAATGCGCACATAGTACTGAAATTGAAAGGTCTTTCCCAGATCGCCACGGGACCAACTCTCAAAATAAATTATTCCACCAGTAAAGTGGGTTAGAAACGCGCAGGAAAAAAGCAAGAAATATTTCTGTTAGCAAGGTAGTCAGGTCTATAATCAACGTCGTTACCAGTAAATTGGTTTCAGGGAGCAAGAACTTCTAGTTTGTCAGGCCACTAAGCCTTAAAATATATCTCTTTGCTACGAACAAGGATCATCCAAAAGAGACCATACATCTTGGGAAGTTAGAGGCTCGCGTGGAGATATCTGAGGTTGGAGTCATTGGGGAGTACGAGAAGTCAGAAATCTCTCCTTTAGGATTGCACTCAGTGGAGTGTCCTTGGATGGCATTGCCCATCGAGTAAGAGGGATGACGGGATTCGGTGTATGAATTAACCATGTGACCCTGTCCATGACTTACAATTAGCTTAAGTGGCTTGAGTGAGGATCGACCTGGGCGTGATTGAGCTGTAAGTGGCAAGATATACCTCCTTATCTAGCTATTCTTCCGAGCGAAGCGCATGTTGACTTGGTCTGATCTTTGTTGGGTACAGTTATATAGAAGTAGGTGTGAGAAATATGTATCGGCATGTCGCAATCTTCTTAGTATACTGGACACTGAGGAGCAGCAGACTAAATAGTCCTATGGAGTAGGGCAAACAAACAAGGAAGGCCTGATCCCTGAGGCAATTATGCCATGCCAGCTATAGTTACGCCAGCCTGTAATGTAGCTTTTGGAAGACTACAATATGGGTTTTGTAAGACTGATTTTACGCAGCGTAGATTGCATCCGTGGACATTTCAGACGTCTGATACAATTTTCGTTACCGAACCAAAAGCGTTTCTATATACAGGTAGTACTGATGTCTATGTATATCTCAATTCTATATCCGATCTACCAGAAGCATCGTGATCAAGTGAAGCACGTCAAACAGATCCTCGAGCCCTATTTTGGGCTTCACAGGAAAATGACAAGGCAAGTAATAAGCCTATGCTTTTGTTCATCGATCTTCCTTCTTGGGTTCAGGTGGCGCAGGTTCATTCGCAACAGCATGAGCCTGGATAACATGAGGGATCGACTCCTCGGTATTGAGATAGGTGCGACTACCCTGGATGAACCAGAAGGAGATGGCAATGACGAGCATCACGCCAAAAACGCCGATAGCGTAGTTCATATCACCACCAGAGGGGTTAGGGGCACTCGGGAAGAAAAAGAAGATGGTCGTCACGCAGCAGTACACGAGACTGACCCAGTTGGCAGGCGTTCCCAACCTGCCAAGGTGAAATTGACCACCAGGTGGAAGTTTGTCACGACCCATCAGGAGTACTGTCATAATAGGCAGACCGTATGAAATAGTCAAGGCGATGGTGCTGACACTGAGGATAGCATTCAAAACGGTTTCGGCGAACAAGAATAGCACTCCGACCAGGGCAATTATTGAACCTTGGAACCATAGTGCTCTAACGGGAGCTTTCCATGTTGGACTGACTTCCGAAAGATATGTACTAAATGGAAGTCCGCCGTCTCGAGCAAAGCCCCAGGTCAGGCGGGAGGCCGTGGTCACTATACTGATTCCTTGACCGAGACCATTCATGATGAATAAAGCGATCAACACTGCTCCACCAGTTTGGCCTACTGTCTCTTGGACGAGTTCCATGAATGGCAGACCACTTGGTGAGTCAATGACTGTCTTGACCTTCTGGATGCAGAAAAGGCAGACCATCATCAAGATGAAACCGCTGATTGCACCGGAAATCACAGCAAGATAGATAACTTTCGGAGCATTCTTGCGCGGTGCGGGAATTTCCTCTACCAGGTGGATCACGGCGTCAAAGGCAGTCAGACCGTAGGCGGCTTGGACGAGACCAATAAACCAGACGACTCCATCTGGCCACCCGGTCTGATTAATCCATTTGCCAAAAGTGAAGGTGGCAGGCTGGTACGACAGACCATCTTTGGTGCCCACAGAAATGAGCAGGGCAAGGCAGAAGACGAAGAAAAGCCCGAAGAACCATACTCCGACAAAATTGTTCAGCCAGGGTAAGAACTTCTCCCTACGACAGCCAACCACATTGATCAATGTCAGAACAAAGACACATCCAACATAGACGACAAATTCAAGCCATCCGGTAGAGGCACCAGTCCAATTCGGATTGAACATAACCTTCATCCCAAGTAGGAAGTTGGTCATGAATGCCACCTGAGAAGCGGCCAGAGTCCACCACCCGAACACATTAATCCAAGCACACATGTACGAGATGAATCGTCCCAACCGCGAGTCCCATAAGCGATAGACCCAATACGCCTGTCCCAGGGCAGTAGGCATGCTGCTGCAGATCTCACCCAGCGAGAGTGCAACGCAGGTGTTGCAGAAAGTAACGAGGCATAGACCCCAAAGGATCGAGACAGGGCCACCGTTGATTAAGCCATCGGAAAGATCCTGTGCAAATGTTGACCATGTTCCAAGGACACAGAAAGCCAGCGCGAGTATGCTCCAGATATTAAACTTGCGAGCGAGGGTCTGCTCGTGCCCGAATTCGGCGAGATCGTTGGCATCTTGGGCGCTCTGGTCGGTTGGTTTGAGGGAGTTTTCAGTTTCCACGTCCATACTTCGAGTGATGGGAAGGACCAGTGAGTGTAGTTCAAGATAGTCGCTCTGGGGTCATTTCCCAATATTGAAAAATTGGCGAGATACTGCCGTCGAAGCCTCAAGAGCGTTGTTTGTATATGGTCCTTTTCCAAGCCGAGATACTGGAACCAGAAACGAGGATGCCAGAAACAGTTGTAGGAAACCGAAGTCCCGCACCCCAGTTTCAAGACCCGGGGATTTCTGACGTTTGTCTGGGGAACCCCATGGGCATCGGCATTTGTGGCCAAACAGAGTCGCACGTACCTTTTAACACTCACCGAGACGGGATCCACCTGGAATATCCCAAGTTTGGAAGCATTTAAGAGATTACCGACACAAAATCGTCGTCGTTGCTCCAGTTTTCTGCTGGTGACTCCACATTAGACCTGCGAAGGCTGAAGATTCCCTCTCTGGCAGGTAGATGCGGATAGCTTCACGGCAGTGCTGCAGATGATATCAATGGTACCTGGATATCCGCTAAATTGGTGCCCGACTCGAGGATTTCCCGGTGAGCCTGATTCTTGACACATAGCCATCGGCACTGGCTTTCGTCACGACGCGCGAGTGGCGACTTCACCCCATGAGATCCATCGGGAACAAACGGCACAAGCTGCCCGGTCGGAACTGTGATGTTGACCCCGGATTCACATTGATAATAGACTTTCCATCTCTTTCAATTTCACAGTATAAAATGGCGAGCAGAACAATGTTGCCTGAAGGTGAGCGGCATGAAGCGCATGCTTGTTTGCTGCGTGTACCTGCCCGAAATGGTTAGTCGGAGCATCGCCGACTGTCTTAGCGATCAATCATAAGAGCAACATCACGCTGCAAATTGTCTGCGATTTTGGACTTGCCTTAAATGCGAGGGAATTTGCGCGCCAAATATCTGCTTGTTTTTAGGGGAGTTGCCGGGAAGCACTCCCTAGAGGGGATTAGAGCGCGTTATTTAGGCCTGAGATCTTTGTTCGGCCAATCAGCGAGGCTCAGACCACCATTGTATGACCATATATGAATACCTAGAAAATCACGACCCTTTCTTTCTTTCTCTTGCTCTCTGCTCTACCAAATTTTGCAAGTCGTTTTAACTATGTCTCCAGTTGAAAAGCACAAAGATACCCCCCACGCTCGGCATCGCTCTTTCAAGGGATGTTGGACCTGTAAGAAGAAGCGGGTTCAATGCGATGAAGTGCGCCCCTCTTGCCAAAGATGCAGCTTGCGGGGCATTACATGTGAGGGATACGAGATCAGATTGCGGTGGGGAGCTGGTATCGCATCAAGGGGCAAATATTCAGGTGCCGAGAAGCCAGTCAAGGAATCTATACCACCTCGGTCGAAAAGAAGATGGGATATGCGAGGGAAGAGGGAAGAGAGCGGGGAGGGAGACAGGCAGGGACAACCAGTGTTGGTTGCTCAAACTGAAGGTAATGTCCAGTGAAGGTTGTTATGGTGGGTTTGAGACTCACATGCAATATTCATTCAGAAGCGCAAACAGATTTTGTTGCCGAGCGAGCGACGGTTAATATTCTCAACTCAGCATGGGAACCGACTCAAGCTGATCATATAGCGGCGGTCAAGAAGCATTTCGAGATCCCTGTGTCGTTGGCTGCCTTGCCGGGAATGGATGCACATATGTATGGGCAGGAAGTTGAGTATCCGCAGCTTTCGGGAAGGCGAAGCATACTAGCTTAGGCTCTAGCGGTGTCACAAATCATGTCTTGGGCTGGAATCCAATTATAAATACAATATGATATGTACATAGAAAGAGGATATAACACATTCATTGATCACCAAGAAACTCTTGTCGTACGTTTCCGGTGAGCACAGCACTGAAAATCTCTAATTCCCACGCAACACGTCGACCAGAAATCCATCTGGGGTTTGAAACAAGCTATCGTTGTATCGATCGTTTCGGAATATAGCAAACCACTCCGGGTTATCCGCCATAGTCTGCTTCCAAGTGTCTTCCGAGTCGAAATGAAGACGTCTTGGTTCCAGCTGGAACATTTCATCTGAAGGAATGACTCCAAGTCTCATATTCTACTGCACATAGTGGCTCAAGTGACGTGTGAGCACCTCGGTGTAGGAATCCGATTGGAACCCAGGTCATTGGACATGCTCAGGGTCCACCTCAGCGGCCTCCGGAGAGACATGTTGACTGTCCTCAGCCTCAAAGAATATGGCTGGGGAGATCAACTGAGAAAGATGACCATTGACAACTCGGTCAGTGGCGGAAACGTTCGAGATTCGAATCCAAAAGATAAGGTGATAGTCTATGCGTGACTTGAGCGCGATCTCCGGGGGAAGCTCCTGGTCCCCTATCCAGTGGGCCATATTGCGGCCGTTCCGGAAGTGGAATGTTAAGTGGTTGGCTCGCTCATCCCAAGTAGACATACGGCCGTTGCAAAAGCCACAACAAGAAGGGAAGTAAGTGAAGATGCGTTTCCAATCATGGGTCAATGGCATGGTTTCCAGACGGTGGGCAAGACACAGATGTTGAATAAGATGGTCCTTGCGTTTGAATATGTGGTTTTGTCGCTCGCAAGTCGAATAATCGTGTTGCTTGAGGTGATTGCATGAGGGATCGAGTGTTCCGAGGCTCGACCGATGCGTCTGTCTCTAAGGTTTCTACCGAGCAACTTCTCCAGCATTGCGGGGAATGACCCCAGCAAAAGTTTGTGCTAGTCCAGTAGGCCTGTTTATAAAGTAAGCGAATCCATAAAGAAGGACTAGGTCCAAACCAAATGGTACTGGCGACGCGAATATAGGACTATAAATGTAATTTTCGGGCAAAGATCAAGAGGACCAAGGAGAGGAGCCGGTGCGTTTAAAAGTAATTATTGCAGACCAAAATTATTACACCAAGTCATCAGGAACGCGTATTTCCCCCTTTTTCTGTGTATCGGATGCCTCACATGGCTGACTTCACCACTCCTAGCACCTCATAAATGACACTGAACCTGAGCCTACATCAGGAACATAGCCATTGTGAAAGCGATAACGGACATGACACTGAGACTAGTTGAAACATGGAAATTGTCTGCCATATTCGTGGCACTAGGGCTAGAACCACCGGCGCTGGTCTGTGTCCCGCTGGCAGTAGACGTACTGCTGGAAGCAGCCGAACTACTGCTAGCAGCCGAACTACTGCTAGCGGCTGAACTGCTTGTGGCGGTGTTACTGCTGCTGGCCGCAGTTGACTGGCTAGCACTTGGTGTACCGAGGATGCCACCTTGGGCCGTGGCTGGCACACTCTGACCACTTGCAGTCGAAGCTGCCGATTTGAATGCATCAAGCGTATCTGAGCCACTGATATTAATTAAAAGGATTAGTTAGTGCTTCTAATGCTTTTTGGCTACTGATATACTTACGATGGGTTTATCACACCGACCATGCCAGCTTGACAATGTCCAACTTGGCCGCAGTAGAACCAGATCGGATTTGTATCGTTCACGGTCAAGGACCAGACAGGCTAAAATGTCAGAAAGTTATACAGCCTGAAACGATGCTCATGAACTTACATTTCCATTATTACCAGATGGCATAAATCCACTAAAGAAGCTAGTATCGCTCATGGGATGGCATGGGTTGTTAAAAGCGGCTTGGACGACCGAGTGATCGCCAGCATAGAAATGGAACTCGACTACGCCTCCCGAAGGGACGTTGATAGTGTCGGGCTTAAAAACAAAGCCGCTTTCGCCAACATCAACCGATTGAGTGGCACTTGAAGCTGAACCACTCGTTGTTGAGCTTGCAGTGGAGCTTGCAGTGGAGCTTGCAGAGGTTGTAGTAGAATCTCCTCCTCCATATTGGGCACCAACGAGAGGGAGGCACAAAAGTGTGAAAGTGCACAAAGACGTTTTGAACATTATTGCCACTCAATTGGATTTGAAAATGAGTAAATGAAGGCAAAGATCTGCATGGAAAGCCCAGAGTTCATTCGAAGGAATCAGGAGGTAGGTTTGCCTTTTATGTGCTTAAACTACGGCGTGCATGTAGTACCATAATTCTCCCAGGTTTCACGGGGACTTTTTGGAAGCTTCAGCATAGCCACGGCATCAACTCGTAAGAAAGCTTAATGGCACTTACCCTTCCCTTCAAAACCTGACTGCTTTCAATACGAGAATCGGTTACTTAGGGTAAACGAACGCGGGTCGTCGTCGTATTGGATTAACCACAGAAAATCGGAATGTGGCTTCTATATCAAGCATCACTAAGTTAGACCTAGATCGGCCGATTATACAGGATGACATTTTGATTATCGTCGTAAATACGGGGTAGCTGACTAAGGTGGAATGATTCTGTGGAGGCTGAGGAACGAGCTCTGATAAGGTTTTGGCACGAAGGACGTCATGACTAGGGTCAACGGCCGCTTTAGGTAACATACCGCTTGCGGTATTAGCTCTGACAATGAAACGTGGTGCGCGTCCGTATATATTTGGCGACGCGTGGATCTCGTATAATAGACATATTGTCCGAGACCTGGGGTAACGTGACCTAGATAGAACTGAGCATTAGATGGCCAGAGAGCTCGCTTCCTTACCGAGCTCTCTCTTAGCTCTCTCTCTGTCTTTCTTTCCCAGTCCTTTTCTCTACCAATAACATCGACATATTGTTGCTTCCTATCCCGTTATCAAGACATATTCGCACAACAAGCGAGCATATCTCAAGTCTTTCTCTTGACAGCGAAAATATACACAACCGTTTCTTCGAAATGAAGAGGAAATCCGCCTACTTCTGGCTTTTTACATCCGTTTCTGCCCTTGCGCAGTTACAAACATTCGTGCCTCCCGGGCAAAATGGAATCACCTATAGCGTCAATATACCCCAGGCCACCGCGTCCTCCGGCTCCGGGCCGATTTTTTTCCAACTGAAGTCCACAAGCGAGCTTCAGTGGTTTGCTTGGGGCCAGGGCTCTATAATGCAAGGAGCCAATATCTTTGTTGTCTATGCATCTAGCGACGGCAATAATGTTACTGTCTCCCCGCGACTGGGCGTAGAGCATGTTATGCCACTACATAACCCCGAAGCTCAACTATCAGTCTTGAATGGCAGCGGGATCAGTAATGGAATTATGACCGCAAATATCCGATGCGATAGCTGTATCACCTGGCCCGGTGGAAGTGAAGACCTGAGCAGCTCGTCGAGTCCATGGCTTTGGGCAGTGAAATATGGGAGCCCCCTCGACACGAACAGCTTAACTGCATCTATTAACATACACGATGTCCAGGGAGTTGCAGCTATAGACCTTCAACAAGCAACCGGTGGCACATCCAATAACCCGTTCACAACCTCGGCCAATACGACTTCCTCTAGTTCATCGCATGCGATTTCGACTGTTAGCAGTGGGTCTGTTGAGAAACTCAGGAAAGCCCATGCAATTATTATGATACTGGTCTTTGTTATATTTTTCCCTTCATTTGCTCTACTGCTTCATGTTGTTCCATATTCGAAGATTGTTTATGTCCATGCTTCATTCCAGCTTTTTACTCTCGCTTTGGCCATTGCCGGGTTTGGAATTGGGATCTCAATGGCAAGAAACCTTGGTTTCATAGGGATGTATCATCCAATTATCGGGATGGTGACCGTCCCATGCCTTATCCTTTTTCAGCCCGTGATGGGATACCTTCAACATAGGTATTTTCACAAAACTGGGGGCAAGAGTGTATTTGCTTACCTGCATCGGTGGCTTGGTCGCTGTCTCATAACCCTTGGAATTATTAATGCTGGTCTAGGTTTTCGCCTAACAGGTATCGGCCTCTCGATCGCTCCTGTTGGGGCAGTTATTGCGTATAGCGTGGTCGCTGGGATCATCGGACTGGGGTACGCTCTAATTGTTGTGCTTCTGCCACTCAGAAAACGCAGAATATCCTCTTCTTAGCAGTTCCTTGGCACTACTTTCATGTACTAGAGATAGGGAATCTTATGCTGATGATAGAAAGTGATTGAAGGTGGGGCGAGCGAGCGATGAGGGAGAGGGGGTTATGGAGGTGTCAGGACTTGAATGTATTTGAAATTGCCAAAGGATTTACGAAATCAACTATATATGATGGCCTCTTACAATACCTTCCGTCTTTCTAGATAGGCTAAATCATATGTAGATTAGCGCATTGCGAAATAGGTGTATGAATCAAGTGATGGAACTAATTTCGAACCATCCTGTATCATCTTCGCATCGCTTCACGCAATCACGGGCGGCACCTAAAACTGTAATTTAGATCCAACAGCTGTACAGTTATGACACTTAATGCAACTTATCGTCTGCTCCCGTATGAAATTTATATTATTAGCACTCTGGTCCCCCACCGATCGTCTACAACGTGCTGCGAAATCTCTATCGACGCGTGATATACTCTGTGATGCGCGAGACTTAGTAAATTATCAAATACGTTTTGGACGGGCTAAGCCGCTGGACGTGCAAGAATCTTCTAATAGTCTTTTTCTGTCTGCCTCGTATCACCGCCTCCAAATTGATTGGCGCTCCCGGGGGACTCGAATAATGGACTAATACGCAAGCGATTATATCTGAGGAATTATCTATCGACACGTATGCCCGTTGAAGCGCCCGAGAATCCTGATCAATTACAGGGGGAGGATCAACGCGTCGCACCCACTCCACGCATGTTCCACGTCTGCAACGAGCCAAATGTCAAATGAAGGGCGTCGGCAAGATCGGGCCCGATGGCATCGAATAAAGTTTTCTAGGGCTGCCTTATGTCTCCCAATATAAATTGCTGGTTATCCCTGTGGTCAAGTTTAGATACGTCTCGGAATTCTAGACGACCAAGAACATTTTGTTGGGAAGGAAGTCTTACATTTTTGCCTCGAATCGCTTGAAAATGGGCCATTTCGATTCAGAACATGAATTGAAGAAACCCTGGATTGAAACGCCTTTGATTGAATCGGCGACACTTTCAAAGGCTGCGGGATGGTAAGATTGGACTTTTATTTTCATTAGTCAAGGTCCCTGATGCTGAAGAGTAAATATAGTAGAATATTCCTCAAATTAGAGTCGCTCCAACCTTCTGGCTCGTTTAAATCACGGTGAGTTCGGCATTTCATGTTGCAGCGTATCATTAAAGATCTGACACAAAGTCGAAACTGGTTTCAGTGGAATTGGAAATTTGATCCTCACATCGCTTTCTGATCCATCAAACAATGGCAGAACCTTGCACTTTTTCAGCTCCTCGGCAGGCAATGCGGGCCTCGCAGCAGTTATAGCCGCTCGGGATCTCGGTTGTTCCTGTACTGTTGTTGTGCCCCTTAGCGCGAAGCCTATGATGATAAAAAAAATACTCGCTGCAGGGGCTTCGGACGTTATCCGCCATGGCGCCAGTTGGTTCGAAGCTGACGCGTATCTGCGGGAAAATTTCATCGAAAATGAAGACAGCAAGCTAGATCCCTTGGTCAGGAACATCTATATCCCACCATTCGATCACCATGACATCTGGCGAGGTGCGGGGACTCTGGTTGATGAAATCATTAAGCAGTTACCTCCAAGGCACTACAGCAAAACCAATACCTGTTGTTCATTCCCGGCAGATGCAATCGTTTGCAGCGTTGGCGGTGGTGGTCTTCTGAACGGTATTATCGACGGCCTTGAGAGGCATTTGCCAGCCTATCAACCGACAACGCTTCCCAAGAAAGTGGCGAAGAAAGTTCGAGTTCTCGCTGTTGAAACAGCTGGGGCGGACTCGTTGGCGCATTCGCTACGCAAGGGCTCTTTGCAACCTCTACCTGCGATTACATCGCAGGCAATCACCCTGGGGGCACTATGCGTGGCACAGCAGACGCTGAAAAACGTGCAATCCCCCCCGCCCGGTATCGAAGTCACTAGTATTGTAGGTACCGACGCTGATGCTGCGATGGGAGTTGTGCGGTTGTGTGATGAGCTGCGGTTGGAGGTCGAGCTGGCTTGCGGAATAAGTGTCCAAGTTGGGTTGGATAGGATAAAGTATGTCATGACAGACCTAACACCGGATAGTCGAGTTGTGATCATTGTTTGCGGAGGAAGCGATATTACTTCTGAAATGGTTACGGATTATCGCCAGAAGCTTGAGAATGGTTGGCAATGAAAGACGACTTGGATTGATGTGTGAAAAAGCTGATGTTGGAACTGGTTGGTGGAGGGCCATGGATTACCTACTCTCCCTGGTTAGAGCCATCTGTATATTGACGCTTGAGGGTATTGAAACTACAGAGGCGGTTCTTGCGATGGTGATCGTGAATCTTTAGGCTCGAAGTGTTTAATTGGAAACACCGAGTAGGAAACTCAATAGGAGACGTGGGTTGAGAAGGTCAGGCGAGATCCGAGCCCCTGAGGCTTGATTTCGCTCCCCGCACGGTGTAATAAAAAGAAAAATAGGGGAAACTTGTCCTTGAGAATGTATGATTGAGTCTTCTCAATATTATTGACCGGTAATTGCTTATTCCAATTGGGGAAAAAGAATAGCACAGGGTACAAATTACTCCCCAACTTCGCGGTCTTCATCCCACCGGCCATACTTCTGCATCACCCGCCAGTCCCATGTCTTGCGCCTGATTTTCTTTCCCCAGAAGTAAAAGATTACGACCATGACAATAATGATACCGGACAGAAATGCCATCTCCCCGAAAGCCTTGCTATATCCCTCCAGAGCAATCCAGGGGTTTGTGTAGAAAGACAGCAGGAATCCAAAGGCGGCTAAGCGACACGATGTCTGTTAGTATTGGTAGCAGACTGGGAGATAAATGTAGGACAGATCATAGTACTTACCCTTAAATGCAAGGATTGAGACTGTCACCTCTCCTACTGCCGGTCTATAGCAATCAATCACGTACACCATAGCAACATTGGTTGCTTGAACAATCGCGAAGTTGAGCATGCCGAGGCCAAGAGTGGGAACCATCCAATGAAGCTGATTATTGATCCCAACGCCATAAAGAATGAGTGCGATCGGGGCAAATGCGCCTCCGATAGCAATGGACGGGAGACGCATCTCCGGCTCTCGAATTCCACCGTTGCGCTGAGTGAACCAATCCGCGGTCCAGTCAGAGATATGGCCACCAAACGCAATTCCCAGGAAAGAGCCCACCAAGCCAGACACGAAACATAAACCGCACTGCCAGGATGTGAAGTTGTATGTGTCCGAGAATGCGGTCGCAAAATTGGCTGTGATGGCCACCAGGAAGCCAATGGTGACTGCAAATACCAGTGAGCACCAGAGAACAGGAGGGAGGACAATGAGGACGATTGGACGTATAAAGACACGGAAAAGTGACTCCGACGTATAAATTCCCCCGAAGAGACGTAGGGATTGGACATAGGTCTTTTTCTCTGGAATCGGAGTGGATGGTGCAGTCTCGTGGTGCTCTGATGGCCTCGAGCGCTGAGAAATGAGCTTGGTATCAGCGTCCTCGTCGATGACTGGCTCCTCCCGAGGCTGAGGATGACGATTGTATGTTGTTTCCGGGAAAGTGAGGATGACCAGGATTGTCACGCCTCCAATCAGTGCGGAGGCAATATAATATATGTAGCGCCAGTCATAAGAAATGGTGATGAGGCCATCGATGATGATGCCGCCAGCAACACCCATTGACAGGGCAGCAGTATAGGTCGCCATCACTGCGCCACGCTCGTGGAGGAAGAAGATGTCCGCAATTGTCAAGGGCCCGAGACACTCTCCAGCGCCAGCTGCAAGTCCCATGACAATACGGCCAGCCAGTTCCGCCCCATAGGTATTTGCGAATGCGCACCACAGCCCAGTGGCCAGGTAGAGAATGAAAGAGATAACGTAGATAGGTCGTCGGCCATACTTGACTATCAGTGGCATCCAAAACAGCATACCAATGCCCTGGCACAAGGCGGTGGTACTGTAGAAGTATGAGATCTTGGCAATATGGGCACTGAAGTCTGGTCCCTGTGGGCCGAGGAAGTCCACAGTTGTCTTCACGATGGCTACTGTGGGGCCAGCGGCAAGGAAGTTGCAGAAGAACACAGCTAAGCACACGACGATAGCAAGATAGTAGCGGAATGCGCGCGACCTGAAGAGGCGAATATGTTAGCCACCTCCACTAATTAAGGGGGAGGAGCAGGCCCTGCCAGTTCAGAGGGTCGTTAGGGTCCCTGGAGGGAGTTGGGATAAGAATGATCTCGTTGGTCTCATGGTGCCGGAGCTGCAGGCTGCCTAGGTTGTTGGACTGGATGCCCTCTGGCCGTAGAGTGGTTGTCTTTGTGGCCATGCTGATGCTAGTGATCATCGAAGAGGGCACTTTTGGGTAGAGACGATATGCCTTATGTCAAACTGGCCCTTTTTGGACACCTGTCGATGAACAGATGACATGGTGTAGCGCATTCCTTCCTTGAGAGGGGTTATAACTTCGTGAGTGTCTGTATCGATGATCAGCAGGGGTGGCTGGAACACTTTGTTCCGGGATGTGGAGAGCTGTATGATTTTCTTCCCCACAGGGTATTCTCGGTCATCTTCACCTCCACTTCTTCTCCCGACAACGCCGCGCGGCCCGGTGCCGAGGCCTGAAAAGCGGAGGAAGGGCATTATATTGCGGAGAGGATTGAACGTCGGATGCTGGTTGCTTCTGTTCACTTCTCGATTCCTGCCATTGCACTTCATCCATTACGTCTTCAGCCGATCATGCAAATCACCTGGCGCGGCTCTGCCACCGATGCGGAATATGAACATGCCCGCGTCGGACGCGTCTTCAATCAGCGTCGCCCCAAACGGTTCCCCTTAGCTGTAGTCCACGCCACTTGTGAGAATGACATTGTAGAAGCAGTCAAGTTGGCAGCGGAGCGCAACTGCCGAGTCGCAGTTCGCTCCGGCGGTCATTCCTGGGCTGCCTGGAGCGTGCGCGACAACTCCATCTTGATTGATCTTGGGAACTACAAAGAGCTCGAGGTGGATGCGCCGAAGAAAATGGCCAAGGCGTCGCCCAGTATGACTGGCAGGGAGCTCAACTTGGTCTTGGTCGACAAGCACCACTTGATGTTCCCCGGTGGTCACTGCCCAGACGTTGGGCTTGGTGGATTTTTACTTCAGGGCGGAATGGGCTGGAACTGCCGCGTACGTATCATCATCTCGGAAATTCTCTTGTGAATCATAGCTTATGCTCTTTCCCTACAGAACTGGGGATGGGCATGTGAGAGAGTAGAGGCCGTGGACGTCGTCACTGCGAAGGGCGAGTTGCTCCACTGCAATTCCCAGCAGAATCAGGAGCTCTACTGGGCAGCTCGAGGAGCGGGACCAGGTACGCATTTGGCACTTCTGTCTATCCTACTTGTGCTACTGTGACTGACAGTGGCTCTAAACATAGGGTTTCCCGGTGTGGTCACCAAATTCCATCTCAGATTGAACTCTTACCCAACGGATGGATTCCGGTCCTCCGGCTATGTCTATCCCATTAGCATGTACCGCGAGGCTTTCCAGTGGGTCCTCGATATCACGCCAACGTTCGACCAAGACACCGAGATAGCGGCGGTTGCCCACTATCCGAATGAGAACAGCGAGATGGTGTTTTTCGTCCTGTTCGTTACCATGAAGGACAATGCTCATGACTCTGAGAAGGCCCTCCGCAAGGCTCAGAACAGCCGACCCGTAGGCACCATCGAGGAATGGTTCTGCCAAGAGGACAGCCTCGAGCGCCAATACACCAATCAGGCCGACAAGAACCCAGATAACCACCGTTATTGCACTGATAATGCGTACCTCAAGAACGATGCAGACGTCCCAGCCGTCCTAGAAGAGGCATTCACAACACTTCCGCATAAGAAAGCATTCTCTCTGTGGTATGGCATGAACCCCTGCAGCCAAAGAAAGCTCCCGGATATGGCCCTCAGCATGCAATCGGACCATTACTTCGCCCTATACACAGTTTGGGAGGAGGAGAAGGATGACCCACGCTGCTTGGAGTGGGTTCGGAACGTCATGGCAAGGGTGGAAAAGCATTCAGTTGGTGCATATCTGGGAGATTCAGACTTCCAAACCCGGAAGAGCAAGTACTGGGCAAATGAGAATGCCATGCGCCTGATGGAGATTCGTCGCAAGTGGGATCCGCAAGGGAGAATCTGTGGATACCTCGATCAAGGAGACGCGTCAGGCACAAAGGGATTGGATAATGCTCACCAGTGGACGATGTGATGGGCTGGAAGCTGCTCGTAGCTTGCAGGGTCCATCATAACTAGAACTAGACATTGGATTTCTCTTTCACTATTGAAGACGTGAAGCATCATGTACATAATAACCTAAGCTCATTATACTCCTGTACTCTCTATGCCGCCACTCCAACGCGTCCTTAGCCGAGTTGCAACGTGTCATAATGATTGTCTATAGCTGCACCTTGGCGAAAGAGATAGTTCGCGATCCACTTTGTACTGGACAAAATATGCCCTCGGCCCAATTGCCGGCCGAAGACTGTCCACCAGGTGAGAACGGCAGTTCACTTCGAGCATGCGAAGATCTTCCGGGTGTGTCGTGACAACATGTGAAGAGCTTACCTTGGCCATTGCACTGCGACCGGGATGTGGGGGTGGCTGACCTGGCTGGGGCCCCTGGGATATTCGGTGGTCACCCGACATCCTGGTTAGCGATGCGGGACGCGTATAGTAACTTTAAACACTCACGTTAGTTCCACCATTGCGGGGTTATATGGTCTTTCCAACTTGCGCATTTAGTTCAAACTAGGATCAAAGCGAATTTCACATTGAAAATTTCTTGAGCGAACTGCATTCTATCGACATACTACCGCTTTACATACTCAATCTGCTTTGACCCCACAAGTTTACTCAATAAATAATTTCAAGTCGCTATGAATTCTAGAACGCTACTCGGAAAAGTTGCCATTGTTAGCGGCTCATCCTCTGGCATCGGTGCTGCTATCGTCCGGGAACTATCCGCTCGTGGTGCGAATATAGTCGTCAATTACCCCTTCGAAGACCTTCGGGAAGAGGCGGATGCCGTTGTATCCTCTCTATCAACTCCGGCCATTGCCGTGGAGGCTGATATGTCTACAGTCACAGCACCACAACTTCTGGTAGACGCTGCTGTCGCCAAATGGGGAAGAATCGACATTGTGGTCAACTGCGTCGCATTGGCAGTAAACAAGCCGCTGGAAGAGCAAACACTTGAAGATTGGGACTTGCTCGTCAATGTGAACGGTCGTGGCACATTCCTCCTGACGCAAGCCAGTCTTCCGCACCTCACTAAGGGAACGGGGCGGATCGTCAATATCGCGAGCATTTCGGGTCGAGGCCCGCCCCCTAATCAGACAATTTACGCGGGCACCAAAGGAATGGTGGACTCCTTTACTAAATGCTGGTAAGTGACACTGACTGAGCTCTGGAAACAACACTAATGAGTTGCGCAGGGCGAAAGAGCTTCCTCGCAAATATGGATGCACCGTCAATGCTGTTAGTCCTGGCCCAACCAAGACCGAGGGCTTTGCTGCCGCCGGAGAGGAACAGATGAAGATCCTTCAACCAATTATTGATCAAACTCCCGTTGGACCGAGAATGGCAGAGCCAGAAGAGATTGCGTTCGCTGTCGGATTTCTTTGCGAGGAACGGGCACGGTGGATAAATGGGACACACATCATCGCTTCCGGTGGCTTGTTTATTGACTAGGTATTACTCGAATTAGAATTTCTATATTTCCCCTCATCATTACCCTCGTCGCATTCTGTGAAGCTATAACAATTAAGAGTAAATGTCTAAATTCATTTCTCCCGTAACCAGAACAGCTTCGCCCTAGAGGTACTGTAGGCAAACGAAGTTTGGCTAAGGAAATTTCACTCACATGGCAATTGAACTATATGCACACTGTCCTTGGACGACCTTACATTCTTCTCCTCGGGGCTGAACAAGTTCCAGAATTTCTTGGGATACATAGTGTACTAGAAAAGAAAGATTGCGTTGAAAATGAATTGACGTGAGAGACTTTCCATTGCAAGCGAGATTGTACCGGAGAAAGCCCGCAGCTTTCTCATTGACCATTACAAGATGAGGCGAGTCCCAATTGACCCTTCCTCCATTGAAAACAATACTGCATGTACATCTGGTAGGGCTTTGAGGCTTGGCGATCCGCCGAAGTCGGGGGGGGGAAAGCATCGGGCCGGGCCTTGGCAATCCTGATCTGGCCAATCAACGTCTCAGATCCTAGCCCTTCTGATGTATGTCTCAGGTTGTGTAGCGTTCGGACGAGCTAGATAGCAACTGACCGTTCTTCTTTTTCTTTCCAGGGTTAGCCTAATCAGTAATTACTAATGCTGCTCTATGATTGGGTCCTCTGTATTTAGCCTATTGTTCGCCGATGCCATCAGGAACCCATTTAATGAAAGGGATAACCAAAATGAACATTTATTTTTAATTATTTGATCCTGCAGACATCATTGCTCAACACCAGCCAAGAAGCACACAACAGCAGAAGCAAAGGCCTTAGAATCATCCTGACCACCCTCATTGAGGTCATCCCCAACTTGCTCCAGGAACAAAGCAAGCTTTGATTCCTTCCAGCCCATCACAGGCGCAGACTCCAAACACATCTTGGTCATACCAAAAACATCCATTTCATAATGGCCCTGTACAGACAAAACCCTGCCAGGGTGGTAAAGACCCTGGATAGGGCAGATGGGCGTACTTCCAATATTAACCCACGGCGCAGGCAGCGAGACAGGCGGTGACTCAACCAGAGAAACAGGGGTGCCCTTCTCAACAGCCATCACGCGATCACCGTGGAACATCTGAATGCGCAACTTGCCTTCAGGCAACTGACCAAGCGCCGCAGGGAATGATTGAAGGAAAGCCTTCTCTAATTGAACGGTGTAAATTCCAACCTCGCGGCCAAGAGGGCACTTCTCGACCCAGACGTCGCGGACGGTATCTTCGGGGTTGCGCACAAGCGCGTGCGAAATCATTTGATGGCCGAAGCAGGTGCCGAGAATTCGCACCTCGGGATATTGGTTGTAGACGGTTTTCACGAATTTTTCTAATTCTTGCATCCAGGGTGAGTGGTCCATCTCGTATACACCAGGCGAGCCGCCCGTGATGAGGACCGCGTCGATGGGGGATGCTACGGGGATTTGGTTCTGGGTCGCATCGCCGCGCAGCTTATAAAGGTCGGGATAGTGGCCACCGCGAATATCGTATGGTGTAATCTTAATTTCAAGTTGGTCTTTATCGGCGAAGAAGGTCTCGTTGAGGCGCGTGGCGGTTTCGCGAAGAATCGTGCGGAAGTGTGCACTGCAGAGTCCTCGCGCCTCGTAGAGTCGGCGGGCAGGGATGTCGACGTCGAGGACGGCGATGTGGATGTTGTGGACCATGATGAAAGGATGCGCAGCTGTAGTACTGAAGCTCGGGTTGATTATGATTATAGAAGTTGGCAATGGTGAAGAAGAGACTACAACCAGGAATATATCTACTGTCGTAAATAACACAATTTCCCCATACCCCACTGCAGAAATAACAAAAAGTTATGTAAAAACCGTAGGTTTGCGGAATCCTCCAGGAATTCATGAAGTAACAAAAAAACAATTGTTCCAGTGAAGATGTTGAACGACTCCAACAGACTCCAACTCTTTATGTAACAGCAACGTTGGCACTCGATGAGCTTAATTTGAGCCCCACTTGGGCAGACGCACACCGAATGCTTTTTCAGATCTTTGCTCCGGGAACATTGGGTTGGAAGCAGCCTCGTCACGAAAATAAACCGGGTCATCATATTCGCTTGATGATTTGAGACAAGCACAACAAAAGCAAATTGGAAGTAAATTGGAAGCAAAATTATTATGGAAGGAAAGAAACATTCAGGGCATTCGGGATTGTCAGATGGACAAAAGTTAACCACAAAGCTAATCTCGTAAAAAGTGGAGTTGGATTTGTTAATACAAACCCGGAGAACATTCTATACCCCGAAACATGACATCGTCCTGAGCTTCAAATTATCACCATAGACTCCGTCTCTTTGAGGAAATTGACTGTCTTCCCAGCAACAAATCGAACAATATACACCGAACCCCTAAACACAACCTCTGCCTCAACATCTGTAGAACTCTCCACTTCCAGGTTTCCATCTTCTGTCCACTTCAACTTGATCTTCCCCGCAGGAGTAACAAACGTTCCCTCCCCTGTCGCAAGAAGATCCATCTGTGGCTCAATGCGGAGACGTTTGAATCCCGGCCTGGCCGGTTTGACACCATACAATTGGGTAACGACTTCGTTGACGGGACAAGCACTCCACCCATGACAGTCGCTCCGAGGATTCTCCTCGAACTCAGCCCACGTTGTCAAGTCATCCGCGAGCATCCGCCTCCATGGGTCTAAAAGGGCGGGGAACATCTTGGTGTAAAGACCAACCTTTTCCACAGCTCGGAACACGTAAAATTGTAAAGCACTGGAGCATTGTGCCAGTGAGGGATTGTACATTGTGCGTACCATTAGATCCCGAGCTGCTGTGCCGGTGACTGTCTCGGAGAGAACGGCAAATACTTGACTGTGCTGGCTGTATTCCCTTGTCGACGGGCCATCTAGGTAAAAGCCGTCTGCAAAACAATGGGTATTCACCGCATCTCGGAGGGCCTGTGCTCGAATGGAATATTCAGAAGCGGTATCCTTTCTTCCCATAAATTCGCATAGCTCAGCGGCATGCACCAGGGCCACAACATATAGAAGGCTATTGAATGTTGCTACGCCTGTTATGGCGTATGATTGAGGCATGCACGATTGGAAGATCTTCCCTGGGACCGACCATTGAGTTACCCAGTCGATGAAAGGCCATGTGTCGTCTTCGAACCGACCCACCAGTCCTAGTTCATTGATGCGCTCATCGAAGTGGTTGAGAACCCCGTCGATGGTGCTCAAGTACCGCCGCACAATCGCTTTGTCTGCGAAATATTGCATGTGATCCCATACCATTGCAATCCAGTAAAGCGAAAATTGAGGTATCTGTTTACTGTTGAATCCGGCCGGGAATTGCGCCTTGATTAACCCATCGGAGCACCGACTGGCGTGGAATTCTTCCAAAGTTTTCCTGGCAAGTCGGTCATCCGATGATAGTTGATATGTGAACAGCATTTGCAGTCGAGAATCAGATGCAAATTGGTTTTGCTCGTAGAATGGGCAATCCTCGTATGTCTCATGTCGGCAGTTCTGGAGAGTCCGTAAACTGACATCCCAGATCTTGTTGAGTTCTGGTCCAGCCTGGATTTCAGTGGCAATATCGAGTGGGTAGGAGGTCTCGCGTAGTGTAAAATCCTTGAGTTTGAGAGTTTGAGATGATGTCTTGACATGTAATTGCACATATCGGAATGCTCGGAACCAGAATGGTTCGAATGTTTGCTCTGCTTGGCCGTCGGCCACTGTATAGATATCTTTTACTCCATATAGCCGGCCGTTTGAGTCTGATCTGAGAATTTTGGTCCTTGGCATGGGGAAAGGAGCGGTTTCCATCCCTAGATCTTTCTCGTAGCACTCTGAATACAGGAATGTGATGATTGATCCCAATCCTTCCCCACATTGAAGGTTGACGAATGCTGTAGTCAAAGATGCGCATTCAATGTCGACGATGGCAGTCTCTCCAGCTGGAATGATCAGCTCCTGTTCTCCTTTGATAAAATTATTCCACTGGCTATGGGTGATTGGTCCTTCGCATTTCACAACTCCATCAAACCTTCCAGGAATCTCAGGCAGTGCCGGAATAGGCCGTTGAGTCAACTTCCATGGTCGCTGTATTGGTAGCATCTTCACTGGGCGGAACTGGAAAATGGCGTACTCCCAGGTGGTGTCATCGAAGGCTGGCCGCTTCCAACCAGAAAGTGTTTTGGCTTCTGTTACTCTTTCATTGTTTGACATGAACGGTGGGCCCAATAGATAGTTCCACTCTGAATGAGGAGAAATTTGACGCGTTGTTTCTTGTCCACACTTCCAAGAGGAGTCCGTAGAGATTGAGAGTCCCTGCTACCATGTTACTCACTGGCAAATATATATTGACTTTTGAGGTTTGGTACTCACCTCAATCTCGCCGTACACCATGAGACCAGGCAACTCGGTGCTAACTATCGACGAAGAACCTGTGTGAACAAAAGAGTATCGCAAGACGCGTGCACTGATGACATTTTCTCCTTCCGTGAGATAAGGAAGGATGTCGACCGTCTCATAATACCAACGTTCCGGGTAGCTCTTGCAAGGGCCAAAGCTAACACGTTGGCCATTCACAAAGAGCCGATATCGACTATCGGCAGAAACATGTACTGGAAACTCACGTAGCCCGTACGGTCGAGTCCACTGGAAGCTTTTGCGAAACAGGAAATACCGACCGGGTTGGCTCTCCTCCTCACTATGTGAAGGTAGCCAGATCCATGGTGGCGTTTGTGTCCAAGCAGGGGATATCATAACGTTTGTTATTTGTAAATCAAAAGGAAAACAAACCTTCTGTGCTCTCTTGTGGCTCATATAGACAATCCGAGGTTACAAGTCTGGCCTCGGATATCCCGACCGGCACGTTAACCCCGATCCCACGGGCTTCACAAATAGTGCTTGACTCGCTAACTTCACTTGACAGGCACTTCTATTCGCCTCTAGCCGTCTCACATGATTACCCCACATCTTCATAGCGTTCTTGAAGTTGCCTTGCCTTGTGTCCACTGTCCACTGTCCACTTTCCAACTATGTCTGCGTCAACAAAGTCGACTCGCTTCCGCTGTGCGTTATGCCCAAAGGAGTTTTCCCGGCGGGAGAATCTTGCTCGCCATGCTCGGATCCGTGAGTATCTGATCCACAAGTGACTGTTGTATGCTCATTATTTTGTGATATAGACAAACAACAAAAGTTGCATCGCTGTCCCATCTGTGGCAAAGAATTCACCAGGAGCGATGTGCGCCAGCGTCATGAGGAGATTCACAAAGCGCAGCGGTTGCCTAGCGCGACTTTGGTGTCCCAGAGGCAGACTGCATCACCAAAAGATCATGGGCTGGCCTCGTCGCATACTTCTGATCTGTTACATGAGACTCGGTCGGCTGAAACGCACAATGTTGCGGGCTCAGCAGGTTCCAGTTCTCTGAATGCTCGGCCACTTCCGGAAAATGATGCACACTATGGGTCTAGCAATGACTGGACCCCTATACATCCATTTAACATGGACATAGATCAGACCTCAGAGCTTGAAGCTCAAGTTCAGACTGAACACCCCCTTGGTTGGACAAATCAGTGCCCCAATAACACGTTCGATGATGATCTGCTCCGATGGATGCAAGAACCATGTCTATTCGAGGATATGTGTTTTGGTGACGATATCATGTCGGTGCTGCTCGAATCAGGGTCAATGCCGCCCTTCAATGCCGCACCAATTTTGGCCATGGATATTGATAGAGATCAGACAACAGTTGATCATCATAATCAAAGTTCCGCTACCTTTGTTGACAGCGGAGAAAAAATGAGCCGGCCGGCATCCCCTCCGAATGAAGCCTCTGAGGAAGACAAATGGCCATACAGATGGGACCCAGGCTCTCAAGCGATTACTGCCGCTAAGTCAATTGAACTGCCCAAAAACCATTCATTGAGACGGAACCACGATCCTTGCTTTGATATTTCCCAGCAGCGGTACCAAATGTTGATCGCCTTTCTTTTGGACCCTGCAAGAAAAGGTTTCAACTTTCACTCACTTCATTTTCCCGACTTGGAGACCGCGAATATCTTTATAAGATTGTTCTTCACACATTTTGAACACCAGATGCCTGTCATACATCGTGTTTCTTTACGATCTTGTGACGACTTACCTGACCCTCTTCTTGCTGTTATGATTGCTATAGGCGCTATATACAGCCGTGAACGACACACGTGCCGTTTCTCAATTGTACTGGTTGATATGGCAAGGTTAAGCTCACAAATTGCCCTCGAGATGAATAACAAACTTATGAGAGATCCCATGTATGTCTACGCTTTGGCACTAATCTGCTATGCAGGCTTGTGGTGTGGCAACAAGCGACTATTTGAGCTCTCCGAGAGCCTGCGGGGTGCAGTGATAACCTATTGTCGCCAAATCCATAATTGCGAATTTATCTCCGCGAGAGAGGACCTCAAAAAATTTGGCAATAGCCCCGATGGCCAATGGCAAAGATGGATCATGAAGGAATCGAGAAAGAGGCTCATGTGGGTAACTTACGGTCTCGACTGTATTTTTCCCTGTTTACTATACCTACCGGCTTCAATCAGCCTAGCGGAGGTCATGACCACCGAATGTCCTTGTGACGAGGAATTTTGGCATGCTCCAACTGCCAATCGTTGGAGAACATTACTTGGCTCTGCCTCTGTTCCACCTGCAAGAACCTATGCTTCTGCCGTGAGCCCCTTTTTGGGGCCTCTGAGCCTAGGAAGCACTTCATACAACACCTCATTTGATTCAATTCTTCGACAGACGTCTTTCCCCTCGTCAATAAGCCACAATTCCTGGACCAGACATCTCATTCTTACTACCATCCAGGTACAGATATTCGAGCTATCACAGCAGATTTCAATGGTTTCTGAGGCGGCTCTTGATACAGAAATATGGCAAGTACCTGGAACACAAGAAGTCAACGCTCCCGCAAACTCCACTTTCCTCACCACTCTCGAGCCTGAGATTCAACCTCATTATGCCTATCTGGTGACGAGATGCTTATCAAGCCGTCATCCAGGCTCTACTTTGTCACTTTCGGAACAAGAAGTGTGTAAAGCGCTCGCAGAACGCAAGGAACTTATCTCAAGTAAGTTTGATTTAACTTCGATTATAAGTAACATCTAATCAGTTTCTAGAAATGCTAGCTGCCTGGGAACAAGCTTACGCATCAGTACCTGCCCCGGATGTGGCTGTATATGAGACCTCCCGTTATTTCCATACAAGTTCCCAGGTGTATCATCGCCTCGGCCGTCTCACTCTGTACGTCCCAATTGTGGATCTTCAAAATGCACTTGGAAAGTCGGGAACATCTGAGATCTCTCCAGTAGTAGACATGATGCATAAGATTCTTACAAATCACCCCGAGGATGTTGGAAGCATACTCACGCATTGTCTGGAAGCCATTCGAGATCTGCGCGTGCAGCCCACCTTGTCAAGCGGCGAACCGAAGTCCCGAATGACAGAGCCCCCAGAGATAATTACCTGCTTCCTCAGCGAGGTCTTTGTCTGGACACTTGTGAGATGTATAGATCCGACACAAATCCATCTTCTGAAAGACAAAATGGAAGATTTCGAGGCTTCTGATGGTTTTTTTGCAGTTGTGAAAGAGACATTGGATTGGGCTCGGCACCAACAAGGAAGTCGCAAACGCAACACTTCTAAGACCAACCTGATTTTGTTCGCTGCTGCTGATGTGATAAGCAAAATGACGCCTTGGAATGCCTCCCTCAATTTAGCCTTGCTTTTATGTCACAGGGGGAAGGCATCCCCAACGCACGAAGATCAATGATATGATTGATTTAGTCATCCTGTAAGTACTCAAGTTTTACGCCAATTAATTGCGCTGTACATAGACAGTATCAAAATTGATCAGGTTTACTCGAACCAGCGAGATCAATTTGTTTCAATTGCTATCTGGACAAGCGAAAATATATACAACCTAGCTAAATATCTAAACTTCCCCACCGGATGGCGTGGCTGTCATCTTATGACCAACAAACTTCCTAGCTGGCACCTTTGCCTCGTAAAGGTTGTCTATATCCTCCGTTGAGAGCCCAGTAGTATCAGGAACAATAGCCCATGCACCCCAGATAAGCAATACCGAAGCACCAGCGAAGACCAAACCAGTTCGCGCACCCAGGTTACCGGAGTCAACGTTGTACATATACGGCACCACAAAGGTGACAAGCCAAGTCGTGAAGGTTTGAGACATCATTCCAAGTGACATTGACTTAGCGCGCAGTCGGTAACTAGATATTTCGGCTGCAATTGACCAACCCGGGGCTTGCATGAGACTGGCCTGCAAAGAGATGAGAACGTTCCTATGTTTCCGTTAGCATGTAGTCTCCGCCACAAATAGATAGATCCAATCCATACATGAAGATTGCAATAGCCCACTTAGGACCAGTGCCGTGAGCCCAATAAAGAGCTCCAACAATCAGAGTGAAGAGGAAGTTGATAACGCATCCCCAGAACAAGATGCTCCTGCGCCGCACATTCTTCAAGGCGATTCCGCTGGCAATGATGAGAACAATAGCCAGCCCGAATCCACCGATCGAAATATCGAAAACGTGAACTGTGGGCAGGCCGACGGAGATAAGGAAGTAGATTGACTGCGAGAGAAATGGCGCACCACCTAGATTGACAAGACCGAAAAGGAACATCATAGTCATGGTCCTCTTGAAGTTTACCCCCTGGAAGCATTCGATGTAGCTTGACTGGTTTGCCTCGCGCTGTAGATTTTCTTCCTGGATGGTCTTCACCAGGTGGTTGTAGCGCTCCTCGCGATCTGCATCGTCGCGGTAGAGCCATCTGAACAACTTTTTTGCACTTTCTTCACGTTTGTTGATAATACAGTATACCGGAGACCTTTAGGTAGTCAGCGATGGCCGATCGGTGTAGAATGTCAGATACGCACTCTGGTGCAATGGTAAATGCAATCGCGACAAGCCCACCCACTCCCCATTGAATAGCGAACACCGTACGGAAGGCCTGTTCAGACATATCGGTAACAAAGATTCGAATAATACCCATTGCCAAGGCTTGCATGATTAGAATGAATACTACCAATGCTTGCTGGACAGCAGGGACAAGCATAGGAGGGACGACCTCCGAGGCATATGTCATACCAGCAGACATAGCCATTCCAATACCCAGTCCCCCGACAATCTTGCCACCAAGTAGCGCGCTTCGCGTTTGGGCTGTATACTGTACTGATGCACCGACCAAGGCAATGACACCCGCAATGACGCCGGACCATTTACGGCCGATGCGATCAGCAAGAATACCTGTGCCGGTAGCCGAGAGTGCCTGAGCGAGGGCGGACATGGAAGTCCACAGTGCAGTCCATAATGACGGAAGATATAATCCGGATGCATCTTCCTCTCCGAAATACATCATAAATGCTGGCATGGAGATCGAAGCGCCGTTCACAATCGTATCGTAGCCGAACATCGAGCCGGCGCTGAAGGAGATACTGCCTGATCACAACGTTAGCCGAGAATAGAACATAATGGATAGATCAAATCTTACATATCAACAACGCCCTCCAGTGCCACTTAATAGCACCTATTAGACTCAACTCCTGATCTGCTTGGAGGAATTGAGGCTCTTCCCACTCAATATGAGAAGAGGATGATTTGACATATTCTTCGGTCATGGCGGATCTCAGGGACTAATTTGCTGAACAGGTTGACAGCCCTAGCGCTTGATATAATGGACACGAGGTCATCTTAAATGGATTGAAGATCTACACAGCAGCAAAAATCCGGGGAAACTCCAGGGTGTACGACTGCAGGCCCCACACAGGGCGAAGTGGACAGTGGACAATCGGATATCCCGAGTATGGACATATCCCCAGCTGGCGTGGACAGGCGTCCACGAGAAATGTATTCTTCTCATTGCTAGTCGGCATAATTGAGCATCCAAAAAAGGACGTCTGTTGAATCGCTAATCGGTTCGCTTTCCTTGGAGAAAAAGGTTTCCCTATTGGCGGGTGAGTCTTAGTTGATAGGCTCTATCCTGCAAACACTAGAACTCTTCTTACTTTACACTCGTCCTCGGAAACTTCTATAGTTCTATCCTTAGCCCCGACTAGAGTTAGAGGGTAGTCCGTTAAAGTTAGTCCGTTTTCGATATCCCTATTAGTTAGGGGAGTAATATCTTTTATTTATCCGGTAGGGTAGATAGTTCTTTATTCCTACCTCTATTTAAATAAGGTTGCAATAGTATGTCGCTATCGATACTATGCGGTCCCGATTATTTTGTAAATAAAGCATAGTATTCTAAATACGCGATCGGAGCCGACGGGTCGATATCAACAAAGAGCATACAACCAACCATTCCCCTAATCGGTGGGAGTCGTAGAGAGTGGCTTCTTATAGCGTAGACCGCTTAACCTGATACTGTTTCATTAAGTCAAGAATCCGAAGAGAAAGTAGTCATATTGTGGTGCATGAATAGTTCTATTCTTGTAGGGTAGACTGAGCTGAATATGGTCCTAGGCATTCTGTCATCTGAAACCACTCGTGTGCTACTATCAATTGACACCTGATTTGGTCTGATTTAGCTTGAATTCTTTGCATAATTCGCTGATTCACTTCTGCTTTCTACCTCTCTTTTGGTCCGAAAGCTTACAACTATGTATTTTTATGAAACTTGTTTATTTATAGACTTTTCTGTGCCTATTTTATTGATCGTATACGTGACTAAGACTATTTCTCTTACTAAATTTATTCTATTGCTAGACGCGGAGATACCATCTATATAGCAATCCGCCGGCGTGTCTGCAGGCTGTGAAAACGGCCAGCCCTTTGTCTTTGCTCATTAGATATAAGCCACATGAGAGGGAAAATAGAATCAACCTTTGAGCTTGCATAATACGAGCCTTTCGTCTGCAATCATCGTATCATCAACTTATGCCTTGGTCTCTTCTATGAAGCGGGTGGCTCGCGGAATTTCGCCAGAGATAAGATTCCCGCGTGGGAAAGGAAATGGGCAAAATTGAACCCGTATCAAAAATTAACACAGCTTGTAGGACATAAATTGGCAATCTTTTATGCTATAAACATACGCTGTACTTTTATCATCTCATTATATCTCAGATGCCTTTGTTGGACAGACTAGAGATTATCCAAGATGTGACTACTCAGACCATGCAGACAATTATTTTCCTGTCTACAAAGCTCGAGCTGTTGCTCCAAGTATGTGACTTGCTTTTCCAGAGTTTCTATGTGCTCTTGTTTGCGCTTTCGGAATAACTTTTGACTGCGGTAGAAGTAAATATCGCATTGAGGTAGAGAGGAGCCAGAAGACTTACGCAGCGCGGTTTTGAACTCGTCTTTTGGCTTGCTTCGTAATAGGACTCCAATTACAGGTTTGAACAATTTCTTTTGGGCTCTCGGGTTGCTCTTGTATATCTGTCAACACCTTTGAACCCGGGGAAGGACAGAGGTTGGAATATTGGAATGATGGTTCTTGGTGAGTAAGGTCTTTTCTGCTGCAGCATCTGTTGGTACGTTGGTGCAGACTAACCATAGGACTTGGCCATTGAACTCACTTAGTTTCGTTATTTAAATTAGCCACATTGTCAAGGCTAGGGCTCGACAGTGGCCACGAAGTTGGTAGGCTCGAGTTCGGTACTGACTGAAATGTACTTGTTGTGACGGGTGCAGTGTAGGGATTTGAATAATTCTATATTTGCATCTCGAGTTAGTCCTCAGTCACTTATGGGAGTTATCCATATGATAAGGTGACTTACTAGCATATTCACAGGTGCCCACGAATATGTGTATGGCTGCTGTAACCAGTACATTTGAGCATGCCCTCCGTCCATATTGCTCATTGTTTGCGATTTCAGTTATAAGCCGACCAAGGTAAATTAAAACAAGTGAACAATTAAGTATTCCGAGAAGCCTTAAATGTTCAAGCAAGCCATGTCCGGGCCGATTGATTAGAAATGTTAGTCGCGCGAAGGGCGCTTAAAAGCGTAAAAGCGTGTATTGAAACTTTTTAATGTGCGTTAACCACGTTTCTATATTCAATTACAGGCAACTGAAAAATATTGTATGGGCTAGACAGTTCTAAAACCTCCAACAATAGAGAACTATCGGAACCCGGTTTATCCCCGCGTTTAGAAAATGTGGAGATTCTTTGGGGGGAATTAACTTAAACCCGACAAAGCCGAAGAAGCCGATAGAACCGATCGAGCCTCCATCTATAATGTCTGAATATATCATAGGGAACAGGCAACTGCACCTTGGTATCCAATCACTAGATAAGCTCATTAGGTAGATGCTACCGGGTTAAAGAGGTGGAGAGAATTGCCACATCGTCATGTCGCACTCTGATGGCCGTACAGCCGCGCCTCCGCGGAAAAGTCGCCCTCGAACAAGCGAAATGTGTCACTAGTTGTTCTACGCCACAGTTATCAAGAGAGAAGAGAGGGAACAGCATGTCGGAAACAATAGTATGAACGGGGAACGTAGTCCTATTCCAACGGTGTTCCACTTGGCGCGCTAATGGGCAGAAGGGGAAGTTAAAATGATTACCCCAAGTACCCCAATGGACTGGCTTGAGTCTTCACTTCTTGCCCCAATGTTATGATGGCATCGTCGGGCGGCAGTGTTGGCAAAGTCCGTATCCGCCGCCAATGATAACTTACAGAGGACATGGCAATCCCCATCTGAAAGCTTGTTAAATCCCAAGTCTAGCTCAAATAAGTAATACGCAGCTCCATATAGACGAGACCTCGTTTCAACTTGCTCGGGGAGGTTTTCGAGCATGTACTTTGCACCTGTTCGTTGGGAATGCGACTTTCTCATCATATAGCGGTATCATTGATTCCGTTCGGCATGCGTACATGCACCGCTACAGTTAAAGAATCTATGGCTAACAACAATACTTGGTGCTCATTGTGCGAGAAAGTCCGTCTTTGAGTACATCGGTCAATTCAACTGGTCCGTGGGGGCTCCGGACTTTGCGCAAATTCTTGCGGAACTAGCCTTTTATTTCCTAAAGAGCTTATATGAATCGCAATCAAGTTCTTCCACGCATGATAGGTGAATCCTTGCCTCTGCTGATAAGAGTGAACACAGGATCCGACTTGAAGAGCGCCATCCCCCACTTTATCATGGGTGCGGTCACAGTTTTCCGAAAGCAAGGGCGTACCGAAACCTTAGAAACTTGCTCAGTAAACGTGCTCAGTGAACTTGCCCAGTTGGATCATATGAGAAGCCTGATCCATGGCGAGTGAGCGGCTCACTCAGCCTACCCTATAATCTTGGAATTGCACGTTTGCCCTATCTATATACTGTCAGTTATCTATCACTTGTTCACCTAATGAGAGATTTGAATCAGAGTTTCTGGTGGCTGGGAAGGCTTACGAATATGATATCATTATACATGACAAAGTATGGTTTGATTCAGGCACATGATATTTGTAACGGCGACATAGCGGGATGGTCGGTCAAATACCTAGACTATTTGAACGTAAAAGCCCCGTCCTATCATTGAAACATTCAGACATATGCTGGCTCTTTCTTTCGATTTGCAAGGAGGGCTATGCTTTTTATTATCAAATGATCGAAACACCACCACTAAATAAACGGCCCAAACAATGTCACTCAATCAGGAGTCTCCGGCAGCACTCAGCGCGGAACAGAAACCTATTTCTCTGCCAACCATTTTGAAAGATATATTGTCTGATAAAGCTCCGAGACCCTATACCGCCAATGCCTTCTTCGACTTCGTATCTCACACGCACTGCACCGAGTCGCTAGATTTCATTGTGAAGGTTCAAGATTACCATAATCTTTATACCAGTCTGCAGTCTTTCTTCAACAAAGAGGTGACTCAAGAATCTGCGCATGTGGGAAAAGAGTGGAAATACTTAATGAGCACCTTCATTTCACCTGGTTCTCCCAGTGAATTAAATCTGCCATCGAACATACGCGATCAACTGCTCAGTCATTTCGACCCGATGCTCTCACCACCAAGGCCAGACCATTTGAATCCTGCTGTCCGGCACACTTCCGAGATGTTGACAGATAATATTTTGATACCATTTTTGAGAAGCTCACCCATTTCAAATAACGATACCATTCCGCCATGGGATTCTTCAAGCCACCAATGGTCTGGTTTAAGCAACTCATTCACTGCCGAAAAAAGACCATTCCTGAAACGGTCTCCAAGGTAAATCACGTCCCACGTATCGAAAATGGAGATCTAAACAACTGATTTTTTTATAGCATACTAGAGGAAATCGGCCGTACGCTTACCCGATTCTGGAGGCACAGAGCCCATCCTGACAAGCTGACAGAATTTCAAAAGTTGGGTAATGTGTAGGTATAACGAGCGAGTAGGGGAAAAGGAAATGATAGAATTTTGCCATAGTATGGGTTTTCATAGCTTCAAGTATTGTTTTGCAGTTATTCCTTGTGTCTCTAATGTAGTGACCAGTGTTGCTTCTGTATTCCTTTAATAGTGAAAATGTCCAATAATCGCATGTTCAAGATGCAAACCGACTGTTTGGACAGGAAACATGCCCGGTCGGCTGGTTGAGTTTGTAGGAGGGTAGGCAATGTGACGATTTCCTACTAGTAAACAATTGCACGCTTATCATAATCTTTAGCAGTAATAGTTCTCTGACCTTTTAAACTTCTTGCTACATTTCGTTTTAGATTTCTTCGCGGTAGACTTCGACGTTCGATTCCAGCATTCTATTTTCGTCTTTAGGTGAAGACGTAAAATCGACCAGAGGCAGTCCAAAGCTAGGCAGGCTCTGTCGGCGTTGAATCATTTAGCTTCTCATCGCACGTCGTGATATTCAGATCTTCCAAAGAAATTCAGCTCACGTTAGCTAAGGAGACTTTTTAGCCATCCACGTTTCATCTCTGCCCCGATCCAGGGGTGTAATCCATTGGAGTAATTGAGATTATTCATCGACTAGCAGATGTCCCGGATCCATGGTCACCAACACGAGAGTTTTGAGTTTACCTCTTCCCTAATCAGTATTTCCGGGGGCTTAGATCTTACTAATACGAAATCCGGACCAGCTGGAGCAGGTGACGATTTCCGTAGAGGATTAGCCCCGCGTGGCGATATTTGTGTTTAATCTCTCAGAAATGCAATTGAAGAACTAATATCTTTTGTTTTGCGGTGGCGGGGGTCTGGAGCATTCGGTCTTCAGTGTTCTCATAGGTCCCGTTATTTTCTAAATATAAGCTTTGGAGATCGGCGCAATTCGTTCATACACTTCCCCTTTCCGTACAAGCTTTCATTAAGTAAGATATTGTGCCACGGCTCATTGTTACTGCAAGTAAGCCTGGTAACCTTCGGGAACATTGGAAGATCTTTTTTGTTCTCGATTACTTTAGATGAGAAAGTTACCTTGCCTATTGCCTATCTGAGGTGTCTTGTTACCTTCGTCCAATGCAAGTTGGTCACTGGAAGTTGTGAAATCCCACTTTTCCACGGTTCAGTACTCGGGCGAGCTATCACGGCAGCCATCTTATATCTGGCCAAATGATGAGTGATGTTGATGACTCCGGAACAAGTAATGGCTTACGGCAGCACAAGGCACTTTGAATCCTGGAAACCATCTCTCAATTGGAGATGACGTTACGCTGAAATTCAACCTTCCTGGCCGAAATAGCATGGTTTGTCTATAGAGTGTGATGGCCATTATGTACATAAGAGTCGTTTGGTCCCAAATTCAATAGCTTTTGCCAATAAACACGGAGTTCTATTGTCGTGACAATGCATTCGACCAATCCTGCTAAAGTCGGTGAAAGGCTCCTAGCCGCTCTTGTGGATGAGTGGGCGGTAACAAATCCTCAACAACCCTTTTGTTACCTCCCAAATGGCTCAAGCCCATCTGACGGATTTCATGATGTACTGTTTGCTGATGTTGCACGTGCTACAAATCACCTGTCTTGGTGGATCGACACTACTATCGGCCATGGATCAGGCGAGACACTCTCCTACATAGGTGCAAACGACTTGAGATATCTTGTTCTTTTTCTTGCCTGTAGTAAAGCGGGATACAAGGTGCGCGCATCTCCCAGCTTCTTTCGCGCTGTCAATGATACATACTAAGCTTCTATCTTTCTAGCTATTTCTACCATCAACAAGAAACTCCAATGAAGCATTTTCGCATTTATTCAAGAAGACTCAGTCAATCGTACTGCTGCACTCCGCTGAATTTCTGGAAAAAGCGCAAACTCTTGGAAATATGCATCCGAATCTGAAGACTCTGGTGCTTCCATCCTGGGAGGATTTGATCAATGGCAAAACCAGATACTACCCTTACACGAGCACTTTTAGTGCTGATGTGGATAATGTCATTTTGATATTGCACACATCTGGAACAACTGGTTTGTCTAACCTACAACTTTACTCAGGACTGTTCGTTGACTCTGCCAGGACTTCCGAAGCCAATCTACCTGACACATGGCTATTTTGCTGCATTTGATAACATTTCGCGTTGTCCTCTTCCGCCAGGCAGGAAACTTGCTATTCCCTCCGGATTTTTTTCCAAGGACGATTCAATGTTGACAGTCACACCGTTCTTCCACGTAATGGGTTTTGCTGCTTTCATTCAAGCCATTTTCCACGGGACACCATTCGCGATTCCTCCTCTCAAGCCATTGTCAGGGGAGCTTATCATCAATACTATCAAGACTCTCAAGCCCCGAGCGGCTACTCTGCCCCCGTCTCTGATTGAAAATATCTGCAGCACAAAAATGGGGATGGATTGTCTCAATCGCTTAGACTATCTCTTTTTTGGAGGAGCCCCCTTGGCCTTTGATATCGGCGAGGCGTTGCGAGAAAGGGTGCGCTTGATCTCACTCATTGGCTCAACTGAGATGGGGGTGATACTATCGATGGCCCCAGAGGAAAGTGCAGATTGGGCATATTTTGATTGGGCCCCAAACTCCAACGTCTATATGGATCCAGTTGACAGCGACTTGCACGAGCTAGTGATCCGTCGAGGCAAGGACCGCAAGGTCCACGGAATCTTCCATACATTCCCTGATCTCAGGGAATATCGGTCACAGGATCTCTTTCGACGACATCCGAATAAAGCAAATCTGTGGCGTTATGCCGGACGTTTAGACGATGTTATCGTTCTCAGCAATGGTGAAAAGTTCAATCCTATTGCTACCGAGAAGGCCATAGAGGCACACCCATTGGTCTCAAAGGCCATAGTCGTCGGACAAGCAAGATTTCAATCCGCTATGCTTATTGAACCAAACTGGGACCTGTGGACAGATAATGAACATACAGTTGAAGATTTCTTGGGTGAAGTCTGGCCATTAGTTGAAAGGGCAAATGAAATGGTCCCCGCATATGGGCGAGTGATGTTCAACCGCATCGGTCTTGCGTCGAAAGCGAAGCCCTTCAAAGTAACCGCAAAAGGAAGCACCCAGCGCCGACAGGTGAACAATGACTACCACATTGAAATTGACAGCCTGTATGCAAAGGAGCCAATTACCAAATTGGAGTTTCCCAAGACGCCGACAATATCTTCAATCACTTGCTACATCCAGCAGGTTGTCCACGGCCAGCTCAACAGTCCGGCAATAGATGACTGGGCTGATCTCTACGCGGCCGGACTCGACTCCTTACAGACCGTATCCATCGCAAATATGTTGAATAAAGCCATCAATCGCCGGGAGCCCAATAGTGAAGAACTGATCACTGCACAAATGGTCTATGATCACCCAACCATTTCAGCCCTGTCGCACTTCATCAACAGCTTTCTACATGGGAGCCGCGTTGAGATGGCTATATCTCGAACTACAAAGATCAATGATGTGTTGAAGACTTACATTTACGCTCTTCCAGAACAGAAAGCACTGTCTATATCCAGAGACACCTGCCGGAAGCATGTTGTTTTACTCACAGGGTCAACGGGGTCTCTCGGCACTTATATTCTGAATGTTCTCCTGGGTGATCCGTCGGTAGCGAAGATCTATTGTCTCAACAGATCAGAGCGTGCTGAGGAGAACCAGATGAAGAGCCACCACAAGAGAGGCTTGAGAGTTTGGCATTTGAACGATGATCGGGTTGAATTTGTGCATGCAGTATTCGGAGAGAATCACCTCGGCCTTCCTGATACCACATACTACAGACTGCTCAATGCAGTCGATATTATCGTCCATAACGCATGGGATGTGAATTTCAACCGCTCGCTTACTTCCTTTCAGCCGCTGATCAAAGGTGCTTATGACCTTTTCGACATCAGCAGACGAGGTCGATTCCGCCCGCATTTCTTCTTCGTGTCTTCAATAAGCACAATACAAAATTGGAATATATCTATGGGTGGTCGATCGGCACCAGAAGACCTGATAAAGTCTCCTGATGCAGTCGCACATCAAGGATATGCAGAATCGAAACACGTCGTTGAGAGACTCTGCTACCACATGTCGAGTGTGGCTCGCGTGCCAACGACAATTCTGCGCGTGGGACAGATTGCTGGGCCAAGCCTAAGCATGGGAAACTGGAACAGAAGCGAATGGCTTCCCGCCTTGGTGGAGACTTCAAGAAGTCTAGGAAAGATCCCAAATCATCTTGGAAATGCTAACAATATTGACTGGATTCCAGTTGTAAGTCATTCATTGGGTTGACGCACTCCACTGTGGAATTGAGAAAGCCATCAATTTTACTAATTCGTTCCTGATAGGATTTTGTTGCGGATATAATAGAAGAGATTATGCACACTCGTCTTGAACAACAGGAAGAACACATCTCCGCTACGTTCCACGTAGTCAATCCACACACATCGTCGTGGCAGGATCTTATTCGTCCTATCAAATCAAAATACGATCTGACTGATGTCGACCTATCCGAATGGATTCATGAGCTTGAGCTGATTTCACACCCAATGACGCAGGACATGCAAAAGAAGCCTTCCCTCAAGTTATTACCTTTCTACCGCAGCTTGACAGCTCCCGATAAAACATCTTCCAAAATTGATACATCCAAGGCGGAGCGGGCAAGTCCAACAATCAGAAGCCTGCAACCCATATCTGCACATCTGATGGAAATTTGGCTACAACAGTGGGAGGGACTTGGAAGAGATTGAAACCAGCCCGAGCATCAATATTGGCGAGTTTTGAGAGATGAAAAATAGTTATGTTTGGGACAGTGATCGTCATCCTGTTGTGGTCTAACGGTGACACCTGAGATTGGATTAGTGTATAAGATGTAGATTTACACAGACTTACACAAATTTACATAGACGCCGGTATATCTTCTTTGGCCTTCCTACTACTCTACCGTAAAGGTTTCTGCTGGCCTGCTCCACATGCATACATCTCTCTGGTTTAATTATCACACTACCAACTTAAAGGATTTCACTCAATAACTATAGACAATTTTAAATTAGTGGCTCCTCAATTCATTGTAGATTTTGTACTCGCTGGGTTCCTTCCACCCCTTAAGTGGTTAGCTGTTAAGAAAGCCAAAGCTCCTGGGAGACGGTCTGCTGCTCCTGTAAACCTAGGATACTCCGGAGGAATCCTCGGGTAAGTAGCATCCACCTCTAGAAAGCCAGGATAGCTCCCAGAAGCAAGGCTCAACCGAAGGCATTTTCATTGTCACTTATGTTTACTACTTAGACTTTCTTTACCTGGTTATAACTTGGCAACACTCACGAATAGCCTAATACTTCGGTATAGAGCGATCAAGATATAGGCCGACGGCAGACTTTCTCGTTGACTACTACCCCGGGGCCGATGCTCCGAATGATTTCTTTATATAAATCAATAAGATTATACCAATTGCTCAATATCTAAGAGAACAGAGAGAGGCCTGGGTCACGAAAGAGCGTCTGAGACCACTAGCTCCCTACGGTGCGTGGGCACCAGGGTATATATATGAACCCAGAGCCTGACAAACAAGGCCTAGGTGCAGACAAACCCGATAAATCTACACCATGAACATGTCTGCATTCATCTCCATAGACCAAAGGCTTAGGGCAAGTAATGTCATCGGATCCGGGATCCCGAACCCCGATCTCACTCTAACCAAAAGAGGCAAGGTGAAAAACGCGATAGTCCAGGATTCTGATTGGAAAGGGGCGACCTCGTATAAGCTCGCTTTGTGTAAGTTAGATGTTTTCTTCCCACTTCCACCTGTCATCAAAATACATGTGATGGCCATCTCAGTCCCCCTGAACAAGGCCAAACAAAATGGGACACACCAACGTAGGAACATCAACAGCACCCAACACAAACCAACACTATCCTCAATCAAAGAAAATGAGAAACAACCCAACACCAACGTGGACAAATCACCCAAACAACAAAGGAGCCGCACAGTCCTCTACCGCTGTAAGCTGTTCGCAACAAAACACACATGGGCCACACCACTAGCCCTACTGCTATTTATCCTAGCACTATATGCGGTCAACCCGACCGAGTCTAACATCCTCCACCACTTTATATTCCTATCCTACAAACAGCCCCCAAACGCCCCAAATGCCAAACCCCAATACGGCAAGGGCCCATGGGATCTAGCCTTTGTGACCTTCTACACAGTCCTCCTATCATTCACCCGCGAATTCATCATGCAAGAACTCCTACTCCCACTAGCACGCACATACATCAAATCCAGAGGCAAACAAGCCCGCTTCATGGAACAGATGTACACAGCAATTTACTTCGGCGTCCTCGGCCCGGCAGGGTTGTATGTGATGCGGCAGACGCCGGTGTGGTATTTCAACACGCGCGGCATGTATGAGGGGTTTCCGCATCGGACGCACGAGGCGCCGTTTAAGTTTTATTATTTGTTTGAGGCGGCGTACTGGGCGCAGCAGGCGCTTGTTATGTTACTCGGCATGGAGAAGCCTAGGAAGGATTTTAAGGAGCTTGTTATGCATCATGTTGTGACGTTGGTGCTTATTGGGCTTAGTTATCGATTTCATTTTGCGTTTCTCGGAATTGGGGTTTATGTCACTCATGATATCAGTGATTTCTTTCTTGCTGTGAGTTTGTCTTGGTTCGGGGTGTTTATGAGGGTTTCATTGGTTATATGGGGATTCTTATTGATTTTCTTTACAGGTCTCCAAATCTCTTCACTATATCGCCCCAGATTTCATGATCCCGTTCTTTGCGACATCAATCGGCGCCTGGGTGTATCTGCGCCATGTATTGAATCTCCGCATTCTATACTCCCTTCTAACTGAGTTCCGGACTGTTGGGTCGTACGAACTCAACTGGGAGACACAGCAATACAAATGCTGGATCTCGAACATCATCACTTTTGGGCTGCTGGCTTGTCTTCAGTGTCTCAATCTCTTTTGGCTGTACTGCCTTTTACGGAGTGCACTCCGGTTCCTTGCTACTGGTGATAAGAAGGATGACCGATCTGAGCCCGATGAGTCTGATATTGAGGCTGAGAATCAAGGCTTGGAGGGTGTCAATGGCCATGCTGCTCCGAATGGCAATGGAGATGCTCTTTGTGGGAAGTTGAATGGAGCTGCCCGCTAGACTTGAAGCTTGTTTGGCGTGGATTTCTTCTCGTGCCGGAGATGACGGGAAGCTTGCAGACTTGCGCAAGACTTAATGTTTCACGCTATCATGTTACGTATGGTTCCATTCCAGATAGAGTAGGCTGGTCCTGTGGCACCCGTCACGAGGTCAATGGGATACCGGAGGAAACCGGCGTACTGTGCGGCTGAGACGGAATATATATCCTAGTCATCGTCATCCCAGAATACATCTGGGTCCCATCCAATAGTGGGAAAGATAACGCGTTATCATCGTATGGATCTGTAATAGTGAATACCAGGCTTTCGTATGATCCAACAGTAGATGCCATGAATAGTGTAACGAGAAAGAATGTCTCATTCCGGTAGCGCAGTGTTGATGCATAGATGCCTTCTTCAGGCCCGGTAGAGTTCTGCAGCGCCAGGATTTGAGTTGCCCGATTCAGGCCACTGCTGGCCAGTCTCCAGTTCACGAGGTCCTTGCTTGCGTAGATAGGAATTCGAGGAAAGACCGAGAAAGACGATGTGGTGCAAAAGAACGTACTATTGTGTTCGGCCACAAATGTGCAAGAAGGATCAGAATTTCAACCCGGAATCACGGGATTCCTATAGATGGATGGCCTGATCGAGGAATGTGCCAGGCCCAATCCCTCGGCTGCTATAGGCAGGAACAATGATAAACCCAAAACGATGAAGTTCATTATGAACTATTCCCTTTGCTTGGTCGGCCAGTTCACAGTCTGTCTTTCCGCAAGGTTGATGAATTTATCGTGTTTCTTGTGGGTCACGGGCAGTACATCTGAATTATCTGTGCAGATTCTTCCATTGTACGCCGGAGCGAAATGTGGGTGAAATGCGGGGTTGAAAAGTTCGAGATTAAATAGCGGTAGTATTTATTTTAGTAGATATAGCTAAATGAGGGCAGTCAATATGATTTTGATTGTGGGAGAACCAGGCAGTCATTCTACCAAATGAGCTAAAAGTAGGTTACCATGGATCTCATCATGTGTTTTGCGGAGCAATTGAGCCATTGGTCAGTTTATATCAGTTTATTTTACGGCTGCTATATACGATTGCTACGTTGGATCGTATTCGATTTCCTTTTCGGCACAAATACGCTGAGCCGGGGGACTTCTCCATTTATAGTTGTCCGTCTTTTGGCTAATTTCACGTCGGCCAGGAGTGGGCCATCCTCGAGACCGTGGGCTCGCTTTCAATTTGCATAACCTTTACGCTATCTGGGTTTTTCGACTACTCTTTTAGCCTACATGAAGACCTATAATTCGTATTATACGAGCGCCGCCCGTCGCAACTCAATAGTGAATCCAACATTCTACAAATTCATAACTCCACATTGGTGGAACTATCCGGCTCATTTCACTTGACATCAATCTCGTTTCATTTAAATCCCATGATAAATTGGATAAGATTCCCATACATGATCTTCAATTCCGACTTGTCAGACAACAATATAAGCGAGTAATAACGAGTAATTGTTTCAGTAAATTTCTCAGGGGCCCAAAGCTTTTATCAAGCAACATACTGTGCTCTCTCTTCGCCTTGAATACTTCAGTGCAACCTTATCATAGATTGCCTCCATAACCCGCGTCCATCATAAACACACTTCTTGATCACCCGGGCTTCTTTCTCCAAATCTCACGTGCTGGAGTTGTTGTCGTTGTTTGACCACCGAGCTTCACTTTTCCAGCTGATCCCCTGACTTGGGACGCTGCTGGACAGCCGAGACAACTTCAACTGTGAGTTGATCTTTAGTAGACTTCAATAAACAAGCAGATAAAAGCGTCAATACGCAAAACGGAATCAAGGAATACCACATATACCGATATGAGTCGGCATATGCCTGCTGGTTTGCGGCAAGAAGGGCAGTTACTACCCGTACAGATATGCCAGGTACCTGCGCCAGAGCTGCAGTGTCCCCGATGGATAAGGAAGATATTATCTGAGGCAGATGAGATATAGAGATTCCTTCCTTCACGATAACCTCACTGATCTTTTTTGGAAGAAAATTGGTGATTTTGTTTTGGAAGATGGTCGAGATCATCACGATGCCGATAGCGCCACCGAGGCCACGCACTGATGTCCCTATTGTGACTGATGTGGCGACGAGCTCATTGGGAGTGGATATGGTTGCAATGACGGGGTTCAAGACAGCGAAACAGCCAATACACATACCGGTAACTGTGGTGGGAATGAACCAAGCGGCAAGATTGATATGGGGATTGAGCAGAGCCATTGCTCCAACACTAATAGTGAGAAGAGCACAGGCCGTTATGCCTATCCATTTTACTTCTCTAGTCTTGTATATCAAAATGGCCGTGATAGCGGCACCAGCAATCGTGCCACCAGCGGAGGGAATGTTGTACAAGCCGGACTTGAAGTAGTCGGGCTGCAATAGATTAAGGACAATAGGGCTCTGAAAGCTGAGGCTGCCAAAGGCTGCGACACCCTCGATAAAGTTTATAGCCAAGCCAATTGCGTAATTTCGGTGTTGAAAGATTTCGCGCGGGATCAGCTTGTTTGACGGTCCCTTGGCTTCCCAAATGCACAACGCAATCAGAGACAACGCTCCGATCACAAGGAGGGAGATGACTGTAGCGGATTTCCATGGATATGTGCTCCCTCCAACCTGGAGGGCAACTAAGATCATGGAAAAGCTTGCGGTGGAAAGAATGATGCCAACCCAATCGAACCCCCGAAGTCTAGCCTGAACAGAAAGACCTTCAGGATTTGGACGTTTTCCGGGGTGGTAAGAGAAAAGAAGGGCAGATGCGAGGGCGAAGAACACAGCACCGAAGTAATATCCCATTCGCCAGCCTTGGTTGTAGCCCCCGACATCATGCTCCATGAAGGCCGCCATCCCAATACCACCGCCAATGGAGACAGTGCCAGTGAGGAATGTAGTGACAGATATAACTAAAGCTCGTGAACGCTTTGGAACAATCTCAGCGATGAGTGGTGTTGTAAGGTATCCCACCGAAAAGCCGACACTCGTGATTGTCTGACCGCCGACGATAGTCCCAACGGACACTGCTCTAGAGGATACTAGCATTCCGACGATCCCACAGATTGTGGCGAAGAAGAGAAAGTATCGGCGTCCAAAGGTATCGGAAAGCTCGCCGATAAAACTACTAATTACGCATAGGCACAAGCTTCCCACAGCAGCTACCCAAGGAGATATAGCAGTCTCCAACGGGAAAGATTTTTGGATGAAGCCGAGGCTGCTTCCTGGGACTGCTTGTGCCCACACACATGAGAAATAGGTCAGATACAGGGCGCCCAGATTTAACCAAATATCAACACTCCATTCGAAGTCCCAATTGTCCTGAGTGAGGTCCATGACGGTAGCCTCTTCGATATGAACTGGTGGCTCCGGTTTACCATCGAGGGAGGTCATCGCGATCACATGAACTAAGAGGAACGCGACCTTGCTTTTGATGGAATTGAATGGAATGGGTGCCAAATGGCGAGAAAAGAGCTAATTTTGAAACCAGGAAGGGTTGTAGAGCATCATAAGCCTAGAGAAGCCTCATTATATTTATACATCGTCGAGACTTCAGCTGATATGTCTACCTTTGGGGCGCGGATTCTCAAACCTCTCTATTCGAGGCCTGAGCATGCCACAATTCCAAGTTACACGAGAACGGTTATACACACAACGGGACTATTTCCGGTGGGGGACACAAATGCGAGGATATATTTATCCTCAATTTTTGAAGTTGAAGGGGACAAGGTACATAGAGTACCATCGCAATTGCTCATACTGAGATGTACTCTTAGTTCCATTCCAGGTAAAGTCTGTGTTGCCGCGGATACGCGTTTACGGACGGAAAAAGCCACGTGGATAGCAAAATCCGATTGGCTGTTTATGCACGTATATCAAAATCCGGTTGGCTGTTTATACACGTATATCAAAGAAATGCAATCTATAAACTCATGCAGCCAAGAGCCCGGTGGGGTGGGCAGCACATTGCATTCTTCCTAGTTACCTGTACACGAGCATGGGTGGCTAGAGACCGAAAAGTATAAAGTGGTCTCCATCGCTTAGCCTGAAGGCAGAAATTAGAAGAGTCACTTATAACACCTTCAAGTGTCTTGCGGCAATCAGCGGAAGAAAGGTCAACGTTGCATTTCTTCCCAGGAAGACAAGAATCTATTTTGTGTCCTATCTTAACATGTCGCGTGACCAAATACAAACCCTTCAACTGCCAGTATTGAACATGGAGCTCACTGAGCCACGAACCCGAACGCTGTTTGATGAAGGGTGGAAATTTAATCTCGGCTCCGACGTCGCACCACCTCGCCGTCTTGTGGGAAAGGCAGGCACAGCAAACGGTTGGAGTGACTTGAGCGAGGAAGAATTAATGGCATACAATGGCGAGAGAAGCCGCATTGAGAAAATGGGGCCTTCATTTCAGGCTGTGCAACTCCGACCTCATGACAACGATGCCTCATGGACAGACATAAAGCTACCCCACGATTGGAGAATTGAGCAACTGCCGAGCCCAAGTCAACAATATGCATCGGACTATCCAAAAATATGGCAAGGTTTCTGGCCAACCGGTGTGGCTTACTATCGAAAAATATTTACCACCAGCCCGCATCAACATGGACAGCACGTCTATTTAACCTTCGATGGTATTGCTGGAAACTCGGACATCTGGCTGAATGGATTTTGGATTGGAAATCAATCGACCTCTTATACACCCTTGACATTGGATGTGACTGAGATGCTACGCTTCGGAATTCCCAATGTTCTTCTCGTGCGGAGTGATTCATCCGAGGCAGAGGGGTGGTGGCTAGAAGGAGGGGGAATCTACCGGCATGTCTGGATCGAACAAAGAGGCGATGTTCAGATCACACAGGACGGCATATATGTTACGGCGAAGGACGTCTCCGACAAGAAGGCCACCATCAACGTAGAGTTGAGCATCGCGAATCTCAGCCTAAGTGCTGTTGACGCCACAGTCAGTCTCTTAATCGTGCATCCATCAGGAGAACATGTTCCTGCTATCCCCGAAGATAAAGCATCTTCACTGAACCTCCAAGGCATGTCGACTTCTACAGTGAAAAAAGAAATCACTATCGACACCCCAGAGCTATGGTGCCTTGGGAAAGGCTCTCTATATTCGCTTACTGTCTATATCAATCAGAAGCGGCCTGCTATGCTGTTGGATCAAGTCGACCTCCAGTTCGGGATCAGAAACATCGAATGGGAGGAAGACGGGGTTGTGATCAACGGATTGAAATCGAAGATATTTGGCGTCAATCTACACCAAGACTTTGGTTTCTATGGAAGTGCGCTCCCCGATCGTATCATCGAAGCAAAAATGGACATGTGCGCGGAAATGGGGGCGAATGCTGTTCGCATCGCCCATCATGCGCCAACGCCAGAGTTGGTGCGCCACGCTGATCGAACTGGTATGCTCATCCTGCCAGAGCAGCGAAATATGAGTACTTCCTCGGCTAGCATTCAGCAGCTACGAAATATGGTTCGCAAGTTTCGGAGCAACCCTTCGGTATTCATGTGGAGTCTTGAAAACGAGGAACTCTCTTTGCAGGGAACAGCAGTGGGAAGCGCCATTCTCGCACGTCTAATCAAAGAATGTCGAAGTTTAGACCCAACTCGCCCTATTACACTTGGCGGGGTAGTGAGTCTCGACGATGACTCGGCAGGATACTATCGGCAGCTTGATGTGGTCGGAATGCATTACCGCTGCCTTTTTGGAAACCTCGATCAAACTATTACATTGCACACTAATAAGCTGCTCATCCTCGATGAGGAAGGGTTGTTTGCGAGTACACGAGGGGTCTATCACTATGACAAGAAGAATGCTTACTCGGGATCGTTCTCCTACATCCATGAAGCGCTTCTAGATCGAGACGAACCGCAATCCAACGCAGCAATTGGTGACATTGACCCTCTCAAATTCTCTCCTTTTATTGCGCCGAATCTGAGCCTTGCATTCTCTCATCCGAAAGTTACGGGGAGCTTTATTTGGACCGGAATCGACTACTATGGTGAGCCAACTCCAGCCCGGTGGCCATCAGTGGTGGGCGCATGTGGCCAACGAGATCTCGCCGGGCTTCCAAAAGATTATTACTGGCTTGTGCGAAGTATATTCAAGGAACAAGAACCCATTGTACACGGCTTCCCACACTGGACATGGCCGGGGAAGGAGGGGCAGAGTCTATCCTTCGCCGTCTACTCGAACTGTGACGAGGTTGAGATAGAGGTCAATGGCGTCCTCTCAGGCCCTCGGCTTCCAATTATCGATCACAAAGCCCAGCAGCCACAAGGCATTGTGTACCAAGCCGGTAATGTCTGTGTCCGTGGTTTCAAGAATGGAATGGCGGTTGCAGAGCACATACAGGAGACTGCTGGAGCACCCTTCGAGCTGAGACTCTTGCCGGATCGGACAGAACTCAATAGCTCCGGAAAGGACATTGCCCTAGTGCGAATATGCGTTGTTGACGCAAAGGGCTGCTTCGTACCATACGCCACAGACCTGGTTCAAGTCTCGGCTAAAGGCCCGGGCAGAGTCAGCGGGATGTGCAACGGTGACACTTCATTCTCAAAGTACCTTAGACCCTTGGATAATGCACCGTTATTCAATGGACAAGCTGTTGTCTTTGTCGAGGGTGGAGTGGAAGAGGGAGAGCTGGAAATCGAGGCATCTGCCGTTGGGATTCAGACTGCTACCACGATACTAAAGGTCTCGAGCAAACTGAACCATGGGCATTATCTCTCGGCTCATCTAGATGAGAAGGCAATTTCGGTGCATGGAGTTTACAGAAATCCTTTTCATGATGACCAGGAAAGGGCATAAGGCCTAGATGTCAATTCACACTATCGAACGGATATTCCCGAATAATTATCCAACAAGAGTGACCTAGTTCTGAAATCTAGACTGTGGCCATCATGAAGTGCCAAGCCCTTGTATAGTCACAAGAGGGGTTTATCACATTTTTGATTGATATTTTACATAGTGCGCTTAAATTTACGCGTATATTTCCCAAATAGAAATGTTTCCACGTATTGGACCAAATGCAGAAAAGGCTGAGTTTTGACCCTCGAGGATGGGCCCCATAATGAATTTCTGGGGCCCCGCATCTCTTATTGCTGCATTTCCCTCATACTCGTATCGAGGATTAATATAATAAATCGACGTCTTGTATACGCTTTCAGGACAGTACATTTCAGCACTCCGAGCAGATGGATCGAACGAAACAACGTCTGAGTCATCGAAAATCCCGCAATGGATGTGCCGTCTGCAAAAGTCGGCATATCAAATGCGACGAGGCACGTCCAGCGTGCGGTAATTGTCGGATTTCAGAAAAGAAATGTTATTATCTGACTTCCAACAAGCACAAACTCACACCTCCGCCGTACGAGCAGGAGCTCACCACGTCAATATGGCTACAGACGGCTACGACATCGCTGGTTCCGGTATCAACACCCTCGGTAGAACTGCGCTTTTCCGAAGTGGATGAGTTATTCACCCTGGATCATATGAAGTTGTTTCGCCACGTTGAGAAAGATATGTGGGAGTGGATGATGGTCACGAAGCACCTCAGGCCATTGGAGGACTTTTACGTTAGCTCTGCACTGGAGACACCGTACCTAATGAGCCAGCTTCTTGCGCTCGCGGCAATGCACTTGAGCACGGCAGAAGGTGACTCGTCGGCTTGGTATCTTTCCCAGGCTATTCGACTGCGGCAGAGAGCTTTGCAAGGCTTCAATGATTCGCTGAAGGATACCTCAGCCTCAAAAGTCAAGTCTCAGTTCCTCTTCTCGTCGCTCTTTGGACTTCATTACCTTGCAGAAAATGTAGCAGGGGCCCCGGAACAAGAATTTGCCGAGACATTTGCCGCTGTAGTAGAATACTTACGCGTACATCGAGGACCACGTATCATGGGTGATCGCTCATGGGAGATGCTTTGCGACTCTCCTATCAACACCTGGTTTCGTGTCTTGAATGAAGAGCTGAATACCCCTTGTATGCAGCTCGAGGTGTCATTCAACTCTTTTGACCTAATCGCCGCGATGCTTAGGGTTTCCGATCTCAATCAAGAGTCAATCGCGGCCTGTGAAAGCGCACGACAAGCCCTGGAATCTGTACAACGTCGAATGCATGGCCCAAAGAGCTGGGGCGTGCATGCATTGATGGCGTGGTCAAGTCTGATACCCTTGCGCTTCATCGGGCTTCTAGAGAAGCAGATACCTGAGGCCCTTGTCATCTTAGCCCACTACGCTGTCGGGCTACATCAATTCAGAGAATTCTGGTGTCTAGGCGAAACGGGGAATCGCCTTTTCCAGGGAATAGCAAAGCTTCTTGCATCGTATTGGGCAGTTTGGCTACCTCAGTTTGGTTCCGAACTATGATAATTGCTGAAGCAACTGAGATGTGTCATATCCCAGAATTTCTTCTATGTTGCATGCATCTACCGTTGAGCAGCTTCTGCTTTACACCGCAAATAACACACACTGGACTAATTACTTTTTGTTTATCATCTCGATGAAATTACGAGGCAAGCTTTGATTGATCTCAAGATGAAGGCCATCTAGTTCAAATAACGTAAATATTCGCGACGCATGGCGGCTGTACCCTTCACTTGATGAGATGGTTATATCACATGTGCAATAGCTGTTGCGCTCGCCCAATATACGTCGAGTTATTAGTGAGCATCCTAGGGCTCTCCACAAGGCTTTCCAACGTGGCCTAGTAATGTTCCCAGTCTCCAACAAGTCGGCTATAATGGATTGTCCTTCCCACGCTGCGCCTCCACATAATAATTGTCATCTCTATTACATGGCGTGATATGAAGACCGTGTCTTTCTCTTGGTGGTCTTTCATTAGCCCGCGAACAACTTCTATAGCCACTTGTGAGTCGTTAGGAGCGGCGTTTTCTTATAGAACGCCGCGTCGTCCCCGTACTTGAAACATCGTCAAAATGGTCAAGCTTTAGATCCGGTAGAGATAGCTGAGACTATCTTGAATGGAAAAGAGACAACGTAGTCGGATACTCCAAGTAAAATCCGTCATATAAATATAGTCAGAGACAAGCAGATTCTGGAAGCTAAGTTAGTCGTTGCCACAGTCATAGGAGCTAATGCAAACTATGCAAACTTCTAACTAAATAATTAACTAGCCTAATTTCCAAGTCACGTCACTGCGCCGAGATCAGACCCTCTACAGGAATGTGAGAAGAGAGCGAGGTTGAGAACCCCTACCCAATAATCAAATTCTATGTCTGGTTTGGCAGGTTATGCCGCCAAGATTGCTAATGCGCTAAGATGCGGTCGAGGGGCCCGACCGTCTCTATCCGCGGAATTCTTTTGTCGCTTGGCTCTAACCCGCGCATCGAAGATATGTCCGCGCATCGGAATATGTCCGCGCATCAGCATAATAGTCCTTGAGGATAAAGCGATTCGTGGATGCCCACCCTTGCACAAGGCTTTCATGTTGCCTGTTAAGTATGTACATGTAGAGACGAGCTTGGTAACACTCCAATAGACAGCAACAAAAGTCGTATGTGATACAGTACTATACTAATTAATATTCCGGTGGTTATTCGCGTATGAATAATACGTTCTTCGACGGCTGGTGGTCGGTCTATCTTGACCCGAGTCCCCGCGATTGCGAACTAGATTTCCCCACGGGGAATATGCCAGCGTCAAAAAAGCATTTTTCTTACCGCATCTCTGTTTTCAGTCAGCTGTCTAGGATGCTGCCAAGGGCATCCAGAAACTGAAAAGTTGCAAATTAGCCGAGAGTATGTCCGTAACTAGTGGTCCTACAGAGTATGCTCCCGGGTAGTAAGAGGTGTGTCAATTGAACGCATTGGAATATACGCGTACTCTTCGTGTCTTGCTTGATATGCGACCCTCTTTTTAGAAATTCCACAACTTGCGTACTCGTTAGATTTACTCGTTAGTCAATACTAAGACGGCCTTCAAAACATTCTTTGGGAAGCGGGGACTCAAGGTCTCTGACAAGAGTGTTACTGCGGCTGCCGGATTGACCTTCCGTAAATCGATCTGGCCCATCGCGCTCGTTACCCTTGTTCCTTTGAAGGTTCAGCTACGGCCTGTTGGACACTCTCAACAGCCATTTTCAAAGCGCTTTGAATATCAATAGAGCTCGATCCAGTGGTTTGCAGGCGGCATATTTTGGGTGCCTGATCAGATATTGAATACCGAAGCCCTGCGTGCTGATAAACCACAGTGCATATCCTCTCGCCTCGCTCGGCCATGCCGCCTGGCTCCTCCATCATTTTTCCTACAAGGCCGTTTTCATCTGGGGACTGTTTCTCTAGGGTGTAGGTGCATTGATTGCTATTCCTTGCATTAAAAGTGAATCATTTGCCGGGTTCTGCGTTGCCATCACCATTGGAAAATGACTTAGGCTCGTTAGAGACTGCCGCCAATCCTTCGTTACTGGTATGGTTTAGCCCACTGTTGGATTTAAATTGACGAGTCTAACATGCATAGTCTGCGGTCCTCCTAAATACTCTGAGCTTCGAATCAACCTCAGCCAAGCCTTCAATGGTATTGGAACTGTTATTGCTCCAGTCCTTGGGTCCTACGTTTTCTTTAAATTTGGCGACGATTCGGCCATGGACAACGTGCAGTGGATCTACCTGGCTATCGCTATTTTCGTCTTCCTCTTAGCTTTACTCATTTATTTTCCACTATTCCAGAAGTCACTGATGCTGGTATGTGCTTATATTTGGCTATGTACTGATATGTTACAGATATGGCCATTCAAGTGCAAGAGACACATACTCATGCCGACGAGAAGCCCTTTGCAAAACAGTACAAGCTATTTCATGCTTCATTTGCCCAGTTTTGCTACACGGGTGCCCAGGTCGCTATCGCCAGCATGTTTATTAACTATGCTACTGAGATGAGGTCCAATACTGATGAGTCACTTGGCGCAAAGTTCTTCGCTAGTGCGCAGGCAGCCTTTACTCGCTTTACATATCACATACTACGATATTCTTGGATATGATGTTAATGATAATAGCGGGTTCTATTCCCGGTGAATAAATGCAATTTTGATTTTTTGATTGCCTCGATCAGAGACAAAACCCCAAGTATGAAACGTAGTAACAAGAAAATGTAGGACGTAACGACAATCATGTATGCAGAAAAGCGAATCTTGATGTGTTGCTCGCCCTGTATATCACAGCAGAGTAAGCCCACATGTATTCAACAAAACTCCAAGTATGTGCATAGAAGATCTACAAATGTCTCAACAGACAGCTGTCTAGTTCCACAACCTACACTCAAGAAAAGCGCAATCCCTGGCTGGGGTCCCAAATCCCGGGTTGAGGACCACGAGTGGGCTTTGGAACGGCCTGAGCCGGTGCAGGAGCAGCTGCCGGAGCCGGGTTCGCTCCGGGGGGTATAGCGGCAGCGCCAAATCTGATTCCCATTTCGGGTGACCACATGCCTGGCATTCCAGGTGTTGAAACTGGAGGTGGAGCGACGGGTGCGCGGACTGGTTGGGGTGCTGTGAGAGGGGGAGCAGGGTCGACTGGTCGCGCGGTGTGAACAGGTGTTGGAGGTTGAGATGGCTGCTGTGACAGGGGTGCAGCTGTGTAGGTGGATTGTGCGGGTTGCTGGTGTTGTTGGCGAAGATGGGGTTGTGAGATGTGTAGGGAGGACATTGCCTGAGCATTGGAAATGTCGCTATTGCGGAAGTCAGTATCCGAAAGCTGGTTTTAAATATTGTAAGTGAATGACGGGACATACGTTTCTAACTGACTCGCCTCCATGCGGCGCTGATGGACGAAGGCCTTCCCGTCATCACGGAAGCGAGCGACAATTTTTGCAAGATCATTGTAGAACTTCCGTCCGACGTCGAGGTTAGAAATAATTTCCTTGTACTTCAAGTAGCCATTCTCTAGATCTTGAAGAGCAATTTCGCGCTCTTTCGTCGAGGCGTCGCCCTTATGAGCACCAGTGAAAGCACGGTTAGCTTCCCGGAGCTGATCAGAGAGGTTATCCTGATCTCTGCGCTCCTGTGCGATCATATCGCGGTCCGAGTCAAAGTGCTTAAGTTGCTCTTCGAACAAATCCTCAAACTGGCTGGCCTGGATAGCCTGCATAGGGAACTCCCGCTCTAGGCGTGCAGTCTGTTTCAGCAGCGCAGGGTCTAGACTCTCATTAGTATAATTCGCCATATATGCACAAAAAAACACATACGAATGTCATCGGCCCGTGCCTTATCCTTTAGGGTTTGAACACGCCGCTTCCTCCGGTTTTCCATACGACTGATCTCACTCAAACAGCCCCGTAGCCGGTTCGACTCGCGTTCAACATGTGGCGGGATAGCCGCTCGTCGGCTACTAGGTACGTAGGATTCAAGATCCCGGTTAGTGCCAGTGAGCACGAGGAAAACTGAGTGTGAATCTTGTAGCTTCCGCTGCACAAGATCGTCGCTACTTTGAGCAGATGTGAAATAGCCGCTGATCTCATTCAAACTCTTATACAGCTTTGGTGCTGCGGATTCCGAGGTTGGACGCGTCCACCGCTCAGTGCCATATTTCTGGCGGGCTGCAAGGTCCTCTGCCTTCTCGGCTTTGAGAAGCTCGACACCCTCGTTATAAACTGCTTGATCATTGCCCTTGATCTTAGCTGTGTCTTCAATCGAGCGGTGTAAGCGGTTTAGGCCATCTTGTTGGCGCATCTCTTCTGCGTGGGAGACAAGTGTTGGTGGAAGGCCTAGTGGCTTCTCAAGTGCCTGCAGAGATCCGGGCAAATTTAAGGATGAAAGCAAGCTGTCGACACCGTCATTAGCAAACAATTATCTCAAAGGTCCAAATCTTCTCGAGTGCATACTCCCGTAATTTGTCGGTCATGGACTCCAACTCCCCGATAAGCGTATCGTTCACCAAACGATCCCTACGATCAGAGTAAATGCTGGCAGCGATATGTACCGCATATGGTACCAACTTAGAAAACAGCGGCTGGCCTAGTGGCCCATTATCACCCAGCATAGAAATCGCATCGGTGACTTGCGAAGGAGCCTTAGCAAGAACCATGCTGGCTCGTTCAATAGTCTTGAGCTCCGATTTCGGCGGCACAGGGTTGATGTAAATAACATCGTTGTCCTTCTCAGCACGCTTGAGATCTTCCGAGACACGGCTCTTCAATCCGTTCAGATCACCAAGAACAGTCCTGTTGATCCACCGCTGCTCCTTAAGACCTTCATTGACGCAGATCAAGCTATCGCGCAAACGGGCAACCTCCTCTCCGTACTTGCGCTTCTCCAAACAGTCCAGTGACTGGCGGAACTGAGCCGCTGCCGCAAAGTGATGATGCTTCGCAGTCATATGGTGGATCCAGTCTGTGCTAATGGCATTAGACTTAACAGCCAAGTCACCGGCGTCACCGTAGAAATCAGACACCTTTGCTGCCAGTTTTGCGATAGAGCTGTCTTTGAGTCCATCCTTGACAGCCTTCTGCCAAAAGCACTCCTGGCCTTGACCCAGCAGGAGCTGCTCCAAACTCTGGAGAGTCATCTCATCCATATCCTCCGGCGGCGACGTGCGAAGGTCCGGGATGATGTCAACTCGGAGATGGTTCAATACTCCAGCTGCAGAGCACAGGTAGTTGCAAGCCTGCTTGAGTCCATCTGCGGTCGTCCGGTTGGTTGCATATGCAAGTTGTGAGTATAAAGCAGCGAGGTTGAACATGATATTCGCCAATTCAAAGCGAAGGTTATTTTGCGATACTATTCGCAAATTCCATTAGCAAACATCTCCGCTGGCTCTCCCCAAATTTATTGTGAACTCACCTGGGCGCGCAGCGTTGAACCCAAAAGCCGGATACCATGAAAAATCCACCCCGACCTAGAGAAATCCCGTCAACCTCGAAGCTCAACCAAAACAAGAACCACAACGACCAAAGGAGGGACCGCGCACATCAATCGGGAACTTTCCACCTAGCCATTTCAGCTGCGCTGCGTATGTGATCAACCGGCTAATACCGCTGAAATGTGGTTCCTGAACGTTGACAGCTTCAGATCTTAGACGATCAATGATCATCAGATCCTCCGCGAACATATCCGGGCGCTGATCATATTTGGAAGATATGTACTGCGTGATGGCATCGGAGAGCGAGACGGCGTGTGAGCGACGGAACGGGAGCTGAAGGATGTTGCTGGTATCCATTGTGAGCAAAGGGATCTAATATTTCGAGGGTTTTGCAGCTATATGCCATGAAGTACTCACGACGCCATTGTCGCTGTAGGCGGGGGTGCGAAAGACTTCGTTTGTTGACGAGAAGTTCAACTCCACCGGGCAACGGGATGACGTGTTGATGGCCTAAGGCAGATATTGGATCTATCCGGGCAACGATCGTCGGTGTCTATATGTTTTACGAACTATGGGCAACGCATCGGCTTTTATTTATGCTTCATTTCGCTGTTGAGATATTTGCGCCTTAATGAGGTTCCACCTCATCCATGCATGTACGTGGATAGGAAATCATGACGCCCCCTCCATTGCCTGGGCCGAGGCTCATTCCGGGCAGCGCAATCTCAGCCCGGCCGACTCACGGCGTCTTCACTTGAGCGCTCAGTCTGGCAACTCGTTGATGAGCCGTTTAAAGTACTCCATGAGACTGAGCAGTATCATGTTGTTTAGCCCCGTCCGGAGCATGATGATCGAGATGCCCTTGTAAGTACTCGATTTGGCAATGGCCTTTGAGGCCTCGCCGATCTCCTGGCTCTTGCCGAGGAGGACACTCTGAGCGCGGGTCTTGCGCGTGTCTAAAGGATATGTCTGTAAATCGCTTGTTAGTACCCCTCGTCAGAATGGGAGTATCTGATCACATACACAGACCCAGGGGACAGTGCTGCAAATCACCCCGGCGAGCATGGTTGACCCGAGATCATTCTTGTGCCAACCCAGTTGTCTTTCTGCGGTCTGCTTCACGGTGTCATAGATGGCGAAGTACATGCCGGTGCCAATGGTGTCACGCATCGCATGCAGGCGGAAGCCGGTGTACAGCCCTCGGACTCCATGGCGCTTGACGATCTGTTGGATTGCCGCGATGGTACCAAGGCGAGGCTTGTAACGCAGCGAATGGTCCCGAGCGGCATCCGGAGCTGCCATTGCGCGGTTGGAGACCAAAACGGAGGTTTGAACGACATTCTTCGCCAGTTCAAAGGGGCCTGTGTCGACGTTAGCCCCATCCCGTTCATTCAATTGACCGAAATGAGCTTACAAGCAAGAGGAGAAGCAAACAAACCCGAGACCATGCCCGCAGTGGTAAAAGTCATCACTCCAAGCATGGTCGGGGTGCTTCCAGGTCGCTTATAGTCAGCCACAGGGTTGAAGCCAGTCATGTTCTCAACGGCATCAGATATGATGCCAGTGAATGAATGGTACACAGTGAAATTGACGACGCGCACTGCTGTGACACTTGCCAGCGGAGGAAGGGCGCCTATGCGACCGTCAGAAAATCTCAATTTACTGCATTGGAAATCAACAACTTACCAGCGACATAGCCACGATATCCCTCATTACGCCAAAGGTAGCGAGCACATTGCCAAACGTTCTTAAAGTCATGGCTATATCATCAGTCAGCATGGTCATCCAGTCTCGAAGACCTGAGAGAAACTCACGTTTGCATTCGGGTCTTGATATTCTCAAGAGGAATCTGTCCACGAGTTGAGACGAAATTAGCATCGGGCCCGACGAATACCAAGCTGTGCTTCGCAGGCGCAAAGTCCCTCGAGAAAAGACTCACCAGTGAGATGGTAGCGCAGATGGTCGAGGCCGCCGAAGACACTTGAGTCTTGTATTTCTTCAAGAGCCTGTTGCGCGTGGACACGTCGAAGGTCCAAGCGTTGGAGCCAGACATGTCTGCAGTAATTGATTGGGGTGACGACGAGGGGAATGGTGCGTCGTCAGAGCGCTTGCCAATAGTCATTTCTCTGCGTGGTCCATCGGCGCCGGCGAGGGGTAACGATGCAATGGCCAGCACCCAAGAGAGTGACTCTTCTGCCTACAGGCTGGGGAACCCAATGGAACGCAAACCGGTCTCTCAAGCTAGAGTAGACCGTTCGGCGTCCCACAATGGTCCATTTAAATGATCCGCCAGCACTGTTATATATTGACACTTGTTCGGAAGTCCCCCAACAGACTTGCGGCACGGGTGCCGTTTTTGCAGGTTTACGTTAGGGCACGAGACAAACAGCCGAGACTAAGGATCCCGGCGTTGATAGGATCGACGGGCGACGGCGGAGTTGTTACTGGTGAAGCGATATACTTCAGAGTCCTCTGGTCTGAACCGCTGTGATCGTGCTGGATTCCGACTTCCGCGGCAATGGTGACCTGCGAAGGCACAGTATCAGTCTCCGTGTATTCGTCACAGATATTCTGCTCTCAACAATTATACGTCAAAATCACTTACCACAGAATGAATAACAAGCACAAGCCAATCGCCCGGGCGAGAGAAGAAGTGAAGTTGAGCAAAATGGCATGTGGACCGAGCTTAATTCCCCAAAACGGTTAGGACCAAGTCGGGTGACGTCGTTGTGAACAATCTTTTCTCCCCCGTACAGTTGTTAGGATATTTAAGCTACACTATATTATCTCTGCTTGTTTCTGCTCAGAATTATTATCTTAGTTACAAAGTGTTCATCCGTAGATACGATGGGAAGCATGCTACATGTACAGAGTATCGCCACCTCTACGAACCCCGCTATATGCAAGCCGAGCATCAACTGTACGGTATCTGCAGGTCACTGGAGAGCTAACATAAGCAAAAGAAACTCAGAACAGGGAAGACAGTACTCCGAAGAAACGGGGATATGGAACCAGACTCAGTCTGCACCCAACAAGTGTATACCCGTGGAATGATTGGGATAAAACACCCAGCGCCAACACAAAGCGGGTATGATTGGGGACATGATGCAGATCATCTAATCCGGTTTATCATCCTTGGCGAATATTGGTCGTATAGTGTGCAATATAGGGCACATGCATGTCATATCTGTAGTAGTAGAGAACCGGACAGTGTACAACTTGGACAGCTGAGGCACCTGCACCTTTGCCTAAGAAGTGACTGGAATGCGGGGAAGTGAAGTTAATCTACTTAATCTACTGCAAATGAAACTATTAGGCTAGTCCGTTTCTGTACCGGTAGTTCTTATCTCTCTCCCCTATTCCTCACTTTATTCTCGGGCTTCATTAATTTCGTAAGAAATGAGGATATAAGAGGTTATTCCTAGCGTTCATATAATCATGAGGTTAAGCTGCTTCATCCGAGGGCATATGAATGGTCGTAGCCATGAATCTATAAGGTAGCCTGGGAGATAAATAGATGTCTCAATATTATTATTCTCATGTTCTCTGGAATATTGTGCTAAATGCCCTGTAGATTAAGTTATAATGCTAGCACATGCAGTTTGCACGTTAATCCGGGTACAGAGCATTCACGTGAGAAGATACGATCGGAGGAAATCCACATGCTGCGGGTTATCAGAATTCAAGAACTTGATCTTCAAAAGAGAGCCGATTCACACCCCAGAATGCAAAGGCGGAACTGAGTTATGCAGATTTGTGCCAATGCCAATGCCGGGGTCCTCGGGACCTCGGTCCCTCCCCGCAATTTCACACGTCCCCAGCTAACTCTTATTTATACATCTGTCAAGCCCCTTGCTAACACTCCCGTACCTCGCTACTAACAAAACACACTATAGCATGGGTAAAAAGCAAGCAAGCCCCGCCTATGTCCTAGGCGTAGGCATGACCAAGTTCATCAAGCCTCGCGGCAAGGTGGACTACCACGAGCTAGGCTACGAGGCCGGCATCAAGGCCATGCTAGACGCCAAAATCAACTACGATGACGTTGACCAAGGCGTTGCGTGCTATGTCTACGGCGATAGCACCTGTGGCCAGCGCGTCTTCTACCAATTCGGTCAGACCAGTATCCCTATCTACAATGTCAACAACAACTGCTCGACCGGGTCGACCGGTCTGGCTATGGCCCGCCAGATGGTCTCATATGGTGCTGCAGACTGTGTGCTTGTTGTTGGGTTTGAGAAGATGAACCCTGGTAGCTTGCAATCGATGTACAATGACCGTGAGAATCCCACGAGTCTGTTTGGAATGATGATGGCCGAGACGCGCGGTGTGACCAATGCGCCCGGTGCGGCGCAGATGTTCGGTAATGCGGGTGTCGAATACAAGGAGAAGTGAGTGACCACGGTGCCGTGGTTTATCACAATATACAGGGAACAGTGTTAATATGGTGATAGGTACGGAGCTAAGAATGAAGACTTCGCCGAAATCGCCCGCGTCAACCACGAGCACTCCAAGCGTAACCCCTACTCGCAATTCCAAACCGAATATTCCCTCGAGCAAGTGATGAAGGCGCCTATGATCCACGAGCCCCTGACAAAGCTGCAATGCTGCCCGACCTCTGACGGCGGTGCCGCCGCAGTCGTGGTCTCACAGGAGTTCCTGGATGCACGTCCCCATCTCAAGGAGCAGGCTATTCTGATCGCTGGTCAGACCCTCGCTACCGATACCGCCACGGTCTTCAACCGCAGCTCGATCGACCTGATGGGCTTTGGTATGTCGCGCCAAGCGTGCCGCACCGCTGTAGCCGAGGCTGGTGTCAATGTTAAGGATATCAAGGTTTGCGAATTGCATGACTGCTTTTCGGCCAACGAGATGATTACTATTGATGCTCTTGAGCTGTGTGAGCCTGGTAAGGCTCATGAGATGGTCCGCCGGGGTGATATCACTTACGGCGGTAAGATGGTTATTAACCCGTCTGGCGGTCTGATCTCTAAGGGTCACCCTCTTGGCGCTACTGGTATTGCTCAGTGTGCAGAGTTGGTTTGGCACCTGCGTGGCTGGGCGAATAACCGTCTTGTTGATGGTACGTCCTCGGCTTTGCAGCACAACCTTGGTCTTGGTGGTGCGGTCGTTGTGACTGTGTACAAGCGTGCCGATGGCAAGGTTGCTGCTGCTGTGCCTTCTGATGTTGTTGGTAAGCTCAATGGTCTTGGGTACAACCCGGCTGTAGAGGCCAAGGGTTTCACGGCTGAGCAGGCCAAGTCTGTCGTGAGCAAGAAGTATAACTCTGAGTATAATCTTTCTGCTTCAGCTGATACCGAGGGACGGGTACTTGCCAGATTTTAGATGGTTGATAGCATCGCTCGAGCTACAATTTGCGCGTAACACCAGTTCTGAAATGACATGATATCCCAATGCTTTTATATGCAACCCAATATAACTGTCCAGATCGTCCAATATAATCCAAATCTATATGAACTCCAATCCCAATCCCACTATGAATGCGTCTCAGCCCAATCCGCCGGCAACTTATAATTATGAGGTACACGGTACTGCCCACTACAACTGGCCGGACCACGACACTTCAAAGCGCACCTCCCATAAAGCCGACAATAGCACTCCTCGGCAGTAGGACAAGCAAACCGATTAAGCGCCATCAAATTAATCCCATCTTCCTCAAACGGCGCAAACAAAATATGCCACAAATAAGACAAAACCCGCCCAGCAATAAGATCATCCCCAGGCGCCGCCTTCTCATCAACCCTCATCCGCCTCGCAACCCCATCATCACTCCCATCAAGTAACCACTGCCGGAGCGCAACATATTCAGCCCGCGTATGCTGCCACACACGCTCGCGCGAAACAACAAACTGCGCACAACACTGCGCGCGCACGGCATCATTCCGCCCAAGATGCAAATGCACCTGCCTTTCAATCTGCGATGAAAGCGCCTCGTCGACGTCCCCGCCAAAGATATGCGCCAATGCCTTTGGCAGTGCCATATCCGATGCCGCGCGCGGACTCCACGGCGCAACGGCACTCTGCAACCTCATCTCGAGACTGCCCTGAGCCGGCACGGACGAAGGACACGTCCCCGTACTCCAGTCACAGCGCAGGTTGTGATACCCTGCTGGCTGTAGAGCGCGACGGACATCCAGAGCCGCGAGCAGCGCGGCGTTGTCGTAGTCCGGTGCATCATTGTGCCAGGCCCAGCGGGAGCCGTGGACGAAGACTGCACCGGCGGATGGGATGTCGTCATAATTGTCGATGAGGAAGGTTAGGTAGGTCATTGCTTCGTGGCCGCGGTTTGCAGGCACTTGGAACAGATTGCTTTCTTTGTTGGTTGGGGCGTCGACATTGTATATGCATACATGGTACTTTGCGCGCAGATTTTCTAGCCAGGATGGGTTGCCGTCTGCTGCAACCCGCGAGACCACTAGGGCTGGTTTGGTGCTTCCTGCTAGGCCTGGGCAGATGCCTCTTGTTTCAGGGATGATGGCTGAGGTTGTTTTGTAGCGGACTTTGGTCCATGCGAAGAGTTTGTCTTGGTTTCTTTGTGGGCGGTTGAGGTATAGGATGAAGAAGAGGATGCACAGAAAGAATATTAATTGGGTCAATGATCTCTGTACTTTTCTCTGCATTTCGTGGCGGGCTTTTTATATGCAATTATGTTAGTTCTTGGGCTTTTGTCGTTCGCTCGGAGGAGGCGGGACTTGCATATTGCTGCCTCAGGCGGGGATCTACATTCGCCCCCTGGTCTGCCGTTTGGGCCCCGTTCGTTTGGTGAGTTATATTTACTTCCCTAGATCCAAATCTATCGGGCTTTAACATGGGAATGATATCCAATGGGCTGATGGGCACAGCAACCACCGATCCACGCCGAAGGGGTCCACGTTAGTGCTGTGCTTACCATGGATTAAAGCTACATTCGATGCGATTCCTTTTCAATAACTGAGAAGCTGCCAAATACAGCTCCAGCTACACTATCAATCTTCTTTGAAATTTGTATTCCAAAAATTCGGTACGTTCGAACTTAAGAATTTTGATTATATTGGCCCTTGTGTCGTGATTTTTGCTTCAGCTACAAGGGGGTTACCTCCCATCCAGCTGAGCATACAGTATAAGCTGTATTTCTCGGACTATCGTGTATGCATTCTGAGATGTTGTAGGATATTTTGGGCATTCATAGAGCAAAATCATAAATTCAATTTTGGAGTTCGATCCAAGTATATATATCCGTGCAAACGATGGAGGGGGAATCCAATCCCAAATCTCAGCCGACACAACCAATTGCTTCATTAAATGATGTTGAGATTCATGGCTTGCTCAGGCATCTCCAGGCATTAAATGCCCGCTTCGCCAAAGCATGAAGCTCATGATCAGCATTCAACCTACCATGTATAGGATAGTTCAGGGGAAATGCTTCACATTAAATAGGATCTCTCCTTCATGAAGGAGAGATCAGACTTAAACCACCTCGTTGGCTCTTGGCAATAGCTTCCTAGCATCATTCATCATATTCCATTCAAATTTCAACAAATGAGATTATATCACAGCGAAGATATTTCCGCTATTCCTTCTGCAATATACAGTACTTTCTATGCCTATAATACTGAGAATATTGTGATGTCATGGGCATAAATCTATAGTCGATGAAGCCTGGGCCGATTTTTCATTTATCGGGGACGGATTGACTTAAAGTAAAATATGTGTACATTTTACAAGTCTAGCCCATCATAGTCATGACCACGAGAATACATACAACTTTGATTTCAAGTGGTATATCAAAGAAAAAGAGGCTCATACATCTATATACGGCCACGTGATATAGATGACATAATCCGCGCTAGCCGTCAAATAAAATTTGCGCGCAGCTTCCATCAAATCTTCTCTTCTTCAACTTCATAACATATTACGGTCTCCAACACACTCTTGTCGATGGAATATTCTCACTCCATCTACAAATTTTAGTTAGGGACCCAGACCGAAGAATGCTCGTTCTAATCCCGCCCCCTGACGTTCAGCCAGAGGTGGTCGGGTTCGCTTTTGAGCCAACATCCCCATGCCCGGGAATCTTGTTTTGATTGGAATTTGCCGATTTGTCACGCAGATTGGATTCATTGTCTTTGATACCCTTGGCGCATTGTTGGGATGGAAGTGTTGGATTGTTTACCAGGACTTCCGGAACGTTTGATGTTGGTTCCGGCCCTGAGGCACTTTCCGTTGCAGCAGATGATCTCTGTCAATCCCGCCTGCTCATTCCTACAGACAGGAGATCAGGCTTACAATGCGCTTCACTAACCAGCAGCTTAGCTAAATTTGTAGACATCGCCTTGGCATTTTCGAAGTCTTGTTCGTCATCTCTATGATATTCGAGGTCAAAAAAATGCCAAAACTGAGACCTCACAGTTGAACAAATGTTCTTCTGGAGCCTCCCTCGTGTTGCGTCCGCTCCCTACAGATGGGGCTGTGCGTGTCAAAAAGAAGGAGATACATTCCTGTAATCAATCATAGTTCATAATTCTTTCGAATGGCTTAATAGTTGCTTCAAACGCCTGATGTCGTGCAAAACGCGAAGAATGCTTCATATTTACGGAATGTGCAAAGTGACGATCTATACCTCTGCGCCCCTGCCAGGGACCGACAACCCTGCGTGATACTTGCAAGTTGCTCCATCCCTTTAAGCCTTAGGTTCCTGCACATGATCAATAGCACGAGGAAGAACAGCCGTTAAAAGACAACGGAAACTGGCCAGGAGTAGTCCCGTCATGCATGTATACACGCTTTCCCGAGGATGTATATGCCCCCCAATGCAATTCGAAACGAAACGTGATAGTTTGGAATGCGTTACAATCCTTGCTAGTGCAGCATCCATTTGGTTACTTTTGCTCGCTTTTCTCTCGACAAAGTATCCCTGGATTGCAATCATGGCGATCCTTAACTGGAATGGTTATTCTTCCAAATTGTCGCAGGTTTGAACCATACCAGCCTCCCAGCAGGGACGAGTCAGAATCGTTCTCCGGCGCAAGACGAGCATTGAGCATGTGTTGAAGGCCTATAGAACAAATACAATATTGCAAATTTTGTTTACTCCCAATACAGACTGGATACAATGCGAAGGTGCAAGATAACAGGCGGCACGCGTCACAACAGACCCTTCTGGTCTTCATCCGAGCCCCCTTGGCCTCTCATTCCCTTCACACGATCAAAGGGGCTAGATATAAATTCCACATAATCCCCCGCAGGCCAGAGGTCTTGTTTCTCCCTCCTATCCACCACCCAGCAACAGAATCACTCGTTCACTATCTATCTTCGCTCTTCCACTCGTTTGGGCACACTTTCTGAACATATATTCCTTCTCATAAATCAATCTTTCAATAAACCAAAACCTCACAATGGCCCGTCTCAGCCTCTCTTTCCTCTCCGTTCTGCTCGTCCTCGCGGCGCTGGCGCTCTCTATGCCCGTCAAGCGTGACGAGGAGGCACCCAGCCACGGCTTCAGCCTTGAAAGTACCCTTGACCAATTGAAGGTAAGATTATGGTCTACTGAACAATATAAATGCATCATCCACTGACACATTTCATGCAGAGTGCTACTAGGCTTATGGATGGACTGGATAACAAGGAGCGTAACGACAAGGAGAACCAGACTGAGCATGCTCCCGCTGAAACCGACAATGACAGCAATGCTGCCGCTGGTGAGACTAAGTCGGATCACAAGCCTACTTCTACCAAGAAGCTTTCCTCTGGTACCTTCGTTACTCCTACTGCTACCAACACCCACCACCCTACCTCTCAGCCCAACGCACTGGGCAAGCTTCCCCTCGTCGGTGGTCTCCTTGGTGGTGCTGGAGGTGGTCTTTAAATGGTTCAAGCTGGATAGAGTCGAGCTGTTAAGAGTCGGCATCTGTTTTTTTTTTTTTTTTACCAATGTCTGATGAATCAATTCAAGTATGGTGGATACTGGCTGAAGTAGTTTTATTTTCTTTTTGTATTTTGTTTCACGCTGTTGACAGTGGATACGTCTCGTGGGATATCCATGATAGGCAAATGACATGATGGTTGTGTTTTGACATTAATTTGCAGTGATTATTTTCATTGCTATCTAGCAAGTTGGTCTGGGTATCCGCTGCTTATGTGGTGATAATGGTGATAAAGTTGCGACTTGAGAAAAGTATCTTGTCGGATGGCAGTTTCCGAGGGCTGCCACAGCTGTTCACGAGCGCTTCTCTCGGGTTGCCTGCTGTTGGCCTTCGTAGACTCCTGTGTAGTATCCAGCATAATACCAAGACATCATGAGGTTCTTCAACGCCTCATCTTGAACTATAGATTAAAAGTTAGTCCGATATAATTCACAAATCATGGAGTTCGAACATACCATTAGCCATAGCGGGATGGGGCATCGGTGGGGTGGTGGTAGAGACTCCAGGGCCAGGGCCATTCACGGGTTGAGAAGCCTGGAACTGTCAGCGTGATGCATATATTATCATGATTCAGGACTTAACATACCTGGGCAGGTTCATCGATGTTCATTGATGTATCCTCGTTCGCGGTAATAGCATCATTCTCGGCGGCATCGACTTCGACTTCAGCCTCGATAATTTCACCCTCGACAATAAGTCCAGACTCCTCTGCCTCTCTCAAGGCATCTTCAACATTTTCACCTTTGGCGTGAATGCTGTGATAAAGCTGCCATCAAGTTAGATAGAGGTCACGTGAATCGGAAGGAACTGACCTGGTATTCCTCAACAGCTTCATCCCAAGACTGAAGTAGAGCAGAGTCGTCCCAGATCTCTTCCTGTGTCAGGGTCTTCGCCTTTTTATTCTTCCCCATATTCGCAGCCCATTCCTGTTCGTAAGAAGGGTTGCAGAGGTAAACACTGGGCGCCGATAAGTGCTGTGGTAGGCGTGGCTCACCGCCTTCCAAGCAAATCAGAGAAAAAAAAAAGTTTCCCGCAAAAGAACGAGAAGCGTCCAGTCTCCAATTCGACACAACACAACGTCAAAATGGCCCCTGATAAGAGAGAAAAGAAGCGCAAGGGTATGCGAACATTCAATTACCTCGTGGAATCCGTTTTGGTCTTGCTAACGCTGTTACAGCCGCACCTGTCGCCGCCGACTCGCCCGCCAAAAAAACCAAGAAGGTCGAGGCTAAGGCCGCCGATGCCACCAAGGACACTGTTCCTAAGTCTATCTCGAAGAAGAATGCCGCAAAGCCCAAGGCTGACAAGACCGCTGCCTCTCCCAAGGCCAAGGCCCAGCCTACCCGTGAGGTTAAGCCTCGTAAGCGCGCTGCAGATTTCCTGACCGATGAGGAGGCCGAAGCGCCTGCTGCCCCCGCCAAGGCTGACAAGGAGGCTGAGAAGAAGCCCGCCAACAAGAAGTCCAAGAAGGAGGAGACCGAGGCTGCGCCTACCCTCAAGAAGGCGGCTGCTAAGAAGGCCGCCCCCAAGACCAAAAAGCCCGAGCCCGTTGTCGAGTCTGAAGAGGAGGACGAGGATGTTATCTCTGCCGCTGAGGAGAGCGAGGCTGAGGATGACGCCGAAGATGACCAGACGGCTGCCCTCATCAAGGGTTTCGAGAGCAGTGATGATGAGGGTGAGTCCGGTGATGAGGGATACAAAGAGGGCCAGCCCATTCCCAAGATCCCAGACTCCAAGAAGGCCCAGCGCAAGCTGGCCAAGCAGCAGAAGGCCAACGGTGCTCCTGAGGAGCCCGGCACTGTCTACATTGGGTGAGATTCCATCCTAACCTTTGGTTTATGCCAATATCTAACATATGTTTAGACGCATTCCCCACGGTTTCTACGAGCACCAGATGAAGGCCTACTTCTCTCAATTCGGTGACATTACCCGTCTCCGTCTTTCTCGCAACCGTCTCACCGGCCGCTCCAAGCACTACGCCTTCATTGAATTCTCCTCGACCACCGTCGCCAAGATCGTCGCCGATACCATGGACAACTACCTCATGTACGGCCACATCGTCAAGTGCAAATTTGTTCCCAAAGAGCAGCTCCACCCCGAGATCTGGAAGGGCGCCAATCGCCGCTTCAAGGTGACCCCATGGAACCGCATCGAGAAGAAGCGCCTTGAGAAGGGCAAGACCCGTGACCAGTGGACCAAGCGTGTCGAGTCTGAGCAGAAGAAGAGACAGGCCAAGGCTGATAAGCTCAAGGCTCTGGGTTACGAGATTGACCTTCCCCAGCTGAAGAGCGTTGACGATGTCCCTGTGCAGGAGGCCCCCAAGGCTGTTGAGGGTGCTGAGGCCGAGACCGCTGAGAAGACTGTCGAGGAGCCTGCCAAGGCTATCGAGGCTCCTGCCCCTACTGAAGATACCCCCAAGAAGACCAAGAAGGGCAAGAAGGCTGAGGAAGCCCCCAAGGAGGTTGCTACAGAGTCACCTGCTGCTAAGTCACCTGCTACCAAGACCAAGAAGGCGAAGAAGGTCACCAAGACCAAGGCCAAGGCGTAAACGGGATCATGTAAAAATTGTTTGTAATTCATTCATATAGCCTCTGTCAATGCATTCTTAGTTTCAACATTCTTCCTAATTCAGTAAAGCAGTTGGTCGGAAAATGGCAAAATAGTGTAATTGCACCAAAGCAACGAAATTCTATTACTCAACAAATACAAGAAGAACTCGAGTTATGCTCAAGACCAACTAACAAGTTGAAAATGATCTACTTAGTCCCAACCAGGCTAGCGCCATCACCTGACCAACCCAACAATAAAAACCCACCAAGAAAACTCCTCCTCTTCCTTCTCCCAACTCCTCGCTCAAAGAATCGCATTCAAAGCTCACACACAAAAGGATTTACTCCTTTTCAAACTTGCTTTGGGAGAAAGTCCCCGGACACCCTGCGCTTTGGTTCCGCCAAAGTCCTAAGCAGGCATTGCGGAAACGCGCCGCCATAGAAGCAATTCGATAGCGGCTGACTGCCCTACTCCCTCCCAGCACTCCGCACCACCCGACGGTTACATGTCACAATGTCTCTGGAAAGAATGGGGTGTGTGTTGGGTGTTGGAGAGGGGAAGGATTTGGTTCCTTGTATTGGGTTGCCTTTCGTCATGTTCGGATAGTCATGCGATTGCCCTTTTCATCTGCTTCCGTTTGGTTGTGGGTGGAGGGTAACTCAATGGGGCTCATTCTTGAGGCGAGGAGTTCTGATTTTGTCTTTCTTTTTGAGTCTGTAGCTTATGGCAAAGCGGCCGTGAGATCCTGTCTCATTGCAGATGCCCTGTCGTAGGGGCCGGACTCTTTTATCATATTCATGTCTTTGCCATGGGTTTATGTTCGCGTGATGATATACCAATCATAGAGTCAAGCACAGAGATTCCCTAAGGGGGTCCTTGACGATAAACGATTATCTTCTTATCTGATGAACATCTTGTATATTTTATTGAAAGAAAAAAGCAATTGAACTTGAGCTGAACAGAAACTGAATTTGATTAAAACACAATATGCAATGCAATATTCATGATAATATCGTGGCATTCCCCGTCATATAATACACCATAACCAAGCCCATAAATTATGATAGCCAGGACAATCCTACTTATTGCGCCTTCTTACTCTCAGCGCCAACAGGCACAGGTTCCTTCCGGCCTACCACCTGCGCAATAAATGCACCCACAACCTCCCCCACAAGCGCAATAGCAGCCGCACAGACACTGCTCCAAACCTGGATACTCACAGAGCCCAGTGGCGCGCGAGGGAAGGACACAATCCATTGAACGTAGTAGGGGAACCAGCCTTCGGGGAGAGCAAAGACCGGGGTCTTGGAGTACCAGAATTGCAGGAAGATTTTCAGTCCGTTTGTGCTGAGCCAGCGAGCGGTCTTGACGCTCCAGTCGAAGGAGGTTTTCTGCGAGGTGAGGGCCTTGTCTGTGAAGAAGGGTGCGTTAGTAGTCTAAACCAACCGGGAGAAAAGCATGGTCTTGTCTCCTCTGTGCCAGGGCAATGGAACACGTACTCATCGCCTCGTATTCCTCCATGGTCTTGTCATGGCGTCTACGCAGTTTCGCCCATTTCGCGAACTGGTCTTGCGAGCTGACGCTGTTCATATCGCGCTTTTGTTCGAGGACCTCGCGCTTTAGCTGTTGCTGCTTGCGAGCTTTCCGGGCTGTTGGCGTAGGCAGTCGAAGGTATAGGAGCCATAGCTGTTAGAGAATAGGTGTTAGTTGTTGGGTTCATCTGTAGGTGTTCCGTGGAGCTGCAAGTTGCAGGGCCTAAGCGGGCGCTTATTGGTGACATACAAGGTTGTCTATAGTACTCGCACCGATCGTGTTGACCAAGTGGATTGCGATGTGCACAAAGAGCACTGTCAAGACGAGGGATAGCATCGTGGCGGGGGTTGAAGGAGTTAGGATGCGGAGACGGTGACTGCGACTGCGACTGCGCAGGCTGGGATAGCCTGGAGGAAAGCGACGGCTCAATCGGATAGCCGGGCCTAAGTTGCAGGCAAAACCGAGGAATATTGTCAAGAAATGGTGTTGAAGTGAAATGACGTCCAATGTGGAAAGGTGGAAATAACAGCGGACTTGGCCTTTCCGCCTTCGCATGCCTACACCACTTCTCCATGTCCCCACAGATTAGAGGTCCATTTCAAAGAAACAAAGGATTTAATATGATGAGGTCCTCACTATAGCCTCTTCTAGTCCTCTGCACCAAAAACAAATAATCAAATGTCCAACCCAGAGCATGCATTCCAGGAGCTTGCCCGCATCTTCTCATCTAGAGGAAACCAAGTCCTCGAAATCGAGATCATCCCTCCAAGCCTAGGCGCAACATTCCTGCAAGATGGCTGCTCAGTGGGAATCACAAAGAAAGCACTCGTGCAGGCGTACACGGTCGCGCGAGCACTTTTCTTCAAGACGTTAATGCCCATGTCAGAAGATGACTTGCAAAGTGCGATCCTCACAAAAGCCCAGTCAACAAATACAGTTACAGCAATTACAGAAGTGATGCTGTTATTTGACTGTGAACATCTCACGGCCTGCAATTGGCGCAAGCGTCGATTATGCGCAGCCATGGCGCCTTCGAACGCCCAGGATATTCCAAACCAGACCCCCGCCATAACAGAACTCTTAGAAGCTGAGCTCACGCTCATGTCGAGTTACCAATGCTCGCCACTTCATCGCCATACCAAGTCGCCTACATTATGGTACCACCGGCTCTGGGTGCTGAGGCATCTACTCGAAAGACGGGCCTGGAGTGCTGAGGCTATGCTACAACTCCAGCGGAGTGAACTGGAGATTATTCTTCGTGCGGGAGAACTGCATCCGAAGAATTACTATGCGTTCAGCTATATGCGACAGTTGAACGCGCTTCTTGCCCAAAGAATGGCAGGGAAACCAGACTGGAAAGCTGAAGCGGCGCTGCACATTGTCAACCGGACGATTGAATGGTGCCTGGCTAATCCGCGCGATATCTCCGGATGGAGTTTTGGGATATACGAGCTGAGCCGTGTCCCCGATTACACGGTGCGAGCGCATGCGCTTGAGAAAGTGCTCACGTTTTCGCTTGGTGTTGGGTGGGAGGGCGAGAGTCTTTGGACATTTGTCCATCAAGCTGTTAAGCAATTCGGCCTTGAAAGTGTGGCGGATGGTATGGGTTTATGTTGTATCCTGGAAACTGTATCCAATGACTCCCCGAGTACGCAGGCTGCTTTACAGAAGAAGCCATGGCAGACCTGGCTGGACCGGGCGAAGGTATACTGGGCAGTAAATGGTCAGAATGATACTTCGTAAACAGCTTAACTATGTATATGTGTATTCTAGGCATATTCTACAACAAGGGTCATAAATGTGTATACAGTCCTTAATAAAGTATTGGACAGACTCTACACGAAACCTATCCTCGAAGCGCGTATATCATTCCCTGCATTGGTTTCGCTCTATTTTGATCTCTCGTTTTCACTACTTTTGGCCCATTCTTCAGTGCCTCAAATTATGATGGTTTAGATATGGTGGGTGAATCATGTAGACTGTGAAAGGGTGTACGATCGCCAATAACAGAACCACCAATAAGTTCTCAGTGTCGTGTCTCGTTTGATTAGCGCTTTGATGTACAGTATGCTTTGGTATAAACGCCAATGAGAGTCAGATGAACGCCTCGCTAGACACCCGCCCCGAATATTTGCAAGTAGGGCATAGGTGGATGATTTTTCCAAGTCGTATCCAAGTTCCAGCTCCTCCGTGACCCAATCTCCACGATGCCATTCCGAAGTTGCCTGTTGTCTACTGTCTGGTTGCCAGGTGGTATGTTCCGCATCGCAAGAACGGTAGAAATCGCAAAAGGAGCCGGTATGAATCGAAGAATCGGAATCGGATTACTTTTTCCCTCCTCCTGCTGCCTCTGCAGCCCTCTTCTCGTCCGCTGTAAGGTGAAAAAGTTAGCCCTGTGACCCAAACCAGATTTGCGGGTAATTGTAATACACACCCTTCCTCTGCTTTTCGCGCATAATGGCAGCAGCGTCTTCCTTGGACTTCTGGTACTGGCTGCCAGACTGGGTGTTCTTCCCCTTCTGTGGCGGTTGTTAGAGAGTCAGACACGCTGGCGCATGGGGAGACGAACCGAAGCAGCAGCCTTCTTCTGGGCCTTGGCCCGGTCGTTGTCGCGCTGGTTACCCCGCGTCATTATGGCTTGGTATATAAGGAAAGTAGGGAGTGAGTGGGCGCGAAATCGTGAAACGGAGAAAAAGTTTGGAGGGGTTCGGCTTGGGATCCCGCCACCGGATCCTTAGCCTCATACTTACTTGCCCTAACTACAGTACAACCACGGACTACTGGCTTGGATATATTAGTCTTCGGGGTTGGTATGTTTCCTGTTCTCAAGATGCCGGGCGGCTATTAATTCCCCACCATTGGGGTCGGAGATTGTTACCTGGTTTCATACTTTGCCTTTTGACTTCTTCGGCGCTTCGACTTGAGAACCCATGAACCTTTTGCTTCAAATATCATGAGATCCTCCTAGATCAAACTAACAGATAGGTATGATTCATGTGTTTTTGGGCAAAAACATCCCAATATAAGGCTGAAGTAGCCGAGGGCAGTGGCCACCCCAGCCGCCAGGAGTCGTTTCACCCTGGTCGAAACCAACAACTCTCAGCCACTCCTTCAGCTATCTCAAAAGCCAGTTGAGATCGTATTACCCAAGGCATCAAGACTCTAATCCCCTTTGGGTTATAACCCCGGATCTCTCAGCGCTGAATGGTTCTAACTGGACCACAATGAAACGCTTGCATAGATCGCATCGGTTCCATATCGAGTCAGAACCCTGTCGATCTCCTTCAGTGGGAGCTCTAATTAAATGTCCTTTGTGTCAGTTTCAAGTCTATTCATAGCAGACAAGGCGCTACAACAATCGGCATTCAATAGGGTAGATATTCTCGTTCACCTCCATTGTCCCCTTCGTCTTTTTCTTTTATACATTCTTCCCTCGAGTTGACCTCGCTTTGTTCCATTGTGGGATATCAAGCTGTCTGCTGGTCAGGTTGCTTCCTTCCCATCCATTTTAATCTCTTCTCCAACCCCAAAGACTCTCCTCCTCAATTTATATCTGTTTCTCTACTTCAACTGCTGCTTTAGATTTTAAACATGATGAACCGACTGCGTGAATCCCTGGCTGGTCCAGGGTACGTGATTTTGAACGCCATCCGCGTACTCAACATTATCGCTTTCCTTGATATCATTGCTGCGTCTGTGGTCATGCTAGTCAAGATCAATATGCTGAACAGCTTCTTTTTCTTCGAGGCTGTGACTCATGCCGTGGTGGCTATCGTTAGCAGTAAGAGTGTTCTCTTCTATACACATGACATTGGACTAATCGTTTGGCAGTTTTCCTCATTATCTCCGAGCTTCCTATTCTGCGCGCCTATTTCGATGATCACTGGCCGATGTTCGGTCAGGATGCGGGCTTTTACACTCTTGCCGGTATCATGATGATTCTGGGTGTCTCGACTCTAGGCAATTTGAACACCAAGGCCATGACCCAGGAAACAATCGGAATGGCCTTCTGGCGCATTATCATCTCCGCCGGCGTCCTTGCAATGGTAGTTAGTGTGCTCAACGTGCTGGCAGTAAGTGAATCTGAACCCCCAATCTGTATTCTCTTGACATTGTACTAACTCATCCTTCCAGAGCTTCCTCTTCAGCGACTACAAAGCCGGCGTCAGCGCCCGCCACGTCCGAGCCTACGGCGCAGTCGCACCACAGAAAGTGATGAGCCGAACAAGCAGCCACCGCACCCTCCACCTGAGCATGAAGCGCGAAGAAATGCTCCCGTCGTACACTCGGTCGAACCCCGTGAAGCGTGCCACCCAGCGCTTCACTGGCCGCTTCCCTCTGAAGATCTCCAAGCCGATGAACCCAACGCTGGTCGCTGAGAACGATGCTGCTTCGTCCAAGTACTCTCGTGACTCGGTGGAGATTCGCGAACCTGATCTTGCGCACCACCCTGCTTTGTACTCGGGCCATATGGTTTGAGCTGGACTTGAAATTTGTTTGCAAAATGGAATGGATTTCTTTTGAATGGATGATCTGGCGTTGAATTGAATAATCAAGCGTTTTTGCGATGGCCGTTTGGCGTTTGATTCCCCTGGTATTTGTTTCTTTGTATTTGATGCTGTTTAGCTGGAGCCAATTGAGATTATCTTTATAAATGATCCAGGTTATCCTGAATGTAGACATGACATTGAATAGATATGGAGTATGGCATGTTCGGTTGTCAGAGAGTTGTTGTAGAGTAGAAGTAACTTAATTGCAGTTAGTTGTCGGACCCACGCCTTTTGGCCCCGACATTCATTGAACTGGACACTTCGCCTTTCACACTCTGTCATCCAAACTCGACTGTCAGAGAGCCCAATGAAGTAGGATTATCTCCTACAAGCTCCAAATATGGCGACAATCTCCATCTCCTGGGGAACGTAAGTTCCAAAGCTCTACTTTCCGCGTTCTATAGCTGACAGTGAATAGCGTCAAATCCCTCCTCATATTCTTCGGCCCAGTGCTACTACCACGTTTAATCACTGCCTATCGCAACCTCCGCGCATCCATTGCAAGCCGTCCTCCACCGCGCCCTCTACCCGCAGCCCCAGGCCGAGCGCTCAACATCCTGTTCGGCAGCATTGTCTTCTTCCTCCTTCTGAGCCTCCCCTTCAACCCTCACGCGCCCGAACCCAACATCTTCTCCCTGACTCGCTCGCGCATCAACACCCCGACAGATATCCTCTTCGCCCGCCTCGCGCGTTTCCGGCCCGATGCCCTTCTTACCGCAGCCGACACCCTCCTCCAATCCAAATTCACCTCCCTCGGTGCCCGCAAGGTCTACCTGACCTATGGCCCAGACGCCCTGACTTCGTGCCAGTACTGCTCCTTCGATAACCTGAACACCTTCCTCATGTACTACCTACCATTCCACGTCCTGCTCCCGCATCTGGTCCACCTCATGATCCTCGGCGTAGCCACCTCAGCTCCCATCGCAGGCCACGAATCCGCCCGCTGGCGTACGAAGTTCACCATGGCCGGTCTGGCTCTGGCCGCGATTGATGTCTACATTGTGGCAACCTACGATGCCATCTCAAGCGCCTCGCCGTCTGTGCGGTCGGGGCAGACCCCGCCATCCGGCCTCTACAATAGCATCACACTGCTGCGACCGCTGGCGTTCGTGGTCTGCGATGTCGCCTGTTCAGTGGTGTTATACCTCTCTGCTACGAATCGGTTCTTTTTCAAGCAGCCCTCTACAAATGAGCAGATTGACAAGGCTGTCTCCATAGCCGTGAACGCGCTGACGGGTGCCCACACCAAAATGCATGCTACCAGTGTTACTCGCAATGCTGTGGTGCGTGATAAGGCCCTGAAGAGTCGCGATGATTTGTACTGGCAGACTATGGTGGCCTCGGAGAACCCCACTCAGGCGGGAGAAGGGAAGATCCTCAACAATATTTGGGAAGAGGAGGAAGTGGCTCGAGCCATGTCGCGGGCGATGGCTGGCCAAGGAGGTATCGACCTGGCACAATTGGGTGTCAGTGCGAATGAGTTTGTGCGAGGGGTGACGGAGGGTTTAGAGTAAATAGTCAATATAGTCAATATAGTTGACGTGGACATCCGCTGATGCCAAGAATGACATAAATACACCGGAAATGGCATTGTATACACACACACATAGTATGTAACTATATGTATAAGTAAGTTAACTACCTAGATGTACACGTGCAGACAGCCAAGCTCAACCCCTACGTAGTTCATGCACCTGGGCATCCAATCATCAACATCGACATTCAACACTTGACGAGGCGGTGAGTGGAGATGATCGTCGTGAGATGAAACGAGACTTCCCCCTCCATTCCCTTTCCTCAGTCTCTCTCTCTCTTCTTCTCATCCTGTCGTTCCCGGTTGAACGAGTCCTTCTCTCCACAGCTCCAAAAATAGCGGCGTGGCGGATGAGGCAGGTCCCACACGCATCTCGGCCCTGAACATTCTCGACTCTGGACTCTCGACTCTCGACTTCTCCGACTTCTCCGACTTCTCCGACTTCAGCTTCCCCAGAATCTCCCTTTTTCACAACTCTGGTGCACTCTTCACCATGTCCAAAGAGACCTCCGTAGCGTCGGAGCGCAATGCATACGTTGGATCGAGGGTCAAGGAGACCACGTTCCGTGAATGGGTGGTCGCCAATCAAATCGGTATGAATACCCCAACTGTTCCTGACCCAATTCGAGCAGCGAGAAACAGAGTGGAAATCCGCGCTGTGTCGCAGAGAAATGCTGCGCTCATGTTTATACGTACCTCGGCATAAACTAAAGCTAGATTTACGGCTCCGCTAACTCATGTCCAATGGCTTCGCAGGCATTTCCATGACCATCCTGGCTATGTTACTAGCCTTGCACAACCTCTACCCCTCGCTCCGACCCTATACACAGCCTTTCTTCCAATTGTCCTACTACGATGCAGCCTCGAATTCATACGTGCAGGGCTGGGACGATGTCTACTTCGTCTTCAGTGCCGCTGTCGCATTCACCGGTATACGCGCCATTGTTATCGAATGGATTATTCAGCCAATGGCTCGCTCGGCGGGATTGAAACGGAAGCAGGCTGTCCGTGTTGCTGAGCAGGGCTGGAATGCTATGTATTACTCGTTCATCTGGGGCGTGGGAATGGTGCGTTGGTCGATATAATGCTCTTCGAGGTTGTGGTAACTGACTGTTGTTTTGTCGCAGTATCTCTGGAAGAATTCCTACTACTGGGGTGATTTTGCTCCCATCTGGTCCAGGTGGCCTGCGCGTCCTCTCTCCGGGCTGATGAAGTGGTACTTGCTCGTGGAACTTGCATTCCTCGTGCAGCAGATCTTCGTCATCCACGTGGAGGAGAGGCGCAAGGATCACTACCAGATGCTTTCTCACCACATCATTACCAGCGCTCTTTTGAGCTCCGCTTACATTTACGGGTTCTACAATGTATCCAACGTGGTGCTGTGTTTGATGGATGTTGTGGACTTCCTGTTACCGGTATGTTCATCTACAAGTGCTCATTATCAGCTACTAATCATTGGACAGTCGGCGAAAATTCTCAAGTACCTCAAGTTCGAAACAGCCTGCAACATTGGATTTGGTCTGTTCATGACCACTTGGTTCATCACGCGTCACATCATCTACCCAGCCCTTTGCTGGTCCATCTATAAAAATGTCCCGGCGCAAATGTCATACGGCTGCTACTCCGGTTCGACAGCTGAGATGATCTCCGAGAATGGCTACCCGAACTCCTTTGCATACCTGTTCGGACCGTATTTCAACCTGGAGAACCCCATCTGCATGAACCGCACCGTGAAATGGATCTTCTTGTCCCTTTTGCTGACACTGGAGGGCCTATCTATTGTCTGGTTCAGCATGATCGTTCGTGTTGCATACGGTGTTCTCTGCGGCGGTAACGCCGAGGACTCCCGCAGTGACGAGGAGGATGAGGCCGAGGTCGAGGACCAACCCGCATCCCACGTTCCAGTGCACCTTGTTGTCAAGGATGGTGCCACTCCCGACACAATTGCCATCGACGGTGCCCCTGGCCTGGACCGTCGGCGGTCCAACGGAGCCTCGGTACGTGCCCGGGGCCGTGGCCGTGTTCCATTCGACCAGAGTGATCGGAAAGCCCTACTCGGCCGCATTGGATGTGAAAAGCCCACATAGATGCCGTCAACTTTTCCTTTCCATTCCAATTTTTTTTCCTTTCACCAAAATTTGACGAATCCCATTTCGAGTCTTGTTAGCATGCCACGGCCTCTGCCTCTCGGCTCCTCCGCTACGATGTCTGCTTTTCGCCACGGGATGATTAGCCAGAGCCCCCATGAAATGAAGTCCTCGACCCACGATGAACTGCTAGTTGTTTCCGGCATATCGTTTTCAGTCTGCTTGCCGGGTCTTATATCCACCTCGTACTCGTATTTTTTCCATTTCGCATTTCTTTCTTTACGCCGCTTGTCGGCTTGAGCCGGAGGCTTTGTGCTGTGCTTTTCGTTGCCGTGCTGATCTCTTGATCGAACTGAGATTCTGTCTAGAGCTTCACACAATAATACCCAATGAAAGCCTTTGACTTTGTATGTATGATATAGAGACCACTGTCCATATCGGATCACTAGTACCCAGTGGGAACAAGAACAAGAACGCGAACCAGTCATGTATATCTCCAACTATCAAAAAACATAAAAACATACCCCCTAAGCGGCGGCTCAACATTCGAAGCATGCCGAAACAACAAAGTATTAAGCGGTCCAACAACATCCCCAATAACCTCTGTTCCCAAAAACTCGTCCAACCCAAGCCCAGGGGCAAGAGACATCCCACAAACACCCCCAAGGTCAATCCTATCCAACCGCCCAGGCCCCTCATGCTCCAAAGCATCAACAAAAAGCGCAAACACCAACGGATGAACAAGCACAGAAGAATGCGAATAATACCCTCCCCCAACCATCCCCTGACAAGCAACCTGAACCTGAACATTCTCAACCCCAACCCCCCTCTCATCCTCCAAAAACGCTGATGCCCCCATTCCCCCACTCTGCGGCTGCACAATGGCATCGTAACCCGAATACACACTCGTCGTAGGCACATACGCCGAATCACCACCACCTCCTCTCAGAGCCTTCACAAACATGGTCTCATACCCCTGCTGCGAAATCGCAGGCGTGCAAAACGGAGACGGAAGATCACACAGGATATCCATGACAGTCCCGTGAAAATCAGCACTGACAGCCATGAAATCACTAACTGCGGCCCGTGTCGACGGCCAGTATTTCAATGCCCATTGCACGTCGATTCCACCCTGAGACCAGGATAGCACGCCGATGGTGCGGTTGCATATTGAGGATAGGTAGTTGATCGCGTATGCTACGTACTCTGCGTTTGTTTGGATGTCGTCTAGCGAATCGCCGGGTATATTCACCCAGACTGGATCTGTGAATGCGTATTCTGTGAATAGCTTCGTGTAGCTGAAGTAGTAGGTGCTCCCTGCTGGATCTGCTGTTCCTGGTATGAAGAGGATTGGGGTTTTGTTTGTTTTGCCGTACGTGAATGTTTCTGGGATGTGGATTGCGGAGCGTAGGTTTGTTTCTGGGACTGAGTATGGGGCGTCGGTTGGGTGGTTTGTTGGGTAGATTGGGGGCTTTGGGGCTTTGGGGTTTGTGTTCGTTATTGAGTTTATTCGTTTGTTCGTTATTCCCCAGAGGATGTCGAGGATGTTTGATGGGATTAGGTTGTTGCGTGCTAGGGTTAGGGCACGTTGGAGGGGGTTTACGTTGGTTTGGAGGGTTGAGAGGGTGGTTAGTGCTTCGGCTATGCTTTGGACTGGTGTTGTTCTGCCTAGGGCGATGTCATATATTCGGGATTTGAGTTCGAATAGGTCTTTGGTTATGTTTTGGTCGAGGTAGAGTTGATTTGTGGTGTCGAATAGCTTGGTGAGAATGCTTGGGACGTTGACGTGGTCTGATATTGTATATACTGGTACTGGACTTCCCAGGACCGGTGATGTACAGAGGATAAAGTGGATTGCTGAATGGCAGCGCATTGTGATAGACCACGTGGGCTTTAGTATGTTCAAGTTAGGGCTGACACGCTCACGAGAAGATTCCCACGGCGCAGCCTGGTCAATACTGTCAATTTATGACAAACAGATTGTCATTATTAAACTCAATAATCATTCATAGTGATATGCGGTGGCTAATAGGGTCTGAGGTTCGATCCATCGTTTGGAATAAGGTTGTCTAATCACGCCAATTGAGTTATCATGAACCCTTTTTTGTTGAAGCTTCCTTCCCATGTTCTAAAGCTAAAAAATTTCAGTATATACTATCTACCTCAAGGATGAGGTGCGTACGGGAGTAGTATCAAACTGAGACTGTTTAAATCTGGGGGTAGCACCGCATATATATCGGAAGCAAAGAACAGGGAAGAAACCAGAAAAAAGACTCAAAATGATTTCAGTGCCGTCACCAACGCCGCAGCCAAGCCCACATGCCCTCAATGCGTCGGACTTATCTCGTCATGCTCGGCCGTCGCAATAACATCCGAACCATGGACTTTCTTTTGTGTAGCCCGACAGACATGAGAATCACTCCGCAGAGTGTCCTCTAAAGGGTCTTCTGCAACCTCATCCTGAACAATAGAATGAACCTTGAGGCCATTAAGCACACCAACCCTCCAAATAACAAGCCAAGACGGAACGATACAAACCACAAAAACGCTCATATTGACCGCAACGGCTCCGGATAGAGGAAATTGGTCCTGATTGATTGAATTGGTGCCGTAAGAGATTGCCTGCCCTGCACTTTCGATGCCTCGTATCACTGCGCTTAGCCGAACCACTTCCCCGCCACTCTTATTGATCGTTCCGACGAGCCAGTAGAGGTAGTCGTACATGAGGTTGAATCCCACTAGCATGAGGATGTAGACGCATGCCGATCTTCCGAAACCATCATCTGTCCAGTCAAACGAAGGTTTTGTGTCTCGGTTCTCGTACTGTTTTGTGATGACCATTGCATAGAGGTAGAGTGATAGCTCGAATGCATAAATCAGAATAAAAGCGACTATTGCTTGCGTATTGACACTGGGTCTCCTCCAGTCTAGGAAGAACCCTAGAGAGGAGTTCGCGAATATAACCCCAGTACCGGCAACAAGTGAGGCCAAGGCTCGTGCTCGGACGGTGAATTAGAAAGCCTGAGAGAACACACTTTGGATGACCATCGGAACCAAGAGCAGAACTTCCTTCCGACAAAGAAGGTTGCCCATTTCTCTAAGCTCCTTCGAAAGGCTGGAAGGAAGATTCACCACAACGGGGTCTAGTCTGATCGTTGCACCTTGGCAGGAGGCGAGAGCCAAGACGCCACAAAGGGCTCAATAGCCTGAATAGCAATGAAAACAAGATAATTTCAATACTGATATGACCCTTCTCTTTTCTATGCGCATTGACACCAGGGGTCACTGCAACCCCAATCGTCTGGACAACAATCCGACTAGCAAGCCAGTAAGCGAGATACTTGCCACGCTTTTGCTTCTCGGGATAAGCCAGCACAATAGCGCCCTCGGTAAGCCAGAATATTCCAGAAGATGCACCCTGTATGACACAAGGCCAACATCACATACCACTTATTGTCGAACTTGATGTTGCAGTATACACTGGAAGCATAGACCGGGAAGACAAGCATTCCTGCTGCATTTCAGCCCTATCCTTGAGATCAGTGGGGGTGCCGAATATGCACACCAGCACTTGTAGACAGAAGACGACTGAATTCGCGGCGTTGATGTAGGTAGGATCGGCGGCTCCCGCTCCATCCAGCCCGTTCATTGCGGCCCATAATCCTGGTGCGATGAAGGCGCATAGTGATACAATGGTGATGTTGAAAAATATGCTGCGGTACCACTCGTTGGTGATGAACATTGTGGGAAATTGTTCCGCTTTCCATGTTTCGGACTTTTTTGTTCAAGAATTAGATATACATGTAGAACACACTCTACAGTGTGGAGAAGTAATTCCTTGTTTTTATAGCCCGCGGTTTCCCCGCGTAACCCTGCATTCCCCCATGGGGTATTTCTTTGTCGGGTGTCTGGTCCCTATCAAATACACAACTGTGCATGAATGCAGAGGCTGTTGCATTCCTTTAAGTTCTTGTTGCTTGCTGGGTTTTGCGAGCAACTGAAGGTGGCATAGATCAAGAAGGGCGTCAGGTAGATCTATTTCTACATACATAGTAGTCCCCTCACAAAATCCGCCTTAGCGTTTATTGACCGTAATTGGGAATGTGGGCTCAGACCTTGTATGGGATTTAAGATCTATATTGATATATTTTATAAGGGCAGAAGCGAAAGCCATTCTAGTTCGTCAATGCACTTATGATCCGCTTGCCTCAATGTCTTTTCCGATTATTTTAACTTTCAGCAAGCTGCTGAGGTCTGCCTGAGGAACCAATATCATCCAGTAAACCCATCTTAAGAGCGAGGGGAAAATTCAGTGTCATGAAAAGTGATGGGGAAATCCCAGAGATAGGACCAACTGGCCAATTACTTTTGAACCACCATCTATAACCAGCAACCAGCAAGAAGAGCAGTCGAATGCCAATATATAACGGGATAAATGATTGGAAATGACATGGGTCCCCAAAGATGGTGAACCCTGAACAAAGAGCAGCAGAATGTTAAACGCAAAGCTGGCCCAGTAGATCCCAATATGACCAGGGCCTTAAATGGGAATTCCTTAAGGTTGATACAGTGGGTGCTGCGAAAAACAAGCCTTGACGGTGCGTTGGCCCGGCCCATATTTATCCCCTATCTTATTTCCGCATACCTGTAAATAGAAAGAAATAATACAGGAGCTACCCAGTACTGAAATACCAGTTTTGGCCCCCGATTTGGCCCGCAATTGCAGCCGCTATGTCGTGATGAGCGGCACAGCCTATAAGAAAAAGCCCCACAAAGCTGTCTGTGTCTATGGCAAAGAGTCTGTGTCCATGTTGTTAGCTGTACGTCGATCGAATTCTAGGCAGATTGATGGATCCACTAGGTTGGGGCGGCCCTGCCCAGATGGAATCCATCCTCGGGCGCCACCTGGGCATATCAATAGATGGTTTGTCTAATACGGCTGGCTATCCACGTGGTGCATGGATGCCCTAAGAACTACCTCCTGATCATTTGTGAACACGTATCCCCCTGCTTCCTTCTTTTCTTCTTCATTTTCCTCTTAAGGGAATTTATTTGATAAGAACGAAATACGAATAACAAGTCCATCACAATGATCGTTACATATATGGTGTCTGCTGGGAATCAGCCTAGCTCTTATGGCCTTTTCCCATGCTAACCCCGCCATCCCCGAATACGGCGTTGGCTTTGAATTGACTCTCGACTATGGGTAAGAACAACCAGACACTAGGAAATCTTTTTTTCCAGCCTAGAGTAACTGTTGAATTGCCAAACAGCGTTGCGAGTATTTATTATTCTAACGTTCCAATGTCAATGTCGCCAAGATTGAAGGAAGCCCCGATTATAAACAACTGATGCGTACAGCGCATGCCAAGGATGATAATACCTTTATCGGTCATGCCCAGATTATAGATACACAGGCACTAGGTGGATTACAGTCATTCCGTGGCTATCTGCCACCTTGGTTAGGTGGCCATAACCAAACCTATGAATCTCTATCTCTATCACCAATGCTGAAGGCGTTGAAGACAGCTAGCGAGGCCTACGTGAAAGCTTCAACTTCAACTGTTCAAATCGCTATCCCATTTCCTGCCAGCCATGCAGTTTTCGACATCTTTCACTCGACTCTCAAGACCTTATCCGTCCACATGCACTCGAGTACTGCATCGCTTACATCTACGGGCTTGCTGGCAGGACTGTATTCATATGGGATTGGCCCTGGACAGTGTTTCACCTCCCCATCGGACCCATCAAAGCTGTTCCTCACTGTTGAATATACCCGTTCTGCGTTGACTGCCCTCGTGGTCTTCGAAGATTGCGGTGTGTATGACGTCGAGCGTATATTGCATGAGACAGAACTTGGTGCAGATAATCTGTCAAGAACCGTTCTCGGCTCACCAGGTCAAGCTTGAAAAAGCTCTTCGGGACTTGACCAGACTGCCCTTAACGGTCGATGGTGAGACGATGGAGTCCTTTAGCTATGTGCTATTACTGGGTGAATCAGCGGGTGACCCGCTTCTACGTGACGCGCTCAAAGACTTTTTGGGCAAGCACCGGCAGTCCGATAATCTTCTCGCTGCAGCAGTTGATAGACTCAAATGGACAATTGATCCAGTGTTTGCCGGTGCCACTAGCGCCGCACGTCGCGATTTGGAACAAGCGACTAACTCTGCTCTTAACCCTGATAACCTGTGTCAGGCCCCGGTTTGAATCGGCCAGCCGAGGTGGATGCTTATATGTAGAGAATTCATTCTTTCTTTTGGTCACCTTGCACAACAATCATGAGATATGGAGACAATAGAGTAGTGTTGGGGTGTTCGGAGGTAGGTACCCAGCACATCTCACTAAGCATTCACTAAGCATCAGTCACTCTACATGTGACTGTAAGCACGATCCCTGAGTCTGCCCAGGTGAGCCCGTGCTGACATCTAATTACTTAGTGAGCCTAAGCCTAAGCGCCTTCATAAAAGTGGCGGCAGCCTAGATAGGAAAGATCCCATCCGGTAGGCATGATCCTATCCATATAGGCGCTTATCTACATAACTCACATCGCTGCTTTTTCATATTTATGCAACTCGACTATACTCGAGTAGGCTTGGCTGTCACATGGCCAAGTTACATCCAGGTTCAGCATGGATTTCCGTGTCCACACCTCGCGAAGGCCACCCTCTTTACCAGGGACTGGTGCAAGCTTGCCTAAAGGTATCTCAGATGCTGTGTTGAGCCGCACTAGGTGGACCAAACCAGTTGCCAAGAAACCACAGCCTTGCCTCCAGCACACTAGCCTCCGGCGTGCACCCGATCGCCCCTTCAAAATGTCTATCGTGGCATGTAGAGATTGGCTGTTGATGCAAGTACAAATCCTTTTTGGTCAGATGCGGAAATAGAGATAAAGCGGGGTATTCTTTGCTTTTTCAACCTTTCCAGGTAAGCAGTCGTGTATTCTCAAGATTGGTGGATTCTTTGCTTTAGTTCACAGATTGACCCTTGGAGCTATCAATCAGCCTCACTAGGCAATCGGGGGGAACTGGGATGGACGAACAATGTGGAATAAGGCAATGCCCTACAGAGGGTTGGGGCTTAGCAGCGGCGGTTCAGCCCAAATGTTTAAGTATAATGTTCGAAACTAGTAGTTTTCTCTTTGACTCTACCATTGTCTATCTTATAGCCTGGTTGACTGACACACGTGGGTGAAATTGAACTTTTTTCACTTTATTTATGATTCCCAGCGACCTTTATGCCTCTCTGACCGTTCTAAAGACCGCGCAAGCACGAGCTGGCAAAAATGGCGGAGGTTCTCGCAGTGGCGAGTTTTGCCTACCCTATTGTTAAAGACCTCTCTAAGCTTGTGAAAAAGTTAAAAAGTCTCTATAAGCAAATCCGCAATGCGAAAAAAGATCTATCCAGTGTGATCAAAAGAACGATATCAGTGGCCCAAACGTACGACTTTTTCGGGGACTCCATTAATATTGCGAGGAACATTCCAGAGCTAGAGCCCATGTTCAACCGACATCAACAGCTCATGGGGAGTATTGATGAGGAATCAAAACGAACCATTGGAAGGCTGAAGCATATTACCGGCAAGTTTCGCTCTCTGATAGATAATGAACCTGTCAGTACGGTCGAAAGATGGATCGCACAGTATGAATGGTCTAGAGAGAGCAAGAAAACTGTCCCCTCTCTTTTCCAAGATATGGAGGTACTAGAGAGGTCTATGAGAACAATCGGAACCCTGGTGCATATTCAGTTGCTTTGCGAAACCCACCGAAGGAATGGATCAAATGTAGTCTTGGCACAATTGTAAATCTCAAATATTCCCCAAATTGATAGATGACGTGAAGTTCTATACTGATTATTTGCTGGCAGTGAATCTTTCAAAAAAATGCTGAAAATCGAACTCGACAAGCTTAAGCAAGCTCAATGGGTCCAAAGGAGGCTCCTGATGCAGCAGCAAATATCGCCGAGTCAACATCTCGAGGCCGAAGAATTTGCCCAAAAAATAATGCAGATTTTGGCAAAGGAGATTCCTCGACTAAAATTTCACCAGCCCGCTGAGAGCCAGTCCACGTCTGAATCGCGGTCGCCACCAAGCTCACCGATATCAAACGAGCCTTCGCCCATTACAACCGCCTCACCCTACCCCCCTAGCAACTCTGGGAGCCAGATATCTGTCATCAACCAGCAGCAGGACGAGGATGTATCATCACCCAGGAGGCGGATTTCGCGGAAAAGAAGAACTCAGTCAGCCCCATCAGTGAGTACAACAGTCCAGAAAATTTCCCAGGCGCATACTAATGGTATAGTAGCGAATCCCTTCGAGACCGTTGGCCCCTTCGCTGTTTTCAAGTGACGGAGAATCTGACAACCATGATGGTCGAGGCGCTGAACCAGAAATGCACAATCAAAACGCAGGTCAAGATCAGGGAGGCGCATATATGCAGATGCCACCTTTTGGACCACCAAAACTGGTTTCTCGCACGACCGTTAGACGGCCCTCTCCTGATCGTCCCGATTCATCCAGCGATGCATTTGACCAGCAACGGACAATACATCGTGGTGGCTCACATCCAGCGCGAAGAAGGCGGAACGGAAGCAAAATATCTGAATATGGCGATGAAGGTGAGGTAACTGCTACTCATAGAACGGGCAGTATTGGGCTGCCATCAGGGAGGTGGAAAGGAAAATCTAGGCTGGATCAGTAAATAAATGTTGAGCCATGAAGTGGGGATAAGCTTCTGCGTCAAGTGTCTGCCTCATTGTCGATAAACTGGACTAGAGATCCAAAAGCAAAAGCCCCTTCATATACTTAGACACAACATTAGTTGACTGTGCCTCTACACTACCTATCTAATGACGTGATGTTTAAAAAGACGTTCGCCGGTGATTAGCGCTCCAACGCATTTCTATTTAGAGGACCGAGAGGCAAAGCCGTAGTACCTAAGGCGTCGGACCTCTTTAACACTCTCCTCGAAATTGGCGGGAATCGCAACATTCACACCTCCAGCTAATCTTGGTTTAGGCACTTCTCCTTGTGGTAACGAAGGTCGCTCGGCACTTAATTTACCGTCACCTAGCGTTGTGGTGTAGCCTATATATCGTTTCGACGAGGAATTAGGGTAAATGAAAGGGTGTAAAGATGTGTTTTCAAGATCTACCAATAACACGGCCACCTCATATACTCAAGACCGAGAGAAGGCTGCGAGAAAAAAGAAATTTGGCTGACTTGATCATGTCAATAAAGCGAAATATGGAATAACAATTGGATAGCATAAAGAAACAAAAATACCATCAAAGGCTAAAAGAACAGAGACGTGCACAAAGACGCAATTTCTTGGTCGGAAATCATGCATATCCATCGAAGGCTTACGCATCATAGTGATCAGGATAACTGCCGAACATAAACTACGTTATCCCTACATATTAGATAGGGTATCGTGAAAGGTAGGTTCCTACTGTCTATTTTACCATTACGGCATGAATCCTCTAAGTGAACAATCGTGAGATCCCGATAGTGGATTTGAAAGTTGGGTTCTGAAGCCCATTAATTTGTGGTGACTGGTAGTGACTGGTTTCGTTCAAAACAAAAGCAGAAAGAGGCAAGCTCTCGGGTTGACGCGGTGTATCGACACGAAGAATGGCAAAAGGGTGGGGTATGGAACCTCAATATCTCCCCCTTGCTGTAGCTGCAAAGCACTACTTCTTCTTCGGCAAGATATCCACAAACACGTGTCCGAGAGGTCCTGCCTCTGAACTCCATCCCCCATGCTCGATTCTATACTTGTCGTTATTGTCCAACACCTCGACCAAGTTGACGTACTTTCCTCCTCTGTTTTCCCAATGAAGCTCACAAATCTTGGAGTCGTCATGAAACAAGTCGAGACGGCCCTCGCTGCCCCGACGGCTCTGGGCACCGATCTCGCCGACGCCATCGGAAGGGATCACAATTTCGTCGATCTCCTCTTCAGTGAGGGACTTGCGGCGATCATTGACATCGTAGAACTCACCGCTACCATATATTAGAGATATATTGAGTACCAGGAAACAACAAATACCCTTCAATGACAGTGTTCTGAACCAGAACGTCGCCCTTGTCTAGGTGGCCCCGAATATGGAACGAGACCCACTGAGAATTGTAGTTGTTCATGTTGAAAATTTGAGTAGAAGATAGATAAAATTGAAACTAAGCACAAAAAGAGGAGGTTCGGAGGTTCTTATATCTCCGCACGATTTGTAGTGATGTAATCCATTTTACCAAATCGGATGCTGTGGTGACAATCGTATGATGCCATTGGCTAACCAATTCCACCCATGGCTGGGTCAACTTTGCGGGGAAACAAGAAGTGGGGTTTCTATTGCTTTGTCGGGTTCAGATGAGATGTAAAATGTAGAAAGAAAACACAATGTTACAAGCGGGTGAAAAATATTAACTTAACATTATTATGCTGGCTTAATATGGACGATTGAGATAACTAGTTCTTACCGACATTGTGGGCCTTAGCATTATACTGCTTTCTACTGCCGCCGTTCACATTGTTCGTCTATATTCCCACTTCCACTGATCGTCCAATTGTCCTGCGAACCAACAATCAGTTGGACAAACTTCACCAATAGAGAGAGTACCTTGGACAACTTACCCGGTGTGCCGAAATTGCCAGATCCAAGCTTGGTGTGTGCGAGTGCCGAGCACCTTGTTGTGTCGCCGGGCTCCCACTAGCCCAGAGGCCGATCTAACATACCTGAAGCAATAATGGGGGCTCGTCAGGAACACTGACGATAGACTGATGTAGAATTGACCAGGGTTGATGAAAATGCACGAAGTAGAGCAACAAAATTTCCAGTGACCAGCTCAGTCCAAGACCGTCGGATTTGCCTGACAGGGGTAAAGTCGGCGCTGGCGTGTGGCACCCCAAGCTTGAAATTTGACTAGTGGTTTCCCACTAAGGAGTTATGGATACCTCAGCTCTCAACCAGCTTCATCTCTAAGTCTCGCAAGCGCGGCTATGATGCCTTCACTCATCTCTTCAGGTTGCACACCAGGCGGGCGAGCCTCACTAGACTGCCCGGCCTCAGCTGCAATCTTCCTACTTTCAGCCATCACCGCACGGAGAATTGCTTCCTCCTCATCTTCGTCTATCTCGTGATCAGGTGAATCATTAAAAGGTGCTGGAGCTGGAACTGGTTTTGGCCGAGTTGGCACGGCAGGAGCAGCAGCCTTCTTCGTATTCTCAACCCTGAAGTCTTCTCGAACTGCATTGCACCATTGCTGAACCTTTTTCTCTCCCCATCCTGGTACAGCACTGATCTGCTCCGGCTGTGCATTGATAGCATTCTGCAAGCTCCCAAATGTAGAAATCAGACTGGCCGCATCGGACTTGTTGATACTTCTGGGTATCGTGACAAACTCCACTAGTGATTCCTTGTAGGATTGCGCTTGTTGGGTTCGGATTGCCGTGGGCGGTGCGTTCTCCGAGGACTTGAAAAGTTCTAGATAATGGGCGGCTTCTGGGGCAGACCAGCATAATATCAATGTCAAGTTGTTGATTATGGATGTTTTCGATAGTTCGCGGAGACTATCCTCGTGGTTTGGAATGTCGACCATGACAAGGACGAGGCGGAGGTTGTATTTGCCGGCTAACTGTCTCACTCGGGAGTAGATGTATTCTGGGTGTAGGCGGTGGTATTTCAAGGACAGAAATAGTGCGCAGGTTGTAGTGCCGACTACATAGTCAGCGGGAATGTCGGCATATTCCCATGGTAGAAGCTTGATGTGTGTCAGGATAGGATTGCCTTTTTGTCGCGTGGATACAAGGATCGCGGAAGTGCCTGGTCTGTTTGCAAGAGCTTGCGGTTTTGGCTGCTGGACTTTCTGTCTGGTTGCACCTGGAGCGGGGGAGTTGGAAGGCCGAGAAGGCAGGGTATTGTCTGTTGGGTCCATCTCAGCGACCACGACAGTGTTGGTAATGGTAGCGTAGTAAATGGCAAGTTGATAAAGCTATCCTTATCGGACCGTGGACCCACACCGCCCGGTCAAGCCTTCCTAATTTTCTGCCGCCAATTTTTTTGTTCTTCTTCACCAAAGAAAAAGTTCAGTCGCAACCAACACATTATGGTTGAATCACACAAGAAACGCCGCCTCTCGGGCGCAGACATCACTGAGGATGCCGAAGTCAAAATTGAAGACACCACAACCACCACCGACGTCCCAGCACAACCCCAAGCCAAGCGGACTCTTTTCGTCCGCTCACTACCCGCCTCGGCCACCACAGAAAGCCTCGCAGAACACTTCTCGCAGTCCTACGTGATCAAGCATGCCGTAGTGGTCAGCGACCCCAAGACCAAGGTCTCCAAGGGTTTCGGTTTCGTCACATTCGCCGATCTCGAGGATGCAGAGAATGCTCTGAAGGAATTGAACGGATCTAAGTTCGATGGAAAGATAATTCGTGTCGACTACGCCGAGCCACGTAAGCGTGAGATTGATGAGAAAGTTGGCCGCAGTGTTCCCACCGCTGCGTCTCTCGAATCGAAGCACAAGCGAGAGGAGGAGAGAGGACAGGGCGCACCGCCTAAGCTGATTGTTCGCAACTTGCCGTGGACTATTAAGGAACCCGAGGATCTCTCGGTTCTGTTCCGCAGCTTCGGAAAGGTCAAGCACGCCACTCTTCCCAAGAAGAACGGCAAGCTTGCTGGTTTTGGTTTCGTCATTCTGCGCGGCCGGAAAAACGCCGAGAAGGCGCTTCAGAATGTCAACGGAAAGGAGATTGATGGCCGTACATTGGCTGTCGATTGGGCTGTTGAGAAGGATGTGTGGGAGACTACCAAGAAGGAGGACGAGGAGGAGGAACCGAAGGAGGAGAAGGAGGATGTCGAGATGGAGGATGCCGACGGTCACCTGGAAGAGCCCTCAGACGATGAGACCTCTTCTGACGGATCAGATGAGGAGGAGGACAACGATCTGGATGAGTTGGACGAATTGGACGAGGACGCAGAAGACCAGGACGACGACCGCAATAACTCTACCATCTTCCTCCGCAACCTGCCCTTCACCGCTACAGACGATTCTCTCTACGAACACTTCACCCAATTCGGTCCCCTACGGTACGCACGCGTGGTCCTGGATCACGAGACCGAGCGCCCTCGAGGCACCGGATTCGTATGCTTCTGGAAGGTCGACGACGCAAACACATGTATTCGCGAAGCCCCCCGAGGAAACGATGTCATGGCCCCGAACAAGGACAAGCCAAAGGCCAACACTGCCATGAAGCACTCAGTCCTCCAAGATGAAAACACCGACCCCAGCGGACGCTACACTCTCGAAGGCCGAGTCCTTCAAGTCGCCCGTGCCGTCAGCAAGGGCCAAGCCGCAAAGCTGGAAGAGGAGGGTGTATCACGCCGTCTAGTTCGCGACACAGACAAGCGCCGCCTCTACCTTCTCGGCGAAGGTACAATCCCAACCAACTCCCCGCTGTACAAGAAGCTCTCCCCCTCCGAAATCAAGATGCGCGAGGATAGTTTCAAGCAGCGTGAGACCTTCATCAAGAAGAACCCCGCCCTCCACCTCAGTCTGACCCGTCTCGCCATCCGTAACATCCCCCGTCACATTAACTCCAAGGACTTGAAGCAGCTTGCCCGAGAGTCCGTCGTCAACTTCGCCAAGGACGTCAAGAAGGGCGTCCGCCAGCCCCTCTCAAGAGAGGAGCAGCAGCGCTCTCGCGATACCATGAAGGAACTCGAGCAACTGCGTAAGCAGAAGAAGATGGGTATCGTCCGCCAGGCCAAGGTCGTCTTCGAAACCCGCGAGGGTACCAAGGTCTCCGAGAAGAGCGGTGGTGGCCGCAGTCGTGGATACGGATTCATCGAGTACTTCACTCACCGACACGCGCTCATGGGTCTGCGCTGGTTAAACTGCCACGCTATTCAAGTGCCTCCATCCGTGCAGGACGAGGACAAGGACAAGAAGAAGCGTCTTGTTGTCGAGTTCGCCATTGAGAACGCGCAGGTTGTCAAGCGCCGCAATGAGCTGCAGGCTAAATCTCGCGAACCGAAACCCAAGAAGTCTGACGATGCCGGCGACGAGAAAGACTCAGACAAGCACGGAAAGAAGAGGAAGCGCTCCGAGAGCCGCGGTAAAGGGAAGGACGGCAAGGGAGGAAATGGAAAGGCTGCGGACGACGACAAGGACGATGAAGAAGAGAACAAGCTCGCCAAGCGCAACCGCATCATCTCGAAGAAGCGCATGCAACGCAAGTCCCGCAAGGGGAAATGAAGGAGGCTTGAGTGATTTTATTTTTACTGTATAGGCATTATTTATCCTAGAGGGAAGATCTGTTGTACCTACGCGATACCACCATTCCAAAAATGAAAAGCATTTGTGATTTCAAAAATGATCCTGGACTGAGTCCGTTGCACTGGGTATATTTCGTACACTCGATCCATGCGATGCCTTCGACGTATATAGAATGTAGATGGCAAACTAATCATACTACCTCATGACATTTCAGTTGTTCTTTGCGCCCTCGACCTTGCCGACGATGTTATACCGCTTGCTGAAGAAGGTGAACCACTCGTTCAGCGTGGTCTTCTCCTTGTCTGCCAAATCGTACCATTCGGGGACGCAGTCTTCGGGCTTGAGAGAGGAGCAAGCGAGCGCGCGGGAGGGGTCCTTGCCTGCGAAGACTATACATAGGAGGAATGTATCAGTGGGCTGTTCTAATTGACGCTACAACAAAGTCAAGGACGGAACACTTACCGCGATATTGACCAGACTGTCCATAAGCCGAGTTTCGGGTCACGTCGAACACAACACCCTTGATAGCAACCAGCGTCGGGCGGCTAGGATCGGAACCTGTTTGCAGGGTCAGTAAACTTTTAAGATGCGTTGAATTGACAGCATTGATCATAGCTGTTCGGATTGGCGGGAAAGTGTCTTTGTGAGGGGCAATGCCGTACCGTCGCATTTGGCCAATTCCTCTTGGGAAATAGGGTCGTCCTTTGGCGGGTCGAGCTGGACAGGCACCTTAGGTTCGAAGCGCTTAGTTTGTTTCTCTTCAGTCATTGTGGCGTGTGTTGGAAAGGAAGAGAAAGAAGTTGGGGTTTGGCGGGGTTCCCGAGGTTGGGATTTGCTTACTATCGGCTCGCTGATTTGATCAGGAGGAAATGGAGCAAGTTATAAAAATGCTCTCTGTCTGTGTTCATGTTAAACTTAGTATATTGATATGTTATATGCTATTTTTTATTTTGACATAATTTCATCTCAGTTTTGTATGTGCGTTGGAAATACGTTCGAGGTTTTCCAAATATGTACTGTACTTTCAGCCTAATCTTTATCCATGCATATATAAAATGATTCAAGCTAAGACACGTTATCTCCATATCGAGACTTCCCTGGCCACTGATACACCCTCAAGTTATCACCTTTTACTTCGCATCCGACTACTTGTTCAGGAGTATAGATACGTACCTAGTACTCACGTACCTCGACTTCTCTTTTTTACCCCATCTGGTTAGAGAAGCAATAAGCTATAGCATAGAGTTTGGTAGAGTTCCGAGCGGAACCCCTAAACATAACATCCCCTCATGACGTATAGATGTTGAAGGTTGAGGGCGACTGCAAGCATCCGAAAGAAGAACATCAGATGACTGTGGCGAGTGCACAGAACTCCAACTACAACGTCAACATCAACTTTGTGAAATCTTGTCATAAACCCTTTCAAGATCTACCAAACAGAACATTATCAATATGTTCTCCAACTCTCCCCATCCGAGCTCTGACAGACCTATCACACAGGCTGACCCGGGCCAACGTCGGGACTCCACAGACTCGGATGTGATCCACCACCTCTATTTCGAAGACAACGATAGTTTCTTCCCACCTAGTTGGTTGGGTAAAGAGTCAGAACAACGCAGACCATCGAATGAGAGCACAGAAAGCAAGGACTCCCAAGATAGGGAGAGGAACGCTGTCCACTGAGCCCAGAACATATTTCAGCCCGAGATGGAATGCTGTGGCGTTTGATATGTTTTTCGCGTTCGAATATTAGGTAGTCTACATGTATTTCTCATGCCAGGTCTTGTCTATAATGTATACACTGGGTCTACTCCATACAGTCGGAGGTTCTCCATTCTCCGTGGACCTCGGCAAGTCTCCCTTGTCTCCACACGGCTCACGAGAAGACTTATATCCCCTGTCCCTTATCCCCAACCATAAGCCACCAGTCTAAGCATATCTTGTTCTCGCATGCTGTAAGCAAATTTGACAGGAACTCAAATCGGGGTCACCGATGCCGATCAGGACTAAGATACCGCAGCCAAGTGTGCTCAACCCCTTGCCCCTCCCCTAGTGGGGGACCCACGACGAGGCCCGGGGGATGTGATTTGCCGTGACTGTCTAGTTCGGACTATGCCGATTGAACTTTAGAGATTTTCCAGGAAAATACTACTCACCTGGGCAAAAATTTTTTCAATCATTCCTCTCGGTTAATCTTTCTCGCTTTCATTCCTATCTCTACTCTGTCCTTGCATTATTTATGCACCTGTCTCGCTCTTCCTAGGTGGCAGAATCACCGACAACATGCATTCAGACCAGGAGCATGTGCCGCATACACCCACGGCGGCTGCCATTCAGAGCGCAGAGCCTGCCCGCATCGCTGATCCCGAATCCAAATCGACCAAATTCTTCGACAAGACCGAAGTCACTGAGAAAGACTCACTAGACAACCGCGCGCAATCTGTCGGTAGTGGCTCTATGAAGTCGTCGCATGACCATACCCGTCGCAAGCTCAAACCTCGCCATGTACAATTGATCGGTATTGGAGGCACAATCGGTACGGCGTTGTACGTTCAGATTGGATCAAATTTGCGTACCAGTGGTCCTGCCAGTTTGTTTATTGGATTTAGTCTATGGTGAGTGCCATTCCCTTTAAAACATTCAGTTGACTGTTTTGGGTTCTCGACTTCGACTTGGGTTGTCCAGCCATTGTTCAAGATTGAACTTAAGGTGTCATGTTTGAAGTAAGTATGGGGATGCGAATGTCAAACCCCAATACATCAACAAAGAAGAAAGACAAGAACAACCAAACAAACACAGAGAGAGAAGAAGAAGACTCTACCAGCATACAAACATCAATTATTCTCCAGATTCCATGGATGTAAAACTGTTAGGCCAAGGCACATCCGTGTCGAACAGTATATCAGAAATCGACCAAACCCGCCGTTAGCCCTAAGCCCCTGCAACAAGTCGGAAGCCTTGAACCCAACCAGTCCTGATTGACCTTCATTTGCATCCTCTCGGACCCTTGAAATCTTATACTATTCTCTAGGAGTTGTGTGATTCTGATTATCACCGTTTGTACGAACCCCTTCTTCAAAGCCCTTTGCATCATTCCGGCAGCTCTTCCCATGCATCCAGCCGTATATCAAATCATATTCCAAATGCGCCATTGGTTCGGTCCTGCCCTTGCATCGATCGCCCGATTGCTCCAACATTTCCCCCAACCTTGCTAGATCTGTAGATACCCATACTCACTATACTTTTAGGCTTGGCTGAAATGGTCACATACCTACCCATCTCCTCACCTTTTATCCGATTCGCCGGCCGCTACGTCGACGAGGCATTGGGAGTCGCAGCCGGATACAACTTCTTCATTTTCGAAGCTGCATTGGTCCCATTCGAAATTGTCGCCGTCAGCCTAATCGTGCGATACTGGACAAACGTGATCCCAGTCGCAGCAATGAACGTCATAGTCCTAGTGCTCTATGGGTGCGTCTTTCCCCCATCCATCATCCACCATTCGCCATGAAACAAGTCAACTAACAACCCCACCAGAGCCCTAAACCTCTTCGCAGTAAAATGGTACGGCGAAGCCGAATTCTGGCTCTCCCTCGGCAAAGTCCTCCTCAGCATCGGCCTGATCTTCTACACATTCATCGTCATGCTAGGCGGTAACCCTCTCGGCGACAGATTCGGCTTCCGATACTGGAACGAGCCAGGCGCTTTTGCCGAGTACTACAAAACAGGCGATACGGGTCGCTTCCTCGGTGTGCTGTCGGCACTCATCGCAGCGAGTTTCACTATCGCCGGTCCGGACTACGTCTCCATGGCTGCGGGTGAAACAATGAACCCTCGCAAAGTCCTGCCCAAGGCTTTCAACGGTGTCTTCTATCGTCTTACGGCTTTCTTCGTGCTGGGTGTTCTGTGCATTGGTATTCTCGTGCCATACAACGATAAGACTATGGCGGATGCATTTGACAATGATCAACCCGGTGCTGCGGCTTCGCCGTATGTCATCTCCATGGACCGGTTGAATATTCCTGTCTTGCCTGATATTGTTAATGCGGTCGTTCTTACGGCTTCGTTCAGTGCGGGGAATAGTTATATGTACTGTGCTAGTCGCAGTCTTTACGGCTTGGCGTTGGAAGGAAAGGCTCCTAAGTTTCTGACCAAGTGCACGAGCCGGGGTGTGCCTGTCTACTGTGTTGCAATTGTTCTTGTCATTGCTCTGCTCAGTTTTTTGCAGGTTTCTAACAGTGCCGCTGTTGTGCTGAACTGGTTCGTTAATCTGGTAAGCATCAATCCTATCTCTCTAGCCTGTCCCATCTAACGAAAAATCACAGGTGACGGCTTCCCAACTCATCAATTTCTCTGTCGTGACATTCACCTATATCCGCTTCAAAAAGGCTGTGGAAGCACAGGGCATCTCAAGAGACTCCCTGCCCTACCGCAGCTGGTGGCAACCCTACATCGCTTACATTGCCTGCACTTGCACAACAATAATGGCTTTTGTTGGTGGGTACACCGTCTTCTTGCCAGGGAATTGGTCCATCCCGACATTCCTTTTCTCTTATACCATGATCGGCGTCTTTCCCATTCTTTACTTTGGGTGGAAGTTCTTCCATAAGACTAAGTTCCTTAAGCCTGAAGAGGTTGATTTGATGACTGGTGTTGTGGAAATTGAGGAGTACACTAGGGATTTCGTTACTGAGCCGCCTAAGTGAGTATCCTAAATTGAGGATTGAATAGAATTTGCTGCTAACGGTGACAAGGACTACCCTTCACAAGTGGGTGTACAAGATCTTCGAATGAGATTCTGGCACGTTAGCATGGTATTGATTCTCTTGTTGGTTCCCACCATAGAACAGATACAATTGACCGGAGATTGCATTAGCTACGAGTGCATGATTCATGGGGTGGTTTGCCATTTTTTCTCTAGAAAATTCGAGACGCATCATAACGATACCCAATATGATTATTGAGAAGTTTTATTTGCACATTAGCATAAATAGACACTACTTTATACACATCTCACAGAATATAAATCACCCAATATAATACACCAAATCATTTCTTAATATCCTCAACCTTAGCCTTCAAAGCCTCCGACCGGGACTTATTCCGCTTCTCTATAAATGGCAACGCATTCTTCTTCTCGATCACGCTCATATGCTGCCTATTCTCAATCTGCGATGATGGCCCATGGGTGTTAGCAACCATCGGTCCTAACTGATCCAATTTCATATCTATTCCACCGGTGTTCATACCTAGTTTGTTTCCGCCTTCGCTAGATCCTGAGGATGCACTTTCTGGGACGTTTCCCTCTCCCTTGGCCTTCAAAGCTGCGAGCCGGGACTTATTCCGCTTCGAAATAACCCGCAACGTATTCTTCTTCTCGATTTCGCTCATCTGCTGCCAATTTCCGATCTGCGATAATGTCCCATCGGTATTGACAACCATCGGTCCCAAATGGTCTAGTTTCATCTCTGTTCCGCCGGTGCTCATGTCGAGTTTTATTCCGTCGGAGTTTGATCCTTGCATGTTGTCTGAGGATGCGCTTGCTGGGAGGTACTTTTGTTCTGAGACCTTGGTCGGTTCCGTTTGGGACTGGTCTGCGGAGTCTGTGGATGATCCCTGAGTCGCGGTATTGGCCGTAGCGGTTGAGTCGGAGGATGTAAAGTCGCTCATTGTGCGGATTTGAGAGGCTGGGTTTGTGTATGTTGTTTTGTAGGTTGGTGGGCACTGCGGGAAGAGGATGCTGTAGAGACGGGTATTTTGTGTTTGGGATGCGACGGTCAGAGATGTGTGGATTGATGCACGTGCGAATAGGGGATTGACGGAGAGTTGGAGGAGAGCAGCGCGGTAGACTGTTGATACTTGCATGTCGTGTGTTAAGTTAAGGTGGTGAGAAAAGTAAAGATTGCGGAGACTCTGGAACTTTCTGAGCTCCATCCACTTTGGCTATAGTTACCACCTAGATATTTTTAGGGATAACTTAGATTATAGGTTTTACACGATATTTATTGTAGATATTATTTGTAAAATTTGTACTTTCTCCTTAGTGTTTCAAATGCTCGTTTTAACGATAACATGACTTTACATACAGTATCCCCTGCATTCTCAACCTCATTATCACATCCACAGCCGAGACCATATTGCCCTCTCTTCTAGGTCATTACGTCGAATTGGGCCATCATGGAAGCCCCTCAACTTTCCAAGCCAAACTTCTACCGAATATCTCCAACTGACTTAATTGGGGAGGAAACACTCCCAGGCCATGTCCCCGCCTATTACTATCCAACATGGATAGGAGAAATCATTCAAAATCGATATCAAGTCGTGGGAAAGTTAAGGTTTGGAACTTGTTCGTCTGTATGGCCTTTCTACCTCGTAATCAGACCCAAAGACTTCCAGCCCAAGTCCTGGCGGTCGTGCTCCAGCGCGTTTTCTGGGCATTGGATTATCTGAGTATGTATCTACAGACGCAGGCCTAATGGCCATATGGTCAGCATGTATTGTAGCAATCATCCCCACTCTATGATATTATACACATTTTGTACACGAAGCTCCAATAAGAGCTACAGTATGCCAGACTATCGGAACCACCAGTTGACCTAAAACCCATCAGCAATCAACAAACCTCAAGAAAGAAAATGAGTACTCACCGAAGCCGTGACACCCTCTCCGACACCCTTAATACTATGCCACCACCCCTTGGGAATAAACAACCCATCCCCATCCCCAAGCCTAGCCTCAAGCCCAACCCCATCCCCGCCGGCAGAAACAGGACTCCCCCAAACCATCTCATCAAGCAAAATCCTCTCCCTCCCGTGCATCATCTCCTCGCCCCGAATTGCAGCAGCCTCCCGATCCCCACTCTTCCCCAGCTGCCTCCTCACAGCCCCAAACACAGCCTGTCCATCCTCCGGCGCGAGCAGTCTCACAACCTTCTGTCCGGCCAACTGGACAAACAAATTTGGGTTTGGATCTCTGTGGAGTGGGGTATATGTGGGCGGGTGTCCGATCCACACATTCGTATCGTAGACATCGCCCTTACCGGCGCGTGACACGAGGTCCGGTGTGGGAAAGTCGGCTCTGAGAATGGGTGGGAGATCGAGGAGTTGGCATTGGGCTAAGTAGAGTCGTGTTGATTGCGGGGTTGTTTCTGCCATGCGCATCCAGTCTAGGAAGAGGGTGAGCGGAGCGTGAAATTGTCGGAAGCTAAGTGTTTCTGTCGCGTCGCTTTGGAGGTTTGAGTCGCGTGCCGATTCGGTGAGTTCGAGCGGGACGAACGCGTTGGCGCCGTGTTTTTGGAGATAATCCACATTTAGGCTGGCAGTGGGGGTTGTGCCTTTTGTAGTTGGTTTATGTTGGCTGGGTTTAAACCAGTGTTTTAATGCCGGAAGATTTTGGAATTCGGCACATGGGAGGATCGCGGGCTTTTCTGCCTGGAAGCATTCCTGCTGGAAAGTCTCGAGGGTGGCATTTTCGAGGGTCTCGAGGGTGCGATATTGTTGGGTCAATGATGCGGAGAAATTGCGAGTCTGTGCTGCTCTAGGGAGGATATGTGAGAGTCTCCAGACTCGGGGATTTGGCCATGGCTGTTTCATCCCGGAGGTTGACAGGAGAAGTCTGGGGGTGGATCCCGAAGCTCTACATATTGGAATGTTACCATTAAATTAAATTCCAAACGTCTACATGTACCTAACAAACAACCGAATTCTGTCAAATATGCACAACTCTGTCAGAAACAGAGCTGGTCTGATCGCCAATTTATGCCCGACATGAGCATGAAGCCGACTGCGTTGCCGAGGTTGCCAAGGATCCCCCTCACTGACGCGCCCAGGTGACGAGCTGAAGAGCTTATGAGAGATCTGCACTTTTCTCGACTTTCCCATTCTTAAGATCTAAATGTTCAGCATTTGGACTTCGGACGTTGTATAGTGCATGCTGTGTTACCTGCTGAATACCACATAGTCTACTCTTACTGTCGATCACCCGAGCTGCAAATACGCTTATTGAACCCCAGCCAATTATCTCTGCTTGGTCTGCAATATGTCTTCTTCAATTTCTCGGATCCACAAGCGTCTTGCGTACGGCAAAGATGCCCATACCTACTATCCAGTCCTCATTGTAGGCGCCGGCGAATCGGGGGTGGCCATGGGCTGTCGGCTCAAAGAGGTCTTGGGCACAGATCAATTCCGGATCTTTGAGAGGCAGTCGGGAATTGGAGGTACCTGGTGGATTAATCGCTATCCAGGAGCTGCTTGCGATATGTGAGTGTTAAGTGTGACATTTATTGACTGATCCGTTTTCTAATGTTTAATAGTCCAGCGGCTTTCTACTCATTCTCTTTTGCCCCGAAGATGAACTGGTCTACTTTGCATCCAGCAGGCCCGGAGCTCGCACAGTATATGGCTGATGTCTGCGAGAAATATCAGATCGTGGACAAGATCCAATTTAATACTGATGTTAAGGAGCTTCGGTGGATTGAAGCTGACGAGGAATGGGAGGTTACTATCTCGCATCTTGTTCCTGGGACTGGTGACCTCGCACAACATGAGCGAGACCGCCTGGTAGCCCAGGACGGTGAGCACCGTGTCTATGTCAAGACAGAGATCGTCCGAGCAAAGGTTGTTGTCAGCGGTGTTGGTGGTCTGGTAGAGCCCAAGAATCTGCCGACAGATATCCCCGGCTTTGAGAATTTCGAGGGCGAAATTATGCACACAGCCCGGTGGAACGATGAAATCGATCTTGAAAGCAAAGACGTCATCATGGTTGGCGCGGGCTGCAGCGCCGCCCAGGTGATTCCCGAGCTGGCCAAGCCAGAAGCCAACGTTCGATCCATCACCCAGCTCATGCGGACGCCGCCATGGGTCCAGCCTGATCTGCTACCCGCTGGACAACTCGAGTTGTACGAGAAATGGACACCGACTCTGATGACCTACGTTCCCGGATTTGCAAAGTTCATGCGATGCACTCTATTCGTGATGCTCGAGAAGAACTTCTACGACATGTTCACCGACACAGCCTGGGGTCGATTTATGCGGCCACGCATGGAAAAGAAGTTCCTAAACCATATGCGCGAGCTCGCGCCAAAGGAATACCACGAGATCCTGACACCAAACTACAGCCTCGGCTGTAAAAGAAGAATCATCGATGGGACTTGGTATCGCAGTCTCAATGCTCCGAATGTGGAGCTGACCACCCAGCCTTTGACAAGAGTTAACGCAAAGAGTGTAACCCTGGGTCCAGGTCGCCATTACCCACCCAACAAATCCGAAGTCGCAGATGAAGTGAGAGAAATTCCCGCCGACGTGATCATTATGGCGAATGGCTTCGAGACAAATCAATGGCTTCATCCACTCAAGGTCATCGGCAAAGAGAACAAGAACCTAGAGGATGTCTGGGCGGAGCGCGGAGGCGCCCAGGCTTACCAGGGTATCGCGATGGATCACTTCCCGAACTTCTTCATGCTGTTCGGCCCGAATACAGCTACTGGTCATACCAGTGTTATCTTCGCCACAGAGAACGCCGTTAATTACTCGCTGAAGTTCATCAAACCTATTCTAAATGGCCTGGTTAGCTCGTATGAGGTCAAGGAAGAGGCTGAGCGGGAGTGGACTCGCCAGGTGCAGGATGAGTTGCAGAAGACTGTATTCCGTCGTGGGGTATGCTCCAGTTGGTATATTACTGCCGATGGGTGGAACTCAACCACATATCCGTAAGTGTCTCGGCTATCGGGCTTATAAACTTGAACTAATATTGTGTACAGGTTTACTCAGATTCATTATTGGCTGCGTTGCACGTTCCCTGTGTGGTCGCATTGGTCTGCTAAGCTCACGCGACGAGGTCGCGTGTTGAAGGGTGTTCGGAGGGCCGTCAAGGCTTCTGTTCTTGTAGCTCTCTTAGCAGGCTTCGGATTCCTGCATAAGAACCCAGAGCAAAGACTTCAATTGGTGCAATATTTGCTTTCTGGGAAGGCTTGGCTGCGTTCAACTGTGCAGGGATTGATCTCTCGTTGAAATGGAGAGTCGGTTATTGGCTTTGTATATGCTGAAGTTGAGTCTGTAGGAAGAAACATAATAATACTCGCGTTATGATCTATTTAAACATAGAACTCCATCTGGCTGCTTTGGACTCTATACAATGGACCAATGAGCGGACAGGCAATCGGATGAGTAAGGCGAATCTGGGGAAAACGGGAGACCCCGCGACAGAGGAATTTCTCCGCACTTCATCGCCGGTGTTTCTTCCCGGTTGTTCATCCCCGTGTCTCCTAATTTCTGCAGGTCATGGCTTCAGAGTCTCCCCAGATGGAAAGGACGCCGCCGCAGACAGATGCCGGGGATCAGGCCATTGGAACCTCTGATTCTAACAAGCGGAGGGCGGAACAAGGCAACGGAACGCAGACGCGCACAAAGCGGAATCGTTACATCTCCATTGCATGGTAAGATATGGCCTGATGCGAACCCCTTCCTTTCCGCTCTGTCGTTTCACTTTATTCTCTCCGGTTGGTCGGAAATGCAGCTGCGTGCATAATCATACGACTTGCTTTTCCTTCGGGATATTTGTCGGCAGTCTAGCTAACCACGGGGTTTTAGTAACGAGTGCAAGCGGCGCAAGATCAAATGTAATGGCCAAGTTCCATGCCAAAGATGTGGTCATTTGAATTTAGAATGTATGTATCTCCTGCATTATTGTCGGCTCAAACCCTTGGTATCTGGAGCTGCCGGAATGTTCCCAACTGACCCCTGTATCAGGTCGCTATGCACCGAATTGTTGCAATAACAACTTCAAAGACTCGGAGTAAGTTGCGGGATTGTATTCCGTGCGGTCTACAGTGCTAATGTTCCGCAGTGAATACCGATCGTTGACAGATCAGATCACCACTTTACAGGATCAGGTTAATAACCTATTCAGCAATATCAATGATATTCGCAACCAAAGACCTGCATTTGAGACTCCATCCTTTGACCCTCACTCGAGGGATGCATCTCAGCCCGTCTTCACGCCCATGCCGCCTGGATTAACAAAGCCTCGAGCCCGTCATCCCCGTTTTCACGGCCCAACAAGTTCAGCATTCAACTTTGATGTGGCCAAGTCCAGTTTGCAGAATATGGGCATCACCCCTGCAGAAGATGGAATTACCGATGACTTGACCACTGCACATGTCACGCCAGCAGGCTCGCCTCCTCATCTAGGGCAGCTCCTCTCAACTGTACACCCTACGAAAGATCCTCTTTGGTCGATTGGACGTGAGGAGACAATGCGTCTTTTAAAAGTCTACGAGGAAGAGATCGGGATTATGTATCCAGTGGTGGATATCGCCTCTATCACCAGCCAAGCCAATCTACTGTACACATTCATCGAGGCTGCTACCCGAACGGGGTTTGCACAAAGGGGTTTTCCAGGCTCCGATGGCCTCCAGGATGAGGGTACGGTTCTCTTGAAACTGATTCTTGCCACCACGCTGGTCGTGGAGGGAGGTGGTGAAAGTGAGCTTGGCCAGCGGCTTTACCTGGACGTCAAACCAGTCATAGAATCAAAAATGTGGGAGCCCCATAGCATCAAGACGATTCAATTGTTTGCTATTGTGGTGGGTGACATGTCCCTCTTGTGTGCAATCATGTCCGCTAATATTGTTCGTCAGGCAACATATCATTTCCACACAGACGACGACGCCATGGCCTATCGCGTCATCGGATTGGCAGCGCGGATGTGCCTGGAAATGGGACTTCATCGCAGGGATGCTTTGGTCAAGTCATTCCCTAATGAGGACCACTGGAACGAGGTCATTCGGCTATTCTGGTCGGTCTACAGCTTGGATCGACGATGGAGCTTAGGGACGGGACTGCCTTTTGTGATCCAAGATGAGGACATCGATGCTAATCTACCAGAACCGGTAAGAATACACTTTTTTGCGAAATGATAAATTTTAATTGACAATGGTGAACAACAGGATGCGTCACTGCCATATTTGCGTTGCATGATCCTCTATAACCGAATCAGCTCTAAGATCTGGTATTCCGGTCTAGGGTCAGAAGGCACAACTGACATTCGACGAGATGAAATCGGATACCTGGACTACCAGATCCTGCAATGGTACAAGCAGGTTCCAGAAGAACTAAAGTTCTACCCTGTGGAGTCTCCCAAGACTGGAGAAAGCGTAAGCAGAGGCATGAGACGACTCAGGGTCCTCTTGTATCTGCGAATGAACCAGCTCCGAATTCTGATCTACCGCCCCGTGCTCCATTCCTCTGCTAGCATTGCAGAAGACCGAGGTCACGCCCAAACAGTGGTGGATGTAGCAAAGGACACAGTCAGAGTGCTCACTCGCCTGAACCAGATGTCTGACATCTATCGCACACAGCAGATCACCTTCAACTACTTCCTAGTTGCTGCATTGGCAGTGCTTTTCCTCGCGGTGTCTCATGCACCGGCCGACTTTAATCGACAGGTCCGCGATGAATTCTACATGGCTCTCGACCTAATCAACGGATTCAGTACCAAATCCTTCGTCTCCAAGCGACTGTGGAAGACCATCAAGGGCCTCCGCAAAATCGGAGAAAAGCTCGGTGTTCTAGCCCGACCTTTCGGGACAGACTCA